ACCGACAAGGTGTGTGAGGGTAAGGTGAAACATTTTTTTTTTTTTTTTTTTTTTTTTTTTACTCACACCATCTTCCTCTTGCACTGCGGATTTGTGTTCACCCGCTATACGGACTTTCCATCGCATCTCGCATCACTGGGGCTCTGCGGTTTTAATTATTTAGCCTTTTCTTCTCCCCCCCCCCCTTTATGCGGGATTGGCTACAGGCGGCAGCAGCCCTGCACAGGGTTTCCCCCCCTCCTCCTCTTCCTTTATTTCTTTATTTCTTTATTAATTATTATCATTATTATTATTATTATTATTTTATTATTTGATTTTTCCTGTTCTCCCCCTGGACTTCAATTTAATCAATCAATCTTGCGCGCTTGCTTAGTCGCTCAGTCTTACGGCTTACTGATTCCCCGGCGTGACACAAAATTCCGGGCCCACGGCTTTGGGAACATTAGCTGGACAAATTCGGCCTTCGCTTCGCGTTCGTATTATATTCGCTTTCTTTTCTTCTTCTTTCTTCTTCTTTCCTCTTCACTCATACAGACTAACCCTTACCAGAGCATCAGCTTTCCTAAGTCCGATGCACCCCGAAAACACCGGTGTATGCAAATGATCAAAGTATGAGCCATCGTACTAGAAAAAAGGAAGTGAGTGCAATCAACAAAGAAAGACGGCGGGCTTGGTAAGCGAAGCGGGTTTTGTAAGCCTCCATATGACCAACCTGTCCGCACTATCCAATCGCGAATAATAATACGCAAAGGCACAAGGGATAGAAGAAAAAAGCAAAGAAGAAAGAACAAAAGAAAAGGGTGGGGGAGGGGAGCTACTTCCAGCCCCCCCCCCTCGATGAGCTGAGCCCCCTTTAGACGATACGGTATTGTGCTAGACATGGTGATTATACAGTATGATAGTACTTTACTGCTTGCTAACATGCGTGTCAGCCCCCAACAATAGAGAGAGTGTGAGAGAACTAGGAAAAAGTTCCGACCAAATGACTAATGATTCGCCAGGGAAAGAAAAGAAAACAACCACCACTCGGGGACCGATTTGCAGAGATATTTCCTGTTTTCTCGAATCGAGGCTGAGGTTGCTCACCTATCTCAGAACAAAAGAAGGAAGGAAGGGGAAAAAAAACACGAGAGGATCGCCAGGCCCGAACCCTGGAATCGATGACCCAGACAAGCAACGATCATCGCACAATACCAAAAAGCCGGCTTGCCCCTCAGTTGCGATTGCAACAACTGACATCAGGGTTAGGATGGGTGGGTGGGTGGATAATATGTCAGCCCAATTACCATCCTCATGTCGATGTTGGAACGAGGAGATGGAGGGGGGGGAGGGAAAAGAATGAGTTCCATACAACGTACAGTATGGTGTGCGTGCGCCGAGAATTCTAGAATTCTTTTTTTCTTTTGCCCCCATCTATTGTCGAAAACTGGACGGGATGCACTGCATAGGGCTGAACAGAGCCTTGGATTATTTTTTTTGGGCCCTCCCTTTTTTTTCTTTTTTTTTTCTTTCCATCCTTTCCCTTCTCGCCTAAGCCAAGTACACAATCCACGCAAAAAGCAAAACCACGGTCAGGCTTGGCAACGCTGTAGAATCGCATCGCGCGCGTCGAGACCAGAAAAAAAAAAAAATCAAGTGACGCACGTGGCGTCCCCCGGCGACATGCGATGAGGCTTTGCCTCGTGCGCCTCGGGTGTACTACAGAGCCTCCCCCCTCTCTCTATCCTTCTCTAGAAGCCTTCCATAGGACTATTCCAGAAGCCTTCCTTGCTAGGTCCAGGCCGGTCTCGCTCCTCCCGTGGGTGGGAACACACACACACACACACACACACACAGACACACAAGCGCGAGAGCGAGAGAGCGAGAGACAGAGAGAAAGAGGGGAGATGCAAAAGGGGGAAAACGTATTGGAGGAGGCACACAGGGTAAGATCAGCGCTAGAAATAGTATCACGCCAGCCTTTTGGTCAAGGTTGCATTGCATGAATGCACGTCAGGGCATCCACACAAATCAAGGAGGGGAAGAGAGAGTGAGAGAGAGAAAGAGAGAGACGCCCAATCCCCCGCCGCGATCGCCGCAGCCCCAAGCGAGGGCACGCCAAGCGGGGGAGAATAGAGCGATGATAACTCTACTGCTCCTGCAGATGGTACGAGTGTACCACAGCGTCAGCTTCTGTGTGGCCCCTCTCTTTGTTTCTCTGTTTTCTCTCTCGGCTGTGTATGCGCTTGCGTGCGTGTGTGTGTGTGTGTGCACGATGCCAAAATCCGTCCAATCAAGAGGGAGAGGAGGGGAATCACCGGCAAAGACCGGTTTTGCAGGGCTATGTATATGTTCGTGTCATGTATGTCTTGTATGAGGTGATGACGGGTTGCGTGGTTGACGACTCAAGGCTGATTTTCCCCTCCTGACTGCAGGATATGCCTTTTTCCTTTTTTTAAGTTTTCCCTCCCTTTCCCATTTCACTTCTCTCCTCGGTCGATGAGTGATGATGGTGATTATCTATCGGATGATTGGCTGCACTGCCTCGACGCTTGCTCCGTTGATCACTTGTCCAGCTCCCCGGCACTCCGTGGTACAAGGCCCAACACAGAAAAGTCTATTAGACGACGAGGCAATATTAGCAACATAGCCTCACACACAGAGAGCTGGAGGTACAGAATACAGCGTACGTCCATCCATCAGAGTTGGGACGGGCTTTTCTTCTTTGGTAAGTCCGCTCACCTTTTCGTCAACGGTCCAATCCACGCAGCAGAAGGACTTTCCTTCTTCTCCCTCAAGTGAGAGAGAGAGAGAGAGCAGACTAATGTAACACTCTGTTCTCGCTCTGCGCGGCCTGACTGGTCCAACCCACGACGAGAAGCTAACTTCATTTCTTGTCTCGCATCAGCTGGACCCAAAGTACGTATATGTGAAGTGTGTGATCGGCCAGGTCACTCAGCTGAGGCACAGGACAGCAGAATCAAACCGGGGAAAAAAGATTTGTCACGGGCAGTCGAGTGAGTTTCTGAATGGCCGCACCTCGAGAAACTTCCCTTGCCCTGTTGTCTCCGTGTCCGTTTGCTTGGGGTAAATAAATATTGAATCCCTCGCAATGATGGTCAGGTCTTGTGATGTGTCTCAAATCACTGACTGGGAGCGACATACAGCTGTCAGAAGTTTTACAAAGTGAGTTACATTGCCCATTGCGGCTGAGGACACGCCATTACGCAAGCTGCTGGACACAGAGATGAAAGGGGGGGGGGGGGGCGCCCACCAGCGTGAGAGAGACCGAAGATACCCAGAAACGGTCCCTTGTCATCAAGTGGTAACGCTGAAAATGTGAACAAACCGGACAAGCGACACCCCGTAGCTCATCCATCAGCTCGATCCCATGGAATCTTGGCTGCTGGACTCGATGAACCTGGCATCACACGAACAAGGCGAGCCCTGGCCAGCCAACCCACCGCTCCTCTTCTTTTCACCGCTGTACGCCTCTATCGCCACCACCACCACCACCACCACCACCACCACCATCACATTCCGTCCGTCGCCTCTTTGCTTACTTATCTACATGTGTCAACGGCCCGAGTCGAAAGAGGAAGAGGATTAAGACCTCGGCTGCTCTATTCGTTTGATACGGACCAGACAGAAAGAGAGAAAGAGAGACAGAGGAAAGATGCGCGAGAGAATGGTAGCAACAAGTCAGGCCCGATATCATTTACCCCATTTTGTGCATGTGTGTATGTGTCATCTCACATACCATCGCGGCTTGGCTTTTCTTCTTTTCTTTTCGGTCCTTCTCTCGTCAACTTGCTCGCAATTTCTTGCCTAAAGCTGACCTTTGGCCAGAAGTGGCTTGAGTGCCTCTCTCTCTCTCTCTCTCTCTCTCTCTCTCTCTCTCTCTCTCTCTCTCTCTTGTCACCAATATCTAGAGAAATGGATTAGTCCGCAAGAAGATGGACAGACAGACAGACAGCCCAGTAGCCGACCTCTTCCATAATACAAATCACCCTCACATTGAGAACCACACTCGGCTCGTGATGTGTTATATCCTTAAAAGGGGGGGGGGGGGGGACACTAAGCACAGTGACATACCTACTCGAGCCTAGGTCTATATTCTCGATTTTATAACCGGGATAAATGTTCGTATGACTTACGTTCAAACGAACTCCATAAGATGGACAGCACGGGAGGAGAAAAGGGCCTATCGGTGAAGGATCGGTAAAGCCGGGTTGATTGCCATGGTCTGGACGACTCGAACCACATGTAAGCATGATAGGTGAACACATACATTGAGGGTGAGTGCTAGTAAGGAAAAATTGTGTTTCCTCAGCGCGAGCTTAGCTTACCTCGACACCAATATCCAAGGGAGGAGGGAAGAGGATTTCTCGTAAGGCTCACCGTCCTTTTGGAGATCAATGGCTTGAGAGCAAGGGTACCTCTTCTCCAGCATTACACATAACCGGCTCGAGGGATTCCTCCTGGACGAATGACCACGGTGGTGGGCGGCAGGGAACGTTCAACTTCACACACCAGATTTTATCAGATATTCAAGACGGGAAGACGTCTACAGTCGTCAAATGGGATATATCCTCCAATGAAATATTGCCTCAACCTTTCTTGCCCCTGGCCACAATGCGCCCTTTCTGTCTTCGTTTAAGTCCTTGGAAATTTGCCAGATAGAGTCAACATACATCTCGCCAGCACGATTTTTCAAACTCCCAAAATAGCCTGCTTCTTTGCTGTATCCGATGGCGTCTCAATGTCTCCATTCCGAGACCTGGCGTCGACGCCCTCAATGTCGTGCCCTGACACTCCATTCCCGTATCAGTGATACTTCAAGAGCTACACTCATTCCTTCGTCAGTTCAATACGTCCCAGCGTTGATGATCAGCTGTGTCATTAATAATCGTCAGCCTTATGGTCCTTTTCTCCACTCACGTCACTCGGCTTTCTTGAGCCCGGCTACACGAAGACAGCGAGGCCGAGAAGTCACCGAGGGGAACAGGAGGAACAGAGTTTCAAAGGAAGTTGAGACAACTCACATCGATCAGCCTCTCGGTCTGGGAAAAGCACTGTTTATCAGGCTCCTCCGTCGGGTTCAGTGAACAAAACCGCCACAGGCCTCCGAAACCCATATCATCGAGGATGTCATTGAGCACCGAGGTAGCCATGGATCCATTCCCGTTGCTCGTGCCTGATTCCATCATCGCCGTAGCGAACTGCGGATTCGACGTCAGCGTTTGCAAGAGCCTGTGGGCTGACTCTAACGTCGATGAGTTTTGGCAGTGCAGGAGGGTGTCATCAAGGATGACCAATATCGGACCGCAGCTGCTGATGATTAGCGGATGAAAAAGAGGACCCCGGGGGGGGGGGGGGAGGGCTCACAATTGCATAATCACGCCCGGTCGCCCAATAGCGAGCTCGTTGAGCCAGTGCAGCAGGCGACTCTGGACCGCATCTTCGAGAAACTGGAAGTCCACCAGCTCGATGGCCGTGTTCAGCAAGAGATCCTTATCCTGGACGCTGCTAAGCCTCTCCATCGAACGGGCCTTCTGCACGCCTGATGGACTCGTGGGCGGGGTGATACCAGCCTGCCAAAGGGCTTCTCTCAGCTCCTCAGGCGCCACCGCGCGGGAGAGGATGAGCGAGAGATAAGGCGAGTATGGCACCTCTTTCAGATGTCTTGTCGACGGCGTGTCTCCATCAGGCGTGCTGGCAGGCAAGGTTGTCATCTCCAGGAAGGTAGCGAGTACGTGCAGTGCGGTTGTCTTGGTCATGGTATCTGACAGGCCGCGGGCGAGGCATGCACACACTGCGAAGTGGAAGGTCTCGTTGCTGAAGTGAATGCCGTAGAAGTCATCCAGCGGTTGTGCCACATTCTCGAGCTGGTCACGGCCTTGAAGCAGGTGCGCCACCAGCTTCACACCGCGCATGTCGCCCGAGGTATTGATGTTGGTCAGCACAGACTCAAGGAACACGGCGGCGCAGTTGAACAGCGGAGGCGGGACGAGCCGCAGCAGAAATGTGGCCAGCCAGAACAGCTGCACACCATAGCGGGAAGTGGAAGGGAGTTTGGCCATCATCCGTGACAGCGCTGTCACGATCGCGACCAGCATCTCGCTGTTCCCATCGTCGCCACTGAACCGCGTGATGCTGATCCGCAGCGCAACGAGGACTTGGTACAATAAATCATCGTCCACCTCCTCCCTGGCGAGACAGCCCATCACCGAGAAGGCACGAGGCTGGATTGCCGGGTTGTTCTGGAAGGCCGTACTGGCGACGAGGCTCATCCAGCGCGAGCGCCAGGCATTGGCCATGTCTGTAGACGGAGCAGCAACAGAGCAGATATCGAACATGATCCCTGCCAAGGTTTCCGTAGCAGCCAGCGTAGGACCATACTCCTGCGTTGTGGACATGGAAGCCCCGTCACGACTCGGGTAGTTGGGGGTGATACTCCAGATGTCTGTTCGCGATTCCGACAGGGATTCAAGAAGCCCTCTGAGCTTGGTCTGTCGCGCCTCATCCAGGCTGAACGAAGTGCAAGCTGCGTGTACGGAGTTGATTAGCAGACGGTGTACCAGAACGCGTATGTCTGAGGCTCCAGTGTTGGCAAGCATGGTGACGATGTGAAATATCTCGGGCAGGTACATCTGCGCCTGGATACCACTGTCAAATGACAGCGATACGCAGAATTGTAGCAAGATGCAAACCTCTGGCCATACGACGTTCTCTGGCAAATGCTTGCTCTGCCGCATCGACGACCGATTCAGGGCCTTCCGGAGTCGGGTAATGATCTTGCCTCGCAGAGTGATGCTACCAATCGCGGTGACGATGGAGGTCAGTGTCTCGGTCTGCTCGTCATGTAGCCCTATGCTCGATGCTGCCTTGATTACTTCGTCCAGGAAGATATCTAACAGGACCTCATCGCGCTGAATAGCTGGCCAGATGGTCTGTTCGAGCGTGAACCCCAACGTTGGATCAGACAGGGTCACGTCGATGAGCTTTCGGAAAAAGGTTGCAATCTTCTCACGGCCTTTGTCGCTGTCAGCTTCGGCCGCCAGGATTGAAGATCGCAGGCCAGGCAGCCATGGTGCTAGGTACGCAAGGCTCAGGGGCTTCTGCTCCTCGGAGAAGCTGTCCCAGCCGACAAAGAACTCGTTCAGAAAGTCGGACGTCAGCTGCGGCTCGGTCTCGGCAAGGGCTCTGCTGATGTCGATGATAAAGCGGGAAGGGTCCAACGGCACCGCAATATCTGCATGTAGTCAGTTAGAAAACGGGAGGTTCTGCTCCTTAACACATAAAGAGAAAGAGAGGACATACCTTTCGTGCACATGACCCTCGATGCCGTCGTAAAATTGAAGGCCCTGCATAGTGCACCCAGCAGATTGTACGACGACAATCGCAGAACATGGTCTGGACTCGCCAAGTTCGTGAGAGCCAGGTTCAGCAACGTTCCGGGAACATCTTGCGGCCTTATCAACCGCTCGTACAGCTTCAGCGATCGAGTGTCTTTGCCATGCTTGGCCTTGGCTGTACGGATGGTTTGGAGGATCTCAGCTTTCTTTGGGCTAGTGAAATATAAGGCAATCTTGCCATTGTCGGCCCTCAGTCCGAAAGCAGAGTCATCGTCGGTCTTGGTGTTCACCGGTGCCTCGTCTATATCACTTAGACGGAAAATGTCATTGATATTGGCGCTTAATCGGAAGTTGGGGTGCACTTCTTGCTGATCGGCCGTCGTTATCTGCACGAATTGGCTACCCACCATGATCCGACACAGAATCGCGCCTTTCGTCTTCGACAATCGGATGACGGGCTTGAAGTCGTATCGCGTATCGGCGAACACGCTGATGGTCTCCTTGGGTAGATGGAGCTGCGTGAAGTGGAAGTGGTTCTGCAACTCCTTGATACTTCCAATAAGATGGTAGTCAATCTTGTTTGGATTGAAGACGCTCGTATCTTTCTTTGTAGAGACTCGGAGAACACGGCGCAGACATTTCCTGGCACCAGACTTAGCATCTATCAATCCAGAAACCGGGGGGTCCCCGTGCCGAGCTTTCTGCACCTACCGGAAAGCGGTGTTCATGTTGTAAATATAAATGCGAGTAAGCTGCTTTGACAGCTCAGAGGGGGTCAGAAGCTCCAGCTTGTGAAGCAGCTCATCCTGAGGCTCTTCGCTCTGCCCGTTGAAACACGTTGCATCAATCAAAAGGCCAAACGGCTTATGCCACATACGACTAGCGATCTAACGAGAGAAAGTCAGAGACCATTGGGACTATCGACAGCCAGCCTATTCCACGGGAGATGATCCTGTTGGCGGCAGTGTGAGTTCAAGCCAGCGGGCTGTATCTTTTACGTACCTTCAAATAGCAGTAGATCAGGGTATCATAATCAATAGACTCGTCATCGATATTCCTCAAGATAATGCAGATGATAGACACTCCATCCTAGAATCGCAAATCAGTCATCACTCACCCAACAAGGAGGCAGCTGCAGCCGCAGCTATTGAAACGAAAGCGGGCTGAGAAAAAACCATAGGAACATACCTTGCTCTCACCACCGTCATATACGGCCCTGGTTGTGACGAAGGACTCGGTGCTGCGGAAAGCATTACGAAGCATGAAATTTTGGAACCGGGAGTACGCAGGTGGGCTGTTGGATGAGATTACGGGTCTGTTCCATGTGACGGCTAACGATGGTGGGCCTAGATGCGAGATGAGATGTCGAAGGGGTTCCAAAACGGGTGAGCGTGTGCGTGTCACCTCTGCTGGTGACCGCACAAAATCCCTTCGTTCCTGCGACGTGAGCCGTTGCCTGACCTGGTCCCAATGGTCGTAGAGGAAGCGATGCAGCGCGACACAAGAACCGAAGTCAAATGATTCTGCCGTACTTGGCGGGTCTGTCTTCTCGGGTGCTACAGAGATTTCGCGTAAGAAGGTGGTGACTCGGTATATGTTTTGTGTGAGGAAGTCGTTCAAGGGGAACATGTAAGGTTCTTTGGCCCCGAACAGCACATTATTGGCCAGGTTTTGGACGACCTTGGCGATCAGCAGCAAACCTCTGCGCATCTCCTTGGACGGAAGCGTCGAGACCAGGCCCTCAGCCTCAGGAGCCACAATCGCTGGGCAAAAGAACCTAAGAAAGATGAAGGCGCCCACCGCGGTGTACTTGGCCTCAGGAAATCTAGGCATCACCGCCGTGGAAATGATGCTGCAGATTTTCCGGAATGACGACGGGATGCTGGACGATGAGTTGCAAATATCCTCGATGAAGACCTTGGCAACGATGCGCAATTGCAGGGCATTCTTCTGTAGCTCGTCTGGTGTTGCAACCCTTGCTGGGTCCAGCTCGAGATCGAGATCTTTAGACGTCATCATCAGCCGCTCGAGCACCTTTTGCAGTGTGCCCTTGAGATACGCCATGCCCTTCCACTTGGCGTAGATGGAGAGCATTTTGGTTGCAACACATGTCCTTCGCAGCAGCTCTGACTCGTTTTCCGTATCCTCGACCTCCTGCTTGATGAGGGCCTCCAGCAGCACAAAGCTGAGACCTCGGGTCTCGAAGATGTTCAACAGGGAGATTGTGACCTCATCAACCTCGCTGCTGGGACAGACGGAGCTGATCGCGGCGGCCAAGCTGGTGTCTGTAGTGAGCAGGTCGAGCAGCTCGTCGTACTTCTCTGTGACCGCGGTGTCAGAAAGGTTGCTGAACTCTGTGCCCTGCACCAGGATGTTATAGAGGACTTTAACAAATGCCGTTCTTATCTCGACATTCTCGTGATACCCTATACTCAGAGAATGCTTGAGGCCAACGTCGATGTTCGCAGCCAGAAGGTTGGACAGTATGGTGATCGCCAGCTCCGAGCTTGTGATGCTCTCATCCCTTGCTGCGGTGCCGTGTTCGTGTCTGCCCGCCTCTGTGGACTCCAGGTTCAGCAGCGACAGAAAACGGTTGAAGTACGTGTGGAACATCTGTGATTTCAACTCGCTCGCGCCGACATCCGACTGTCCTTCACCGGGCTGCAAAGGAAGGCGGTAGGTCATCTCGGCAAGTGACCGCAGACAGGCCTTGTCAAGATCCTTCTGAACCCGCATCGCATCATCGAAACGTGCAGGCCCTGATGCTGCAGCAGATTCCGCCCGTGGCGATCGCGGTCGAGTGATCCAACTGAAGACGTACTCCAGAAGCTGGTTACGGATGCGCACGTCGTCTCTCAGGTTCAGATGCTCCTTCTTCCTCATGAGAGACTCAGAAAGCTGACAGACTTTGATCTTCACCATGAGGCTGTTTCTAGTGTCCGAAACGCCATCTAGAAACTTGGCAAAATTGAGCGCTAGAGCCCCCAAGTTCACAGACGATGCAGCACCCAGGTCCGAAGGCCCATCTAGTCGTTCCACCAGGGCTCGGAGGAGGGAGATGGACTGCTCGGCGAAGATGATTTCATTCTCGACCCCCCTCGCTGTCGATTCGAGGGCTCCGGTGAACAAGACGTCAAGCTGCTGCTCGAGTGCTTTGAACAGTGACTGATAGAGAGCTGGTGCTGTCTCGACGGATAGCACCTCACGCATTGCCTCTCGCACCCGGACATTGTTGCAGCCAAGAAGCTCGATGCTCACCCTCAGATATCCGCTGAGCATCGGCTCCTCCTGGTTGTCCAGCGACAGCTTGTCAATCCACTTGAGGTCCTTGAGGGCAGGATCGTCGATAATGGCTGACTGGTCCTCCACGCACACACCGCCGAGGGAGGCGAGAAAGCCCGAGTAGTTTCGCCACTCAGCGAGGACTGCCTCTGGTAACGCTTCAGGGGCAAGAGTCGAAACTTCTTTGGATAGCTTTACCCACTTGTCGAATGCACATGCCCAGGCATCAAGTATACCGGCACTTGGATACTGCATACCTCTCAACAAGCTGCGGACTCGCTTTTGAAAAGCAACCAGTCCGGTGAAGCGGAACTCGCGGGATGCAATCTCCCGAAACGTACTGCCATTTCGTAGCAGTGCCTGGATCGCTTTGGTCGTTCCAGCAGACGCGGCCTCGATAGCCTGGCATTCCTCTAAGAATGACCCACAGCAGTTGATGACCAGCTGCAAGGTTTCAATGTTGGCTGAACAGAGCGCCACCAGCAGTATTGTCTCCAGCTGTGTGGATACAGTCGCGCGCTCAGGGATGTCTTCCGGTAGATTCGCCAAATCCTGCGCATTGGGTCAGCTGTGACACGTATTGATTACAATATTTGGACTCTCTCTCGCTGACGCATACCTTCAGGGCCCTTAGCAAGACAAGCCTAGATTCAAGGTATCCATTGATCGAGGCGATAGTTGAGCCCAGGTCCTGAGTGCCTATCCGGTCGCAGATATCTCTCAGCACGAGCGACCTGAGACAAAGAAGTCAGTCTGGGATATCGAAGTGTGTATGCAGAGAAAGAAAAGAAAAACAAAAAAAAAGGGGGGGGGGGGCGGCGGCTGGGTGAAGCGGTCAGGTTACTTACGTGGTTCTCCAGATTCTTTCCCTTATCTCGGGTGACGAGAACCACCCTGATTTTGACCATTCGTCCATAAGCTTGGCGTTTGAGAAAATGCGCGTCATCATCTTCGAGGCTGGTCGGCGGATCTCATCATCCGAGGTGACCAGACAAGGTAGGAAATCCTCAAAATAGCCTTGATAGTCAACAGCAACAGCCGCCTTGTCACCGGAAGTCGATGCCTCTTCTGTAAACAAATTGCTAGGGCAAACATTCAAGTACGTGAGTATGTGTTGGATTAGGTTGTTGTTGTTGACCAGCTCCAAAGCCTTGCGGTGTGGTGCGTCCTGATCACTTGCGCAAGTCTCGGCGAAGACTGCTGCAAAAGTCTGCTTCAGATGTCAGCACGAGTTCCATCTGGGCTCAAAGAACTTGTATAGTTATGCATACCCTCATCTGGACTTTGATGAAGTTGATGGTAAGCTGATTGAGCGCCTTGTACCTGCCTGGATCCTCAGAAGTAGCAAAGTGTGCAGCAGCTTGTATAAGGGCAATCTTGAATCCTAGTGGGGCTGCCGGTTTGAGACAGTTGGGCGCGAGGGACTCGATACAACCTTCGTAATTGAGATCCGTTAAGCTCACAAAGGCGGCGGTCATGATGTCCTGCTCAAACAGCACAGAATCGCTACCTGATGTGTTTCGGCGGAACACGGCGTCGTGGACTTCATCCTGGACATCCAGAGCGTAGCTGATGAAGGCCGCGTCGCTATTGAGGTCAAAGTGGCGGGCAGCGCGCAGGAGCAACACGAGGCAGTATGCAGCCTGCTCGTTCCTGTTCCTCAGCGACTTCCGTAGGTTCTCTAGAAAAGCAATCTTCTTGGACATACTCCCGCCTTTGGCATCTCGCATGCTGCTGGCGACCTCAAACACGTCGGGCAGGAGGAAGAGCAGTGTGGTCTGGAGCGGATACTGCATAAACCGCCGTCTCACACCATCCGCCACAGACTCGGACCTCCCATTATCGAGCACCACGGTCTGGGTCATGTCGAACAGCGTATCGGGCCCACCATCTAGCCTCCTGTGGCTCGTATGTAGCTTCACGAACTCTTTGGGCTGGCGGTCGAGCCACCTCGTGATGAGCAGGGGTGTGACGATGGCAATGGTGTCCTGGAATTGCCTCCGGAAGTGCAGGTAGCTGGAACAGATCTCCTGAATGATCAGACCGAGCTTGTAGGAATCAACCCAAAAGCACCCCACCAGACGGAGCACGACCAAGGCAGTACGTTCATCCTCGACAGCCGTGATAGTCTGAACCGTGGAGCTCTGCACCGACGTTGTGGTCCGGATCACATAGATGACCTTCCTAAAGTACTCGAAGGCGCCCGACCAGCTGGAGGCGACGACGAACTCGCAGATCGTCCTGGCATGGCGTTCCACCACCTCCACGTGCGAATCGTAGAGCGTCTGGCTCTCTAGAGAGATCTCGCTGTCCGCAAGGTCTGCAAAGCCCGCACCCACCTCCTGCACCGCCTCAAACCTGTCCAACAGGGTCTGCGTAGACAGGGTGAAGCCTTCTGGGAGCGGCCGGGTGTAGATCTTGAGGATATCGAATATCCTGGTGACCAGAGCAGAGTCCAGGGAGTGCCGGGGAGGATCCCTGGACCTCACGAATGTATGGCTGCCCGGGGAACCGGCCTCGCCCAGCTCCACAAGCCCATTGTTCCAGTGACTGGAGCAACAGTCGGCGAGCAGGCTGACGATGTAGAATTCTGAGTTGAGGACATGGGGCGGGTGACTGGCAGCCGTGCCAGCGGATCGGTAAGGTCGACCGAGGTCTTCCAACAGTGATATCAAGGCATCGATGACGAGGGCGATAGACGGGACGCTGATCTTCAGCAGGGTGGCACGTGTTATGAGGACTATGTCGTCTTGATAAAGGTCCTGGACGGTGGTTCCCGTCCGGTGTGGAAGCTAGATTGGAAGGTAAAGCAAGGCGTCAGCACTGGCGAGTTCTTTGCATTAGAGGGAGAGAGGAAGACCCGTGTTCCAACCCCCCCCCCCCCAACCTCTATTCATGGCTCTCAGTGGCAGCTTTTTCTCTTCCTCTCCCCCCCCCCCCAACTCCCCCCCAACTCGCCCCCCTCACTCCTTCTTTCTTCCCATCATCCTGATCTTGACTGTAGAAAGCAGAAGCACAATAACACAAGCACAAATTCTCACCCGTGTGGTTAGCCTCTCGACAAGGCATCCGACCAGACCGCCATCAGCGTTCATTGTGGCGAGCGATGTAGGGACGTGTCGCCCTGATTTGCATGTTTAAAGCAGCATGCCCTCGTTGGGCCGGATCGGGGTCGTTTCGTCCTGCCCTGTCCTGAGAGAGGGAGAGGGAGAGAGGGGGGGGTTGGCCTCCTCAAGGACAGTTCCAGAGGGTAGCAGAGCTTATGTCCGAGCGGGTCGAGCTGGGAGGCTGCGGACAGATGAGTTGGAGGGGTGGTGGTTGGACGCCGTGTAGTTCTAGGGGGAGAGAAGGGTCGGAAGCTCTCAAATACGCGTAGGCGGGTTGATAGGGAGGGAAGTGTCAGGGCGGGTTGGATCGTAAACCCTGCGAGAAACTGGTGCACAGCTACTTTTTGGGCCGGAATGGGGCCCAAGATAGTAATGGAGCTGATAGATGGACCTCGAAGAAGCCCTGGCTAGTCTTGAGAGGGGAGAGAGTAACAATGATCAGACGACGAGAAAGAAGATGGGAGTGGATGCCCTCGGCGGAATCGATCAATTGGGTAAGTCAGGTAGTCAAAAGTCAAAGCTAAAGGATTATCGTGAGCCTGGCCCGTGAGACTGTCTGGTGTACACGGCGCGCTGTTTGTGCAGAGGAATCATTAGAGGATAGTGATGTACACACAACCTGCCAGGTAGGGAGGAAAGATTGAGTCGACCTTATCGGCCTGATCGTCAACCTGTCATGCTGTGTTTAGGTTGCCTGTGGAAGGTTTGCGACAGGTCGAATCAGTGGACGTCGAGTCTGATCCGAGACCGCCCAAGGGAACAAGGGGGGGGTACCCTCGGGCAGTGGTGGTCCTCGATCAAGCAGAACCGGCCCCCTGCTTGTTTGGCCCCCTCAGGTCCCAGGGTTTAGTGTCACGGTGCCTTTTAGCGCAGGTAGATAGTGCCTGGACAGCTGCCCTAGCTGCCGTAAGGTAGGCAAAGTTTAGTGAGTGGGTGGGTACGTAGTGCTCGGTAGAGCTACAGTAGAGGGAGAGTAGGAGGCACGGGCAGGCACGGGTCGGTATTCCGTCTCCCCCAGCCTTGCACGCTAAGTATGGGAGGGTGGGGTTGCAATTGCCAGTGGGTGGGCCCCCCTGAGGAACCCCTGAGGCTCCTTCGTTTGTGACGCACTACAGTGGCCATAAGTCGCACGCTATGTTGAAGAACACGGACCGTTTCCATCTTCTGATGATGACTTCAATGCTCTCTCCTCTCAGCAGTACTTGGTCCATAAATGTGAGTTCCTCTTGACCTCGTCTCAAGTCAAGACGATTTCCTATGACTGGTCTGTCGATTCTATTGCCAGTCTCGAGATCGACAATTACTTAAAAGTCAACTGCCACAGTAGTAGGAACCGAGAATGAGGGACCACAGCATTCTGAGCTTTGCCCAAGTTGAGTTGGCCCTCTTGACAACCAGCTGGCAAAGTGACACGACTATACGACGATCAGCTGCAGCAGCAGTGCATGATACAAACCTGTGGGTAGGGCAGAAAAGAGGAGGAGTGGGAAACCTGGGATGATGATTCGGCACTCGGTGCGCTATGCTGCAACCTGTAGCAGCAGCCAGGGAACGGCATGCTGGCACCACCCATGCAAAACGAGCTTGTTGCCGTGCACTGCCATAGCCATAGCCCTAAACCATGCCATCGCAACTGCATCGATTGCATGATTAAGCTTCCAAGTATACGCCATGCGTGACGTTGATCGTTGATCTCTTTTTCTTCTTTCTCCCCCTCACACAACACGAACACATCATATCATATCTTTCCATCTGCAGACTATCCTCGACCAGAGTTCGACCATTCATTGGAGAAGAAGAAAAGGAAAGAAAAAGGAAAACACACTACTTCATATAAGTGACTTACACAGCACCCACTTTACCACCCCTCTTCATCGATTCGACCTCTGGATAATCATCTCCTCGGTATCTCACAAACACATCATCCTCTTCATCATGTCCAACAAGACAATTGCCCATATCGACACGCCAGACCCGTGGATGATAGCTGCCAATGGCGTCTTCTACCTCACCTTCACCCTCGCCAATCGCATCGAGATCTGGGAGTCGCCCCTGATGGAAGACTTCCACAACCCCCGCAAGACGGTCGTGTGGCACCCTCCCAAGGACTCACCCTTCTCGACCGGCATCTGGGCTCCCGAGCTACACGAGCTGAACGGTGCGTGGTACATCTACTCCACCGCCACTCAGCCTGGGGCAGGAAACCCCGGCCACCGCACCATCGTGCTGCGCTCGAACCTGCAGGACCCTATGGACGCTTCTGGGTGGGAGTTCCTAGGCCCGCTGAAGGGCATGCCAGAGCACTTCTCCATCGATGCCACCGTCTTCAGCCCCAACGGACAGGACCTGTACGTCTGCTGGTCAGGCTGGCCGCCAGGAGATAACTCGGACACCCAGCAGAACCTGTACATCGCCCAGATGGTGTCGCCCGAGGAGGTCGTCAGCGAGGCCGTCCTGCCGCCCGCCTGCATCGCCCGTGCCGAGCTGCCGTGGGAGCGCTTCGAGAACGGGCGGCGGGGCATCAACGAGGGTCCCACGTGGCTGAACCTGCCCAACGGCGCCTTCACGGGCATTGTCTACTCGGGCCACGCGAGCTTCACGAGCGAGTACAAGATGGGCCTGCTACGACTGGTAGCGCCCAATGCGGACCCGCTGGATCCCAAGTCCTGGGTGAAGAGGCCCACGCCGCTGCTCCTCAACGAGCAGTCACGGCCTGGACCCTATGCGCCCGGCCACGCCAGCTTCCTGCTGAGCCCTTACCCGGGCGACGAGAGGATCTTCTGCATATACCACGCAACGGCCAGCTGGGGTGAGGGCTTTCGCAACAGGAAGGCTCGGGTTATGGCTATGGCGCCGCACCATTTCGCCGACGGTGCCCCGCCTATATGCTGCTCGAACGCGCCTGACAACCCCTTCTGGAGCGGAGGCCCTGCTACTGGCCCCTCTGTTGGTGGTGGCGGCAGTGGCCCCCATGAACATCACCATCAACAACAACAACATCACACGGCTGGCGCGGCAGGGATCGGGCAGAAGATTGATCAGTTTGCCAGCAAGGCCCCTGCGCCTGTGCAGAAAGCGTTGGATAAATTCAAAAAGTTCCTCTAAGACGAGGCTGTCTGGATGATGATCACTCTCGGCTTCTTGGACGGCGCAATGAATAGGTTTTTGCTAAAACTCTGGTTAGATGATGCTGAGGCCTCCTGACTGCCCATTTCTCTTTTGCTCCTGTCTCATGTATGTTTTTAATTTATCTTACGAGTGAACCCAAAACGATGGGCGCGGTCCTTGCATGGCGACCCTCGGAACGCAGACGGTCTGAACCATATTTACATCCAATGAAATGTGATGACGATAGGCCGTTCCAATAAGGTTGTGGGTGGCCCAGGTCAATGACAGGGCCAGTGAGATGGGGGCCCTTCCTCTGTGAGGTTCGCAAATGTCCACTCGGCACAGCCTCGCTCTCTCTCGGAAGTGATTGGCGGCTCAGCCACGGAGCCTTCCGTACCACTGCGCATACACATAGTAATTACATACAAAAGCAATGTGTGTCGAGGTACAGACCATTCATCCCCTTCATTGATCAATCAATCAGAACTCTTTGTCCTCTTCTCCGTGTTTTGATTCTATTCGCCCCCACACAACACTACACACACACATATACTCGCAATGGCGTCCAGACACAGCAGCAGGCTTGCCAGGATATTCCCCTGTTTCCACAACGATGCAGGCGAGCATCTGTCCTCCCCCAGCAATGACCATGACCACCCATCAGCATCCAAAGTACCATCATCCGCCCCCGAAGCAAAGTCCAAATCGAAACCTACCCGCCCAGCCAGACACATGTCCACTAAGCAGCAGGCTGAGGCCTACATCCCGACTTGGCAGCGCCTAGACGTCCCCGACAAGTCCGCCGCCACCGGACGCCGCAAGGCTGCCTCCGTCTCCAACGGGTCCAGCTTCGATTTCTCCACCTCCACCTCCACCTCCACAGAAAGTCTCGAGAGCAGAAGAAGACACAAGAGGAGCCAGTCCGAGGAGGGCAGGAATAGCAACATGCTCTACTTTGGCGACGGAACCTCGCCGCCCCCAGCCCGGAGGATGTTCAACAGCGCTGCTGGTAGCGGCGGCGGCGGCATGGCCAGTAGCAGCAGCACGCAAATGAGCTCGTCCCTACCGGCCAGGGGCGGGAACGGGATCTTGACTGGACGCGATGCGAGTGGGTATACGGCGACGGGCATGACGAGTTCGAATATCATGAGCGGCACGTACGCGAGCCTCACGTACGGGGGAAGTCTGCAGGCCAACTATGCGCAGAACCAGAGCTTTGGGGCTGGGACGGGACTTGGAGGGCTGGGCTGAGAGATGGTACATACTGTACAGAAGAGAAGTTCTCCATTCTTCTCCCCTCTCTTCATACCTCTTTCACTCTCCTGCTTTTTTCTCCCCTCCGTTTTCTTTGCATGGCACATCAGATACCCATCGGAGCATGCATAGAGCGGGGTGGGCAAAGGCGCCCGCCACATGTGGATGGGCTGGGTAATTTCTGCAGGCGTTGGGGCTGTGATTGCCTTCCTTCTTCAAGAGATACTTGTCAAGAACCTTGGTTCTGCAACAGATGTAAGGTCCACTGGGGAAAAGGCCCATCCAGTCGCACGTATCAAGTATTGTCGCTACTTGCCCAAGGAGAGTTAGTATGTTGCTGACGACAACAAGACGTGGAATTGTGAAACTTGTTCATCGAGTCGAGGTGCTAGGCCAAGTCAGGAGGGACAATGAGCATGCACATCGAAAGTTGAGGGCGGAGAAACCTACTAGACAGCTCTCTCTCTCTCCACACAGCGAAGGAACAACATTTGAGTAAGAGAATGTAATTTCATAGTCACAATCGTGAACAGGTCACCACTTTGGATCTCTTGCCTTGCTTCTCTACGAATAGACCCGCAGGGATGAGGTAGAGAGAATATAATTAGTGTAAGATTGACCTCAGAGTCCAATATCCTTCCCAATTCCAGATGAACCCTCGTTACTATATGTTCTCCATGACAAGCGTCAAAAGTTAGGTGGATAAATGATATTGCCAAGAATACCAAGTACAGTTTCAGATGAATAGGGAGCTAAGAAGAAGTAAATCCTCCATCCGAACGCCCACTGGAATATGCAGTCTGTCGGTCCGAATAAACATGTCTCCCCTTCTATTTCCTGGTCCTATTCAAGCTCCTATTCCATTATACTTTGACTTAGTAGCTTTTCCAGGAAGGTATAACACCTACATGTGCTAATAATATTGCTACCCCCGATTATGACCCTGATACAACGTTACTCAAGTATATAGCGGGCTACTTATATTGTGGCGATGGCAGGGCCCGCACGGCATGCTACGCCAAGAAAGGAACGAGACGCGAGGCTACACTGAGGCGAAGAGGTGAGTGAGCAGGCGCATAGTCCTGGGTTCGATCTATATACTCCCGAGGTGCGAGTTCTCAGCGTTGTGCTATATGACTCCTTTCTACGAGCTGATGACGTGCATTCACTTGGGTGGACGACGTGCTCATATTAACAGGGTTGTGACATCGGTTTCACGGTACTTGTGCACAAGTATTACTTAATTTAAGAACAAAGTTAATGGGAACCCCAATGGTTTGTATTTGACTTCTACCATCAGTCTATAACATGATTCAAAGTGCAGGATTTTAGAGTTGCCATCCTCCTTGTCAAAGTTCCCAACGGATTTTTTTCCTTCTCTCTTTCTTTTTATGCCCTTGTTATCTTCATCGTCTGCTTTTCTCATGTCTTCACGTTAGAACCAGTAGCTACAAATATACGAATAGAGTATGTTGTAGAACTTACACTGCAAGATGGCGCAAGTCTGCTGTAGCATGACATGCTCATCGAGCCGAACCTCCTTCACACGCTTATACCAGAGTGATGGTGGTCGGGAGCGAGGTGGGCAGCGTCAGAGTAGTAGGGATAGTGATGGTCAACGAGGGGAAGGTAGTGGGAAGGTCCGTAGGGATGCTGATGGAGAGACTGGTGGGGAGGTCCGTAGGGAGGGTGAAGGAGAAGGAGGGGAGCGTGGTCGGCAGGTCCGTGGGGATAGAGGTCGGGAGCGTGATCGAGAGATCGGTCAGCGTGGTCGGGAGGGAGATGGCGACCGCAGCAGCCGAGGAGGCGAAGGCAAGGAGGCTGAAAGAGCGCATATTGACTGTTTAGTGTAGGTTTTTGGGAGTGGGTTTTGTAGGATGAGGAAGCTGGACTGAGGGAAGCCGTGAAATGATTCGAGTCTTGAGAGGAAACTGCCTTGATCGAAAGGGTTGTGTGAACTAAGATGGACTGGGTGAATCGACTGCCTTATATACTCCTGGTCCTGACGCCGTGGCATCCGTGCGTCGTCTTTTCCCTCAACAGAGCCAACATAGAGCATCTCTGAATCAGGAAGGCCAAGTCGAGACGTAACACTTGCATCTTTCGTGATGCAAGGCATCACCCGTGAGGTGCGTCTCTAGCTTCGGGGCCGGATCCTGTCGACTCCAGACGACAAGCCTAGCGGAGAGAGCATCATGCACGCGGCGTGGCTGCATTGCCGGAGCCTCATACGGCCGCCAACCAGCCAGCCAGCCAGCCAGTCCGTCCGCGGAATGATTCAAGAGGAAGGCGATAGCGGTACATACCAAACGACACATCACCCAATGATTGTAGAATGGAGAGAAGTGAGCACGTAGCATGTTTGCTACGGCTCGAGGTTTCGTTTGACTATGTTTTACTTCTCTGCCCATTGCATTTCTGCCGAGACGTAATGAATTGATGAAAAGCATCGATTCTGAAACTAAGCTACAATACACGTGTATCAACACAATATACACGAGAACAACCAATTTCAGAAATCAATGAATGAACATATATCAATAATATATGCATATTCTAAGCGAAACAGACATGTTGTGGACAAAACAACCTTCTCATCATTACAGTCTGCTTCGTCGTCGTCATTTCCAGCTGTAAGCGAGTTTCTGCATGAATATATCCGCAGTAAACCCATCCCAGCCATAGCCTATCGCATCCATACCACAAAATATCAAACTCATAAGCCAAAATCCGCGGTAGACTAATGCAGACTTGATCGACAGCGCCCCACAGCACCCCAGTGCAGGGGGACACTGCCGATAGAGGGGGCGGTATAACAATCACTATACTCTCCTGTAGGCAACGCAACAAGACTACGTGTTCTAACAGCCTACTTAGGTAGGTCCCTCATCGCAGGCCCTGGGGTGGTAGGACGGTTCCTCTCCCACTGCCCCCCCCAAGAAACTCCCATCTCGGCAGATATGCCGTAGTGTGCCTGTTCGTACATGAAACTGGGCAGAATTTTCCGGACCACATACCATGCCTGGCCGTGCAGCTTGGTTGTTGCTCGACGCCTCATCACCGGGCTATCTGCCCGTCCGATGACCGACCGAAGGCCCTGCGGCTTGGACTGCTCGGGAAGGAGAGGTTCGACGAAGGCCTTTCACGGACGGGGGCTCCAACGTTGCAACGAATGATTCTCTGCCTCTTGGAAGGGACAAAACCGTGCCGCGCTTTGCGATTGCATCTCATCACCACGCATACACAGCTGCGCCACAATGAAGGGAGTCCGCGGGACGAAAAGCAAGATCGACGAGAAAAGTAGTAGCTTCCTTGACATGTTTTGTGTCGAGGTCTGTCTTCTTGTGCCTTAAAACGAGCACTTCTGATGGACACATTGGCTTATCTATGTGCACAACCCCTCAATAGTCACGCAATTGGCATAAGCAAGTACTTAGTGGAGATGTTGAGGCCTAGAATGGATTGACAACCGACATGATCGACAAATGCTGGGTACATACATGAACCCATTTTCAATGGTAAATGAGCGTGTAACGATAGACAGCAGCGGATCACTCGGAGGCAGTCAGTCACTACCGATCTAACTATGACTACTTGCAGAATACGCGCACCTTTGCAAGACGCGTAGAATAAATGTGGTTCTTCCTATCTACTAAGGTCTCCCCTTGATACAGCTCATGTTCAAAACTCAAAAATAAGATTTGCGCAAGCAGCTTAATGGCATGCCTGGAACGAGAGGCAGAAAAGAACTTACAAGCAAAGACGTGCATCAAACTAACCGAGAATGTATTCTTTGTTCCTAGCCTAAGCGGGGGCTCATGTGCTGCTGACTCCGTGGGATCTGCGTGGAGTTTTTGTGCAGCCAGACCTTTGAACTTTTCCAACAACAATCATCATACCACATCCAGCAGTATTTTGTCGCCCGTTCACCGTACTCTTACGGCTCACCGACGATAACCACCGCCGTTTCCATACCCCCGGCCGTTGCCTCGGTCGTAGCCTCTATCACCTCCATAGCCCCCTCCATAGTGACGGTCATCGCGGCCTGGAGGGGGTGGTTGTCCGTAGCTTTGGCCTTGATATCCGCCACCGCCGCCGTAGTACTGTCCCCCATGAGCTGGCGGTGGAGGTGGCGCACCATAGCCGCCACCATTGCCGTAAGATTGTGCATATCCACCTCCGCCGTTGTATCCACCGTATCCTCCTCCATATGTGTGCGCAGGCGGAGGCGGTGGTGGCACGCCGGCACCGAAACCTGGCGCGCCAGGTGGAGGCGGAACCCATCCGGGGGGTGGTCCAGAATATCCACCGCCGTTGCGTGGAGGGGCATTATTGTAATTGTCACGACCGTAGCCTCCACCTGGTGGGCCCCGATCTGGGCGCCCACGGCCTTGGTAGCCACCTCCGCGACCCTGGTAGCCGCCTCCAGGACCGTAGTTGATCTGCTGGCCGCGGCCGCCACGGTAATCGGAACGACCGAGGGGGGCACCTCCGTAGCTTCTGCCTGAACGACGCCCTTTGTTACGAAGCTCTTCGATGTCGTGTCTGTCGAGAGCCGGAGTGGGAAGCTTGACGCCGCGAAGTAGCATAGACTTGTGCGTGTGCGCACTGCTTGGCATCTCGTAGTTGACACTGGGTCTTGTTAGTCATGAGCCATCAACAGGACAAAGAAAGAAACAAAGAGAGAGATGACAGATGTTAAAGACTTACGTCAATGAGCGGTCGTAATCGATGTCAGGCATTGACTTTCGCTCCAGTGGATACGTTAGACTGCCATGGGGGAGGTAGCCCTCGACCTTCTCAATCTCGCCCGCCAATCCGTCGCTTAGTCTGGGGTCAAGCTCGTATTTCGGAGCACCTTGCTTCTTGGAATAGAAGTGGTTGATAACATCATCGTAGAGAACAGTGTGGCCATCCGATATTATCAGGACTTCGTGGCCGTTCTCATTGCGAGCCGCCACGTCCGGAGCCATCAGAGGATACTTCTTATGCATAGCAGAGAGCAACCTGTCCATGTCAATAAATGGCAACAATGCGATGCCCTGCCAAGCCATCTTCTTTCCGTTCAGGTCGACCTCGAAATCTTCAGGGTAGAAATCGATGATCTCGCTGTCTTCGTTGGTCATGAGGTCATGGAAGATGTCTGGAATGGCATGTCTCGAGGCTGCTGGGAGAACGCTCATGAGCTGTTCATAAGGCTTGGACACCCTGCCTTTTTGGAACTTGATCTCCATCTTGTCCAGTTCAACGAAATCTGCGGCGAAAGGTGCATAATGATACGGATAGTACCAGTCCCAGGACGGACAGCCCTGGAAGTAGTACATCAGTACCCACGCCAGGCCTTCGACGTAATGCCTAGCCACTTTGTGACGAAACTCGACATCCTTGGGATCCACATGGAATTTTTGTTCGTAATATCTGTCAGCATAGCCATCCTCCCAAAGCCTGACTGTGTCGACTGGGCCCTCCTCGTCGGTGGTTGCAGATGGAGTCGCGGCGTCTGCACTGTCGCTACCGGGAGTACTAGTACCGTCCTGCTCCATGAGGGCCGCCTTGCGCTTTGTAGCACCCGAGGGCGCAACTGTCTCTGCCTGTGACTCCTCTTCGCCGTTCGCCGAGTCCTGCGCGGTTTCATTGGTCTTGGACATCATTCCCTGTAGTTGACTCTTCAACACGCTGGCAGCGCTCTTGTTTGCGGTATTGGCGTTCTGCACCGCACTTCGGTTGACCACCATGTCGTGCGTGATGGATTTCCGAGGTGCATCTAAGGGACCTGGCAAGCTTGTGATTGGCATGAAGGCTGCCTCAGGGGCAAGGCCAGGGATCATGTTATCCAGCTTTGTCTTCTGCTTATTCCCGACAGGGGCGGGTGCGTTCCTGTTGCCGCCTCCGCGGCTCTGTTCCTGGAGTTTCCTCCTCTTGAAATTGGCCTCTCGTCGATCCTCCGTCTCTTTCCTGCGACGGAAGATGGCATCCTCCTGCTTTCCAAGTCCGGCCAGGATGAGCTGCGCACGTCCCAGATCGCAGTGGCCGTCCTTTGTGAGGAATCCGCCCATATAGGGCAAGTTGTCTTTCCAGATGGCGACAAGTGTATCGATGCCGTTCTCTCGGATCTCCAGGGCCGGAAGGTGAGGCAAGAAGTCATTGCCCACAAAGAAGCACATGAATACCCAATCGTCAATGGCGCGCTCAATGTCCCATTTGAAAGGAAGATTGGGCACTTCAAGCTCAACGGCAAGATATTCGCGGAAGATGGAGACATGAAGCCAGATGAAGGGCTTCAGGGGTTGGGCATTATCCTTGCCATCAAAATCGGCCTCGCGCTCCTTGGCTTCGCCTCGACAATTCTGAGCGTCGTGGCCCTTCTGTCCACATAACTTACACATTCTTGCCTTGCCTTGGTCGAAGAAGACATCCTCACGCAGGACTCTGAAATGGGGCTCATGTGTAGCCAGGCCCAGCATGATCAAATCAGCATCCAGGCCATAGATGACGTGCCGAGTGTTGGGATCATGCTCTGGAGAGGAGCGCTGGGAGCGAACAAAATTCATGATCTTGTGCTCACCCTCTCCAGGAATAGTCGCATCTGAGATGATGACCTTCACCTTGGCCCAGGCGGGATCGGTGTTGAGCTTGTAGCTGCACCAGTATCTGAGGCTGGCAGCCAAGATTTCCATAAAAGGTGTACCGGGTGTGATGGAGTTCGAGTCAAAAGCTTTCTTGACTACCTCCTCAGTGGACTCCGCGGGGTGGGTGCCGCCATTCTGCTGTTTGAGCAAGGTGAGCAGCTGCTGTTTATCTTCCTCTTTCTGCTTCGCATCCTGGGCGGCACGGAAACGTCGGGAACGCTGCTGGTTCATCTTGGCACGTGGAGCGACACCATCTATAGAGTAGGGAGAGTCATGTCAGTCTTGGAGATGATCGTGGCGGGAAGAAGGGGCCCCCCGGGGGGGCGGGTAGGACTTACCAACAGCAATCATGAGCAGCTTGCGCGGCCTTACCATGTTGACCACTCGGTCGGTGTATTTGAAGACTTCCACCATCATCTCCTCCTCATCCTTCGGTGGAGGTCTGTCCTCAGGATGCGAGCAGGGATGGACAATACCGTTCATGTCTAGGTACAAGTTGTCGAACTCTTCGCCGTTTGGGTTCGGCTGAGTTGTGTCCACAGGGATGACAGTGCCATCGTCCATGGTGACAGGTTGGTCCTCGATGACAGGAGAGATGATCTTTGGATACTTGTTGGAAAGCCATCGGAATGCCGCGGGGATACCCATCTTGTCGGTAGGAGAGGGCTATGGAGCCTCTGCTAGAAAACCAATGTTTGGAATGATGAATGTCGATGTAGAGCTGTTGGTACTCTGCTTGCCTACACACAAGTGGTAGACTTTTGGGACATATGCTCTGAAGTGTAACAGTACACAAGTGATGCAATCGATGCACAACAACAGAGCACAGCGTGATTGTCGCGAGCTTGGATGCTGTAGTGTTCAGTGATCAATCAGCTTCGACCTCGAGACCTTCAGCTCTCTAGTAACGACAGTCCAGCTTGGTTGAGAACATCTGCCAACAAGACAAGTCCCTTCAGAATGCGGAGACTGTGCTTTGAATCAAAGGATGGACTGCAGAGGCCAGGCGACAAAGGACCTCAATGGCGATGGGGCATTGATGGAGATCGTCAGGCTAGAAGTTTTGAAAGAAATGCGACATCGATTGCGGCACAGAAGGTATGCGGCTCCAGCAGCTTCAAGCCCCACTGGGGTAGTCTTGGCAGGCAGGGGTCCTACCGCATTCGACTTACTGAGCCAGATCTCGGTACGAAAGTACGTACCCTAACCCTATAAATCTGGCTAGCAGGTTGCCCAACCTACTTCTTTCATGGATATTCCTTGGCTGAACATCGGTCGAATTCGCATGTCAGCTACTTGGTGGTTTTCTGAAGGACTGTGTGAGAGTTGCTTTTAATTCTTGAGGGAATGAAGAGTGTACAAATAGCGAATTGAAGAGACTGAGTGGCTTGCTATCGTGGGATCAATCTGCCCGGGTGGGTTTGGTGAGGGACGGTTCAGGGGCTGAGCAATCAATCCACTAACCCCCTGTCTGAATTTGCTCCCCCCCCCCCTTTTACCCTGCGCTGCCTCGATCCTCGTTGGACGAGCAGGAGGGATGGATGGACCTTGATCTACCAGTCGGAATTCGCGATCTTGCCCTCATAACAATGTGAGAATCTACTGTGGTACAGTGCAGCCACCCATTCCTTAAACTCCTAATAAGTCGTCGACTTCGGTCAGAGCAGTCACTCTTTTTGCATTCGTTGTGATACCCCAAGCCTCGCTTGTCTTTTTGCTATTGTCTCTCGGACTCATTGTTTATGTAAAGAGGGACCGTTGCACACATCATACACAAGTACCTCAACGTCCACTTTAATACCACTGACATATTCCATCGAGCGAACCTCCTACAACACGATCACCTCTGTACCATGTTCTGACGGCGACTCGTTCCCGGTAGAATCGCTTTCTTAGTCATGATGAACGGAATATCGACCAATAATTATGGCTACAACGACGGCCTCCTGTCTCCTGCCCAGGGTGTCAGTCCTGGACCAAAGCAGATCATGGATGGATACAGGAAGGACGTGTTGAATGGCTTCGGGCCAGAGAAGCCGCGCTACAATCCTGTACGTGATGACCTTCCCCCCTTGCTCTCTCGCCTCTGATTTACCTGGCTATCTATGCTCGCTTCTCTGCTAACACAACAGCCTTCCTCGTAGTTGAACAGCGAGCGACCTCAGAGCTCAGTAAACGTCGACCTCAAGGATCCGATACAAGTCCACCTCCTTACAGAGACGGCCCTGTCCGACAGCAAAGAATGGGAGATTTTGTCGCAGGAAGAGGTAGACGAGCTGAAGAAGCAGATCCAGTCCCTGACTGTGCGCATCGAGCAGGCGCGGGCGAACCTGGCCATCCAGACAAAATACCGCGATGCAGCGATCGCCATGACGAAGCTGTACCATTCAGCAAAGCGGATGACCGTCGATCCGAAGGCAGCAGAAACACAAATGGAGAGAGAGGCCAGCGAGCGGGCCTGCGAGGAGCTGGCCTCGGAGTTGTTTTATCTTGAGAAGCGGATCATGGAGCCGCAGCGGCGGTTGCTACAACATACTGCTGGTATCCTACAACTCACGCATAAAGCCTCGGCGAAGGACGGGAGCGCTGCGGCGCCCATGCTTAATAATGGCATACCAGGCAGTCCCGAGAGTCTGTATACGTATACGAATGGTCGGAGTAGTATGCAATTCTCCAACGACGACATCGATGACAGGAGCCTATATTTCCCCCTGGACGACTCGGAAGCGAATCGCTCACCCAAGACTGACATCACCATACCGCCGAGGTCACCAGTGAGGCAGCGCACAAATCAACTGAAGGACGAAGTGGAATTCCTGAAGCAGCAGAACGCTGGACAGATGGACACCATCACGAACACGGAACGGAACCTCGAGGACCTGAACAATCGACTGCGGGATCTGGTGATTTCAGTCGACCCGACGAAGAATGCGGAGTACAGGGCAGTGCCTCCTGCCACCTCGGAGCCGGGAACGTTGGACACGCAGCTGGAGTATTTGACCGAGGCTCTGTCAGTAATCCAGGATAGCCATCAAGGCCGCCAGCTACTCGTTGCGGACAAGATCAGGGAGTCTGAGAGCACGGCCGCGTCACTCAAGCAAGCCGAGGAACGCATGTCTGTTTTGAATCGACAAGTGCACGAAGTCATATTGTCGGGCAATCCAGATCACCCTCCTCCGCCCGAGACCGCTGAAATAGGACTTGATGAGCATTTCGGCTGGATGGACCGGTCCATACCAGCTTTGCAAATACAGCTGGAGAGGTCGACTGCATCATCCGCTGACGCCCAGCAGGCCCAGCAGGTCGAAACCGTCCTTGCTGGCCTGTGGGACATCATACAGTCAGGCTACGCGGAGATCAACCGGCAACGGGAAGCCCGAAAGCAAGTTCGACTCGGGAAGGGGATGCCGGACGACGATGACGATGTGTCTGCCGATGAGTCCTTCGACTTTAACGAGACCTATTCGCTGAACGCATTTTCTGCTAAGGTTCAGTGGCTGTTCCGACAGGCGACGAGTCTGAAGGAGCAAAAGTCCGTTCTGAAGAGGCAGATTAGACAACAGCGCGAGTTGAACAGCAGGGGCGATGGCGACAAGGACGCGGAGCTCAGAATCAAGGTTGAAGAACTGCAACGGACCAAGAACCTGCTGGCCTTTACCGAGGAGAACGTGCAACACGCCAAGGAAGAGGCTGAGGCGACGCAGAAGAAGCTTGACCAAGCCCTTACAGACCTGGAGACCCTACAGGAGACCCACACGGCCAACAACGTGGCATCATCCTCGGCTGCGCAAGAACAGCTTCGAGAGCGAAATGCCAAGATTGCCTCTTTGGAAGCTGACACCCAGGCCTTACAGGACAAGCTGGAGATTGTCGAGGCACAACTCGGAAGCATGAACGAGCAGCTTGCAGAGGTTGACCAGGCCAAGAAAACCGCAGCTGAGGAGGCCCATAAACTTGAGGAAGAAATCAAGGCTAGGGACGAGGAATTGGAGCAGCTGAACATAACGGTGGCTGAGCTTAAGACGGATTTGACCATCGCCAAGGCCGAGCTGGAAGGAGCCTATGGATCTCGTTCAGAACGTGCCGCGGAGGCGGCGGCTTTGACCAAGAATACGCAGCTGCGGGAGATGTCGGCACAGGTTGAGAAGCTGAAGCAGGAGCTGGCAGCCACCGTCAAGGAGCTCGAGGATGTCACCAAAGAGACGCTCGCATCCGAGAGGGAGAAGAACGACCTCGAGGGCCGCCTGGATGAGGTGACTGCGAACCGAACCACGCTGGAGACGGAGATCAGCGGGCTGCGAGACAAGCACCGTGCCGAGGTGACCAAGCTCAAGGAGCAGCTTGAAGCAGAGAAGTTTAAGGCAGGTCCAAATGCCACAGGCACAGGTCCTAGGGCGGGCGCTACCATGCTCAGCGAGCAGTTCCGCACAACGATGAAGGAGGAGAGGAAGAGGTTCCAGGAAGAGTTGAGGGTAAGCTTGCACCTCATTTACGTCTACCTTGTCCAGGATGCATCTGCTAACAAGCCACCAGGAGGAGCAAAGCAAGCGCAGGAAGCTGGAAGAGGAGCTGCGAGCGCTGAGGAAAGCCGGGGGTTTGAAGAGCCCCATCAGTCCGCGAGAATAGTGGCTTACACCGGACGGACGGCCACCTTCCAAACGCTATCGAATGATGCTGTACCCTGTACTTTTTGATACCGGTATGGCGTGGTAAAAAATTATTTAATGTGTTTCGTTTGCTTCTTGGATATGTGTTAAGAGGCTGGATTAGCATGGCGTAGAAAGGAATCTCAGCATCAGGGAGGGATTGCTCCCCCATGGACAGCTTGCCCACATAACAGAATAGACCTGCGAGATATTGCATCAAGCCGTCGCGCAACGTTTTGATGATTAATATTATACCATTTATAATGTACGCTACGATATTTGGCAGCCGCCAATCAACAATTTACTCTTTTAGGCCCAGGCTTGCAAGGTAAAAGGGGGTGGCTGTTCCAAGGTCTCCTCTAATGATGGACATAGGTGATGCCGCAACGCATTGCAGCGCTATATATGCTACTGCTGTGGTAAGTATGTGCTGTACTACATACAGTAGTACGTAGTTGGACCCCTGATTTCCTGCAAGTAGGGCACCGAGAGCACTAGGGACCCCCCTGACAGGCTACAGTTGGCATCAGCACGCATCCCTGCTAGGCGCATTGCTGTTTGATTGTCAAGATTGCAATGCGGCGGTCCCCCCCCCCCCAAATATGATACCATAATTAGTAGGCACAAGGCAGTGAGTGGCACTACTTGTGTTAGTTGGTCCACGGATGCAGCTGGGGAAAGAAAACCTCCAGCCAACACCACCACGACAAGCCGTGATCGTTCGACACCCACCACCTCTGACCAAACCGGCGAGGGAGCCTTTCGAGCCTGTGGGAGAACCTTAACAGTTCTCGATGACGTAGCCCATGGCCGTGTCCTCGACAACCAATTCATTGTAACGGCGTCGAATTGAGCCCCCCTTTCCTTTTTCGACCACACTCGTTAAAGAGCTTGTGCTATACCTGCTCGTGATCGTGCCCTACCACGTTGCGTGTGTGTGCCGACGCTGCTGCTTCCTTGCATCCTCCTCCTCCTCAGAGGTTCGTGCTTACCTACCCTCTACGAAGCTACCGATCCAGATCTCGGAGACTCCAAGCGAAAGAATGCCGAAGCAATACGTTATCTTCGGGCGACCCGTGCCGCGGGTGTCGTCGCGTCGCATCTCCGTCCTCCTCGCCAGCCTGGCCCTCTTCGCCGTCTTCAGCCTGCTCTTCACGGCGCCCTCCTCGATCCCCGGGCCCACGCTGTCCGGCTCCGACCACAAGTTTTCTATGTCGATGTCCATACCAAAATGGAAGAACCTGCCGACGTTCAGCCTCTTCAAACCGCTGGCCCACGAGCCGCTGCCACCCCAGGCCAACTCCACAGACGGCGACTCGCACTGGTACTCAGACTGGAGGTGGCTCGCGATCCCCTTTAGCTCGAGCTACACGCTCGATGAGGACATGACTCTGCTGCCCGTCATGCCTAAGCGAACCGAGATCTACTGTTATTACGACACGACGCTGAAGAGGGAGCCCGCTGAGAAGGAGGCCGAGAGCGACATCCTGCTGTCGTGGCGCCGCGCGTGGTGGGCGCAGGGCTTCAGGCCAATCATCCTGAGCGAGCAGGAGGCTATGAACAACCCCATCTACGAGGAGCTGCAGCACATGGTAGACATTGACCCGGCCCTGAAGACGGATGTGATGAGGTGGCTTGCCTGGGAAAACATGGGAGGCGGCCTGCTAGCTCATTATCTCGCGTTCCCCATGGCGGCCCACGACGACCCGCTCTTGTCATACCTACGCCGGGGTGAATACCAGGGCCTCACGAGGTGGGAGAACCTCGATGACGGTCTCTTTGCCGGGGCGAAGCAGGATATTACGGCCGCCATCAAGGCTGCGCTGGGCAGCTCCCAGATGAAGACGGCCAAGACTCTCCTCGATGCCGTGCCGGCCGAGAAGGACACCGAGAAGAAGATGATCTGGGTCGACAAGACGCCCAAGTCGGTGGCGTACTACAATGCCGAGACTCTCAAGCACAAGTACCAAGTGGTGGCCTCTGCCATCACCACGAACCGCGCCAAGGGGCTGGACCAACTGAACCAGCTCATCGGCTCCCATCTGCACCTCACCTGGCAAAACAACTTCAACAAGGGCATCTCGGTGCTGAAGCCACTGCCAAAGCACACCACAACCATGATTCAGCCCGCCGTCGAGCTGGCCAACCGGCTACAGAAATGTACCGAGTCACCAATGCAGTCGTCATGCCCACCCAACAACCCCAAATGCGCCCCCTGCGTGTCCTCACAGCCCATGAAGATCTCTAGCCCGCCCAGATACCGCAATACGACAGGCCTGTACACGATAGGAACTGTGCCACACCCTTACACGCTGCACATCTTGAACGAGTTCAGAGATACTCTGGACATTCCCTGGATACGCCGCAAATCGGAACGCGACCTCTGGCTTGCCGAGGTCACCAAAGAGTACCTCGGCACAGGTGTCGGTGGCGCGCCTCGCGTCATCCGCTTCAAGCAGGCCGTGGCCGCCGAGTTTGCCGCGTCGCGTTCCATCTGGCTGCCCGCCGAGCAGGAGCTGCCAGATGATCTTGACTGGCACTTTGGCTTTGAGATCCCGCTCGAGGGTCTCGACCAGGGTAAATCCGAGACGCCGGTGCCCGGGCCAGAAAGGAGGCCGCAGCCGGAGCACGATAAACACGACGGCCCGATCGCGAAGCCCGAGGAGCTCAAGAGGGAGCCGGACCTGCTGCAGCGGGCGAGAGCCGTCACGGGCAAGGCCAAGGGCAATGACCTGACGGTCCGCACTGCGATTGAGGCGTGGAACTTGGCAGATACCGAGGCATGGAAATTTGCCAAGGCGTTTTTGGCCAGGGAAAGGGTGGAGAGAGCCAAATTTGAGCAGCAGGAGAGCAAGTATGCTGGTGGTATAGGGACGGATCGCGACAGGTGAATTAACTTGGTGGGTTGAGGACTTCTTTGGCGATGTCGAGGAGGCCTACCCGGGACACTGTTGCCCCCAGCCATTTTTCAAGGCTCGTGTGGCTGTATTTATTGGGGATAGATGAGGAACTTCTTTCTGGTTTTGTATTACCTTGCAAATCAAACTCAAACAAAGGTGGGGGGCGACTTGGAGTTCAGGCGGCATGCCAGGGAGACAAGAAATACTGTTTACAGCTATCTATCTTTTTTTTATTCTATGCTGGTCCTCTAGAGTCTTTTTTCTTCTTCTCTATCCTCAGTATGCACCCTTCCATTTTATCTATGATCCTTGAGCCGTATGCATTTGGCAGGCCTTGCTGGGAACTTGACCCTTCATCGCCTACTCTGGCTGCTGCTGCTTCTTTTTCATGCTTCTGATGTGCCCGCTCAGCCAGTACCCTTCAAGCTCCGAGGAGGTCATGTCCCTCGCGCCCGAGATGGTACCGCGGCAGCGAGAGGAACCGCAGAGGCAGGTAAAGGGCTGGGCCATGAACCATTCCGTGGAGGGATAAAAGAACTATATCGCATGGTGAGCAGGAGAATGGAGCAAATGGCTCTCAACGGGGGGAAAAGAGGAAGAACGGACTGTCAGCTCGTCACCTGGCTGTAGACCTTTGGGACCAGCGAGGACCTGCATGCTGCTTGTGTCGAGGATCTTTTTGAAAAGAGAGTCAGTCAGCCTTGTCTCGCGTGTCTTTTCTCTCTCCTTTTTGTTCTTCTTTATTCCCATACCAACCCTTCATCGCGGTTCTGTCAGCAGCTTGAGAGAAGGGGTGTGACTGACCAGAGACGGATCGCAGGAGTGGTTCATATACAGCAAATCACTGTTCAGAAGGATATGCTTGTCCTGATCGACCTGGACCGAGGCGTACGAGGGCTTCTCGATGAGGACACATGGCGGAAAGGTCATGTCGGCAAACACACCAAACGGCGGGACGGCGACTCTCGACAGGCTCTTAGAGGTGAACTCCCCTTCCTCGCCAAACACCACTTCTTGGATCTCTGGGTGCGATGGCCGTGGCCAGTCGGGCTTCAGCGGTGCCATGATGTGTATGCGTGTATGTACAGAGTAAGCATATAAATAAAGTATAGATGCGAGAGCAGTTTAAGACAGTTCAAGGGTGTTTTTAAGGATGTTCGTTCTTTTTCTCTATTCTTTCCCCGGATCGAGACTCCACGGGGTTGGTCTGGGGATTAGATGGATACACACTTTCTAGCGTAGAAGAACAAGCAGGGACCGAGGGATCTAAGACAACGGATGACGGGAACGGGCTTGTCTCCATTCTCAAGTCTACTACTTGGACCGAGGTGTTTCTCTTAAAAGACCCACAGCGGTTGGTGAAATGCTCAGTCAAGTTCAAGTCTTTGATCTTGTGAAGGTGGGTCCGGCCTCGTAGTCTGGAGTATGAGTGATTAATTAATTGCCTTCACGTGATGATGTGCCTCTCTCTCTCTCTGTCTGTCTGTGTGTGAGCACGTGTTTCTTTGTGCCTTACCAGTCAGTGTACGGTACCCCTTTATGCACTTGCAGCACTGTATTCTGTGAAGGTTAGGAAAAAGAGCAAGACAATCAAGGCGGTCGACGAAGAGGATTGGATGAGGTGAAGCGGTCTCAAAACTTTCTTTCCTCCCCTCCTCGTCAGGGCAGGGCCACCAAAAAAGGGAGGAAATATAGTATGTGCCGTTCCAGACAGACCTATCAAGCGGATGCTCCCGCCGCTGCCGTGCGGTCCGTCCAAAAGATTGGGTGACAACCCTCCCACTTCCCGGCAGTTGCACCGTCGTCAAATAGGAAGCAAACCTCCCCTTAAAGGCCCTTAAGAGGATGGTCCATCCTAACGAGTAGTGATGCGACACTGGCAGATGCGCTTGCGACACCACTTACCAGTGGCACCCCCACGTTTCTCTCTTCTCTCCTTGGGGGATGACATCGCCACAAAGGGAATAATGAGACGGATATGAACGACATGTTGACCCTGAGAAACCCCTCAAATCAGCTGACAGCTTTCTGGACACCCAGGAAGCCACTTTAGCTGTGCATACGTGATGGCTGAACAACTCGCCTCCGAGAGTCGCCGAGCTGCCAGATCGAGGAGGGAGGGGTGCACACATGCTGACAGTGGCTCTCCCAATGAGGAGCTGAAACACCTTATTGAGGCAGGATGCCGAAAGGTTAAGCATGCTTCATATGTTTCAGAGCCAAATCAGTTGACTGCCCTGAAGTCGTAATGGCGGTCAGCGGTTCCCAATGGACCAGACATATTCTGCATCTCCTCGCAAGACGCAGTGTCGCACTGTCGGGCTGGTGGCGGGGCCTTGGGTAATTGGTAGGTATGATCATAAGGTGGCGATATTAATATACAAGAATCCCCGCCCTCCGTCTGCGTGAATTTCTTGAGTCTGAGCAGTCCTAACTTTAACATTTGGATCGTCCGATGTCCTCAGTCGCGAAATATATTCTGTTTCATCTCTTTCCTTAGCTTGCGTAGGTTGGCAGCACATAAGCACTTCGAACTGCAGGTGGATGAATCTTCCTGTTACTCAGATCGAGCGCTCCCTCCTTCCCTCTTACAATCGCCTAACTTGCTATCCCACTGCCACGGCAGCAGCAGTGACGATGCGTATAGGCGCCGATGGGGCGAAGCCGCAGCCCAAACCCAAACCAACACCGCCGAGGCCCAATCCAAATCCCAACGACTCCAAGCACTAAGAAAGACTCGAATGTCCTTTTCTTAGAGGGATACATCAGGCAAGCAGCTTGATCTGTTGGGCAGGCTGAGGAGAGGGACCTCATCAAGAAAGGACGGCTGGTGTTAGATTGGGCTGTTCCTTGAAGGCTCAGGTCGCAGGTATGTCAGCTACATAACTTGACTTGGTACATCATAGACAAGAGGAGAAAATAGATTCCATGGCACGAGACTAACTGACGAAGCAGACAGAAATGACTGATGAGTGTTCACTGTGGAGTGGTCACTGTGACCGAGAGAAATGGCCTTGCTGGGACCGCCCTGGAGTTATGGTCCAAGTCGAGAGCATATCAATAAATGATGGCAAAAGAGTATAACCAGGATGGGAACATTCGATCGGGAACATGATAGTACAATGTAAATGGTATGCATGTCGGTAAGTAATGTGGCACCATGAGAAACATAAGGAGGAGGAGGAGGTTGGGGAGAAAAAAGAAGAAACACCAAAAAGAAAGCCCTCGTCTGGTAACCACGCCCTGCCGACCACTTGACGTGGTCGCTACAGCGCGCCCTCTTTCGAGTTAGGTATTTGTTTGCAGTGAACTCCAACCTAGGGGTGGCACGGCTGGCACTGTGTCTGGGGATCATTGGTTTAAGCACGGTAATTTATGGAATGTCTCTAGGAGACCTACTCGAACCGTCGACCTCTACGAAGCCGCAGCCCTTTCAGTATTTATAAGATGAATCTCTCCACTGAGCTAAACCCCCAACTCGTACTGTCTCACCCGGTTGGTGAAAGTTGTGGCTGTTGTGGTCTATATGGGCATGTTGGAAAGATCGGACGGTGGACTCTATGAGCTGGGGAGGTTGGTGATAGGGCCACACACCCACACCCACACAGCAATCCAGATGCATAACAAGAACCACCAGATAGACAGGCTCCTTCTGCGGTGGTCCAGCCCCTCATCGTCTTGCTCTTGTGACCTCCGCAGGGTGTTGTGAAGATGATGACGATGCCTTGCCCATCGAGAGCCCACTCTGCAGCCTGTACCTATGAATGCCTCTGCTTGCTGTGGCAGACCACCTCACAAGCACAGCCATCGCTCTTGTGTCTTCGAGTCATCGAAGCCTTCAAGGCCACTCGTCCTCAACAGAGGTAGAGAGGATGCTCGGTTAGCCCATGAGTTGGTGCCGTATCGACTTGGTCTAGATCCTCCAAGTTCTCAGTGACAACCGTCCGGATGTGTTCCCCCCTCAAGAGACCACTACGGAGATCACGGCCTGAGAGCATGCTCTCAAACTTGCTGTGTGCTTCCTCTTTTGGGTATGCATTGCCCTCCGTCCTCTTCTCATCCGAGATGGTCCTTTCTTTCCCTTTGCGTCAGGTGCCTCTCCCTCTCAGGCAACCGCCATAATCCACGCACATACCCACATGAGGCATCTGGGAGCCCGGGCTGGTAAAGTTCTTCATTTTCGAAAGGTCGAGGCAAGCGATATCTGAAGGAAAAAGGGTCTCAACCATAGAGGACAAACAAACGAGAATTTCTTGGATGGATAGAGGCGCGATAAGACGGATATCAAGGCAGAATGACTGGGAAGAAGGAGGCACGCATTCAACACGAACATAGAGAGAGGACGGAGGGAGTTCACCACCATGTACAGTGAAAGATCTTCTCATTGGGTACTACATACAGTAGTAAAAGGACATATGTCAAGTCACTTTCTCATTCCTCTTCCTTTCTTTCCTTCTCTTTAGCTTTTCAGTTTGTCCGAGTCGAGTTCGTTCAAGTCTCGGTGGGGTTGTGTAATTTCATGGATACCCCACCCGGCACGGAGCCCCATGTGCAGCCCTGCTTGCCCTGGCAGCGTACAGTAGCGGCAAAGACCACTGCAGGACCGGGCTGAGGCATTTTGAACCGAAGCTCCTCGACCCCTGCGCCCCCAATCACTGCTGCAGGCCCCTCACGTGGAACCAGACGCATCTTTATCTCGCTATTTATCAGGTTCTTGCCTTTACCTGACTCTCTCTATCATACTGGGCAGCCACAAACAAGCTACAGATGAGCAAGGTTATGAAGCGGAGACGTCATGGATGCCATACTATATACAACTGACCATCGGCAGGAAGGATTCCTGGGGTGGGCGCTATCGGAGCACAGATATACAGCACAGTTTACGTATTCTGGTAGGGATTCGATGCTGGGTAAGGAGCAAGAGACGAGGCCCAGAGAGGAATACTTAATACGAGATATGCAGCCACCCTAAACGGCCCGGACCCTGAAGCCTCGAGGGCACTGTAGCATTCCAGCTCGTGTATGCCTGTGTGTGTACCTGCAGAGGAGACTTCATTCCTTGTCCTATAAGATGCAGTCTCACCTTATCACAGCCGTGGCCGTCGCTGGCCTTGCGCAGCAGGTTTCGTCGTCGTCGTCGTCGTCCAACTCTAGCAGCCAGATTGTGACGGACCTCAACGTGATCCAGCGGTACTGGGGCCAGCTCAGCCCATACGCCGACAATGCTGCGTCCTACTTTGGTGTCCAGGACGTCGGACTGCCAGACGGGTGCGCCATCGAGCAGGCACACACCTTGCAGCGCCATGCCCAGCGCTTCGCAACGTCAGCTTTCGACGACGGCGTGAACGACGAGAACTTTGCCCAGAAGGTCGCGAACTGGACCGGCCCTGCCAAGTTCACGGGCCCGCTGTCGTTCCTCAACACCTACGAATACCTCCTGAACGATGAGGGCTACCTGACCAACATCGGGGCCAACACCGAGTTCGTCTCAGGAGCCACGTTCTGGAATCGCTACGGACGTCTCCTCTACGATGCGGTCCCCGGTCAGCTGCAATACAACGCCAGCTTTCCCAACGGCACGGCCAGGCCGAAGCCAGTCCTGCGCACCACAAGCCAGAGCCGCATAACCAACTCCCAGATCAACTGGGCCCTCGGCTTCTTCGGCACCAGCTTCCAGGTGACCCCAGACCCGACACTGGCCAACTTCACCGCGCCGTTTGACGTCGTCACCATCACGGAGGGCGGCACGGAGAACAACACCCTCGCCGCCTACGACAGCTGCTTCAACGATTATGACTACCCCGTCGTGGAAATGGGTGATCTCGACCTCGAGACGTACATCCCCAAGTACCTGGCCGCGGCCACTGCCCGTCTGAGCCAGTATGTTCCCTCCGGGTTCGACTGGACCGCCAACGACACGTATGCCATGCAGTCCATCTGCGCCTACGAGAATGCCTACATCGGGGACTCGCAGTTCTGCGGCTTCTTCGCCCTCGACGAATGGGCTGGGTTCGAGCTGACGCTTGACACCGAGTACTACTACGACTATAGCTGGGGAAACCCCACAGGCCGCGCCCAGGGCATTGGCTACCTGCAGGAGCTGCTGGCTCGTCTGCAGAAGCAGTACATCGACGTCAGCTCCACCAGCGTCAACTCGACGTTGACTGACAACCCGACTACATTTCCCCTGGACCAGGCCTTTTATGCCGACTTCAGTCACGATGACATCATCATCAGTGTCCTCACGGCGATGAGCATGGACTACTTTAAGGATGCGCCCGATTTTACCCAGGTGAGTGATGGTGGTGATGATGATGATGATGATGATGATGATGGTGGTGGTGATGGTGATGGTGCGGTTGGGCGCTCCCGTCCTGCGAAGCACAGAGAGAGAAACAAGGGGATGGCAAGACACAAACTGATCCTTATCCCTCCCAGTATCCCCCCGACCCGGAGAGAAAGTTCATCCTCTCCAACCTGACGCCCTTTGGCGCTCGTCTCGTGACGGAGGTGATTGGGTGCACGTCGCCCAGCCCAGCCGTCAACCCTTACTACAGCACTGTCTACTCGCGCACTGCCAACGGGTACAATGCCGGCAACGCAACCTACAAGTTCATCCGCCAGCGCCTCAATAATGGCATCCTGCCCCTTGACAGCATCCGAGGCGGGGCCTGCGAGGGTCGGACGGACGGTCTGTGCCCCATGACCGACTTCATCGACAGCCAGACCAACAGCACGAACCTTGCCAACTACCAGTATGCGTGCTTTGGGAACTACAGCATTAGCTATGATGAGGTCCTGGCTGGCAAGGACTATGACGGGACGATCTTTGAAGATGCATAGAAAGAAGATGTGAAGGGATTTCTGGACGTGTTTGTTCTTCTTGTAGATATGTGAATCACTCAACAAAAAGAAATAAAAAGAGCTCTCATCAGATCAGATTTCATATTTTCTCAACATGCAGGAGTAGGGACGACTAGAGGTATGGGTAATTTGGCAGTCAGAAAGATGCATAGGGCCAGAGTAGGAGTAATTGTGCTCGCTGATGATGAGCTAAGTATGACTGTCAAATTGCTTATGTAATGTGTCCCCTTCCGCCTTTAAGCATACTGGTATAGTACTATGGTAGGCAAGCGTGGCAAGCTGGCAGTAGGGTGTGTGCACTGGACCAGCCTAGGGCACCTGGCACCCCTGCCACCGGCATCTTAGCTGTCTCCAATTTTAGACTCCTGTCCTCCTTCGCTGAGCTTCGAACCAGACGGCTTGCTGACGACAACTCGTTGATTCCCTCAAGCTTGTCGTTGTCTGGAGCCACAGCATCACAACCACCACCACCACCACCGCCGCCACCATGGCTCCAGCTCGCGATACTCCGTTCCGCTCGGCGGACATGAGTATGGTGCAGTTGTATATTTCAAATGAAATCGGCAGAGAGGTCGTCAACGCCCTCGGAGAGCTTGGCCTGGTCCAGTTCAGAGACGTAGGTCATCCTTCCGCCCGTCTTCCTCCTGCTACCACGACAGAGGACATCGAAGTCTGCCCTCTCGATGTCACTCACAATGACTGACTGATCGATCCCTGTGTCGCAGCTGAATGGAGAGGTCACCGCATTCCAACGAGCCTTCACCCAGGAGATCCGACGCCTCGATAATGTCGAACGTCAACTGCGTTACTTCTACGCACAGATGGAGAAGGGCGGCATCCCTCTGAGGAAGCTCGACCTTGACATGGAGACTCTCGCCCCGCCTACCACAACCGAGATCGATGAGCTTGCCGACAGGAGCCAGGGGCTCGAGAACCGCGTCTTCCAGCTGAACGACAGCTACGAGACCCTCAAGAAGCGAGAGGTCGAGCTGACAGAGTGGCGATGGGTCCTCCGCGAGGCCGGTGGGTTCTTCGACCGCGCCCACGGCAACGTCGAGGAGATCCGAGCCTCGACCGACGAAGACGATGCACCACTCCTACAGGATGTCGAGCAGCACAACTCCGCTCCCGATGTGGATCACTCCTTCTCGGTCATGAACATCGGCTTCGTCGCGGGTGTCATCCCGCGCGATCGGGTCGCTGCCTTTGAGCGCATCCTGTGGCGTACCCTCCGCGGCAACTTGTACATGAACCAGTCCGAGATCCCTGAGCCCCTGATCGACCCTAGCAACAACGAGCCGGTCAACAAGAACGTCTTCGTCATCTTCGCCCACGGCAAGGAGATCCTGGCCAAGATCAGGAAGATTTCCGAGTCGATGGGGGCTGAGGTCTACAATGTCGACGAGAACAGCGATCTCAGGAGGGATCAGATCCACGAGGTCAATGCTCGGCTGAATGACGTCCAGAACGTGCTCCAGAACACCCAGCAGACCCTGAACGCCGAGCTGACGCAGATCTCGCGATCTCTGTCGGCCTGGATGGTCCTCGTTGAGAAGGAGAAGTCCGTGTACAACACGCTCAACTTGTTCTCCTACGACAGAGCACGTCGAACCCTGATTGCGGAGGGCTGGTGTCCGACCAACGACCTGCCCCTCATCCGGTCCACGCTGCAAGATGTGAACAACCGAGCCGGCCTCTCGGTGCCGTCCATCATCAACGTTATTCACACCAACAAGACGCCCCCCACCTATTTGAAGACAAACAAGTTCACCGAGGCGTTCCAGACCATCGTCAATGCCTACGGTACCGCCACATATCAAGAGGTCAACCCGGCGATTCCTGTCATCGTCACCTTTCCCTTCCTTTTTGCCGTCATGTTCGGCGATTTTGGCCATGCGTGTATCATGCTGAGCGCGGCTCTCGCCATGATCTACTGGGAGAAGCCGCTCAAGAAGGTTACCTTTGAGCTTTTCGCCATGGTCTACTACGGACGTTATATTGCCCTCGTCATGGCCGTCTTTTCTGTCTTTACTGGTCTCATCTACAATGATGTCTTCTCCAAGTCGATGACCCTCTTCCCGAGCCAGTGGGAGTGGAATCCTCCAGATGTGTACCACGAGGGGCTCCAGATCAGCGCCAAGCTCAAGGGCGACTACCGTTACCCGTTCGGTCTCGACTGGATGTGGCACGGCACCGACAACGACCTGCTCTTTTCCAACAGCTACAAGATGAAGATGAGTATCATCCTGGGCTGGGCACACATGACCTACTCGCTCTGTTTTGCCTACATCAATGCGAAGCACTTCAAGAGGCCGATCGATATCTACGGCAACTTCATTCCAGGCATGATCTTCTTCCAGGCCATCTTCGGGTACCTGGTTGTGTGTATCATCTACAAGTGGACTGTGAACTGGCCTGCTATCGGAAAGCAGCCTCCTGGTCTGCTGAACATGCTCATCTACATGTTCTTGCAGCCCGGTACTCTTGACGAGGAGCTGTACCGGGGACAAGCCTTCGTCCAGGTGTTCCTACTCCTCCTTGCGCTGATTCAGGTTCCTATCCTCCTCTTCCTCAAGCCCTTCTACCTGCGGTGGGAGCATAACAAGGCACGAGCCCTGGGTTACCGTGGCCTCGGCGAGAGCTCTCGGGTCAGCGCCCTGGACGGCGATGATGGCGATGATAACGGCCATGCTATCGATGGACGGCCGAGTATCAACAGTGATGACGAGGGTGTCGCCATGATTACCCAGAACATTGATGATGGCGAACATGAAGAGTTTGAATTCAGCGAGGTCATGATCCACCAGGTGATCCACACGATTGGTACGTCTTAGGAAGGGGAAAAAAGAAAGAAAAAATGATCTCCCCTCTCGACGATAGTATTGTTTGGATGCCCGCTAACACGCCCTCCAGAATTCTGTTTGAACTGTGTGTCTCACACTGCATCCTACCTTCGTCTCTGGGCCTTGTCTCTTGCCCATCAACAACTCAGCGCTGTGCTCTGGAGCATGACGCTTGATCCTGCCCTGAGCATGTCTGGGGTTGCCGGCGTCATCGCGCTGGTCATCTTCTTTACTGCCTTCCTCCTTCTCAGTGTTATTATTCTCATCATCATGGAGGGTGTGTCTGCCATGTTGCATTCCCTCCGGCTGGCATGGGTCGAATCTTTCTCCAAGTTTGCCGAGTTTGATGGTTGGCCGTTTGCGCCCTTCTCCTTCAAGACCATGCTGGAGGAGTCGGAAGAGCTCAAGGAGTACCTTGGTTGATTATTGATGTATTCTTGTGTTTTTCTGGTTTTGTGTTTGAGAGAAGAATGTAAACATAGAGTGTACTATTCTGCATAGCAATTTTGAACAGACCTTCTACGAGCGCGCCATAAAGTGCAAGTCCTTCTTCATTCCTATAATACATTATGTCATGATGTGAAAAAAAACAACGAGGTAGAACAAATCAAAATCAACACCCTCTCTATGTGTTGGTCACAAATGAGTTCATCAAACTCTCTTGTCTCCAATTGAGTAAGAATGCTGGCTCACCCCCTCCCAAAAGGATAGTCCGATAACCCCGTAATGCCCGGATCTGACTGGCTTAGTCATCGCCATCAGCTCCTTGGCGGGCGGTCGGGTACCAGTCAACATCAAATCACACCGTTCTGTGCGAGGTCCCTCCTTCCTCTGCAAGAGAGGGCAGCATCATCCTCTTTAGTAAATTTAATCAGTCAGTGAAAACCCGTTTGACACGGCTCATACATGATATTTTCCAAGCATGGCTGGCTATGGTGAGCCATCTCTCTTCTCATCCACCGACAAGGAAAACGGCACCGCCACAAGCCACGGGACGTCCTCAGTAGCAGCAGCAGCGGCAGACGCCGACAAACAGCAGCCCCCGCGTAAACGGCGACGCATCGTCATCTCATGCACCGAGTGCCATAGGAGAAAGCAGAAATGTGATCGCGGCTTCCCCTGCACCAACTGCGTGTCGCGCAACAAGCAGGACTCATGTCGCTACGAGACGGGCGCGCCAACTGCCAAGGCGCTCCAGCAGCAGGCCCGGCGGGCGGGCGAGGGCGGGGCTGCCGAACCACCGCGCCGCCGAGGTCGACCGCAGTCCAAGTACATAATAGACCCTCGGATGAATGGTCCGTCATTGGCATACGGTGAGGCTGGCAGCCGGCTCAGCCTCGGCTCCGTTGGTGGGCTGTCAAGGGATCCTGCGGCTGGCTCCGTCAAGGCGCCGACAAGCTTTGGCTATGCTGACGCCAGCGGCACCAGCGGCGCCTCGACGTTGGGCTTTCTCAAGAAGCTGGACGACGGGTCCATGAACCCAGAGGGGGAGTCGCTTACCAGGCTTACAATGCCCCGGGAGGATGCCGCTTACTATGGCACGCGAGAGAGGTACAAGAGTCTCGTACGGCAGATGCCCGCCAGGTCAGATATCGAGAGACTCGCAGACATCTATTTCAAGGACTTCAACTGGCAATATAATGTGAGTTTTGCTTCTCTCTGCTTTTGCCAGTGACTAGATGGAAAAGAGAAGGGGGGGGGGGATGAATACAAAGAAAACAAGCTGACTGGGCTTCAAGGCCGTGGACCGGTATATGTTCAACCGACAGGCAAAAGAGTGGTATAAATTACCTTTCAACTTGCTCAATGTTGATGGTCCTCAGGCCTTGTCGCCCGACCTGAGGGCCTTTCCTGCTATGGTGTTTCAGATCCTCGCCACCAGTCTGTTGATTCTACCTACGGCCTCGGACCCGACTTTCGACCACCTAAAGTATAACAACTCCATGAGCTTCGAGGACCTAGCCACCGACTATACTGAGTCGGGCATGGCCCTCATGAACCTGCTTGGAAAGAGGCAGGTCTCGCTCACGCTTGTGACGGCAGACTGGCTGAGGGCTGCCTTCTTGAAATACTCGGGCCTTGTGACAGAGTCATGGCATGCGATTGGCACGGCCATCCGAGACGCACAAGAGTGTGGGCTCCACCGCGAGAGCCTCGACCCGCGTCCCAAAAGCGACAATATCGAGGACATCTTGGAGAATCAATGGGAGATACAGCGAAGGCGCAAGATGTGGTGCCTTCTCGTCGTGTGGGACGTCCACACCGGTATTGTTCTAGGCCGTCCCCTCAGCGTGGATCTCAGCATCAAGTGCCCGTTGCCGGTAGACGCGCCTGAGCCCAAAGACCCGTCGCGGACGCCCGTCGTGCAACGCTCGGACAACGATCCACCATCCCTCACGACGCGGACGCTGTACACCTTTCAGATTACTCTGGCCCTGAAGGACATTGTCGACCTAGAGAAGGAAGGGCCCTGTCCCAAGGATTTCTCCAAGGTGGACAGGCTTCACGAAAAACTGGTGGAATTAGAAGCGCAGACGCCCGCTTTTTTTCGTCAGGAAAATCCAGACACTCGATTTGATAACCTGGCAGACTGCTTCTGGGTGCCGATGGCGCGCTCATCGCTGCACCCGCTTGTGGCGTTCAACTTCATGGCGCTGCATCGGCCGTACGTCTTTACGCGGCCGCACAGCAGGAGGGAGGCGCTCAAGGCGAGTCTCAAGATGCTGGAGCTACAGAGGGCCAATTTTACCACTATGAGCCCGAGACATTACAAGCTGTGAGTACATTTCCCGTTCTGTCGTGATATCAATTGCAACAACATCCCTCCCCCCCCACCACAAAAAAGGGTGCGTGCGACCAATACGTACATGTTTTTTAACTTTTGTTGTTTGGTTTGAATATAGCTATCATCTCTTCTTTGGGACATTCGATGCTATCGTGCTCATGGCAAGCATCTTCATCCTCTTCCCCAAGGACAATGCCGAATACCTCGCCTCCGCACTGCAACATTTTCAGTGGGCAATGGAACGCTTCGAGATCATGGCCGAACGAAACCGCCTGGCTGCTGCCGCACGTGGGGTACTACAAGCCATCCGCCTGCGACTCAAGAGAGCACTGGAGATGAACGGGACACCGAGCGTCGTTAGCACTACGTCATCCACCCCAGGGTCACAGCCGACAGCATCAGCCTCTGACTCTAACGTCTCTGCAACGACGGCAACAACTAGCGAGTCGCCGTCCCTGACGAACGCAGGAAGCAGCGGCAATCGCAGCACGAGCGTCTTCACAACCCCAGGCGCTGATATCTCCCCAGCTGCGAGTGACCAGCAATATGCAGCCATGTCTGCCGGAGACGCCGCACCCATCGATCCCGGCCTGGCCGGCATGGCGGCAAGCGACTGGACCCTGCCAGACAATTTTGATTGGTCGTCTATTCAGCCTCTCTACGCGATGGCGGATGTTGCGTACAATGACCTGATGGGGATCAGCCATGGTGGAGGAGGGGAAATAACTACTACTGCTGCTGCTACCACGGCTGCTACCACGGCCACAACCTCGCTGCCGACATGGGCGAGCGGGAATCTGCTGGGTGGCGCTCCTGGCGGTTCTGGGACGACCGCTGAAGGAGCCACAGATCCGCAGGGCTGGTCGTTTGAGGGTGACTTTGGAAATGATAGTGTTTGGAGTCTATTGAATCAGTACCCGGCTCCTCCTTGAAGGGGGTTTGTATCCGATGGCTGCCTGGGCGGAACATTTCTGGGGTTTTCTATCTTGGACCGCATATCATGCATGGCTCTATCCCTTTTTGTTCGGCATAATGAGTTCATTGTCAGAACAGAGTCTCAAATGCCAAGAGCATAACTGTTCACGTGTTTTGTCTTTCCTTTCTTCGCCTTTTCTTCTTCTTTTCTTTCCTCTGCGGCGGAAGAGCCGTTGGCAGGGAAGAGTGGTCTCATGGATGCGTAAGATGATGTTGATATGACACCTCAAGTCCTCGAGTCCCCCCTTCTAGTGCAACTCGACCCGCACGTCACATCAAGGTAGTACCTCTTTAATTCTGCTGCCTGCTACTAGGGACCTATACACAATCCCTTGGGGGCAAAGGGAAGAACACCCCTTCTCCACGTTTTCTTTCTTTCTTTTCTCTTCCTCTCCTCTTTTGATGCAGACAGGAAAGGGGGTCTGCACCCAAACTTTACGTCCGGGCTCCTCTCGCCCATCGAACTTGTGTTTGAAACACTGCTGCCTGGGCGCACCACACTTTAGGGTCCCAATCCATATGTATGAAGGTGGGTCCATTTGCCATCCATAGGAAGGATTTGAGGGGGATCATACGATCATACAGGTATGTTCGTGTGCAATTACAACGTCGTGGTGGATATGGTAGTGATGTCTTTTTACGAGCTTCTTCAGGAAGAAGAAAAAATTCACACGTGGGGCCGGGGATCAAATAGATAGCAACATGAGAATCCAATCGGAACATGACGAGAAGGAACGGCTACCTCCTGCTGCCATCCGAAAATTGACACCTCTGGCGCAGCCTTTCTCTCTTTCTTTCCCTGTTGGTTTCTTTTTTTCGTATTGACACCTGTCAGTGCTGAAGCCACACCCACTTGACGTGACGAGCGGGGTGGACGCCCTCAGCTGAACGCCCAGTGGCTGTTACAGCTGGTTGAGCCCAGCAGTGTGGCAGCTTGGAGGCTGACGCTGGAGGCTTAAGGTTCTTACCTTTGGATGGATTGACTACGACGTGATGCAACTTACTTTACGCGACGGCTTAACCGGTTCTCGCCTCAGCTTTGTGCTAATAGTAGGTTGACAAGGTTTCAAGGGTAAAGAAGGAAAGAAAGAAAGAAGAAGAAAAAAAAGGTCAGAAACACGCCTCCCAATGCGGCACTACAACAAAGCCCACTTCGTCATAAGCCCGCAACCCCGTGGAAACCTCCGTGATTATTATTCTCCGTTCACGAGCCTGATCTGATGTTCTACCGACCTCCCGTAATACCGTGCGTTGGGCGGATTCGATGCAACAATGTAAGGGTCGTGCCCGTGGTTTTCTTCTTCTCCCATCTGACGTGGGCCTGGGCCGGGCTGGTGTATGTACTATGTGAAGTTCGTAATCGCCGACCAAAACTCTCGTCTCAACCTGACGCCTAGACTGGATCTGGGGGGGGGGGGGAGGAGGGAGGGCAGGGTATCTAATTCCTTCCAGAAGGCGACCCAAATTGCTCTCCATAGCCCCCAATCTTGGCTTCCCACTTTTTTGTGCAGTAGGTGTGTGTGTGCTATGGTACAGTAGTCTTTTTGTTTCTGCTTCTCCTCCCTTCCACATGGCCCCAGCTGGTTGTTGGAAGAGGAGATCGCCGCGATAGCCAGCCGGAGGATCATACGCTGGTCCCAGAGGAAGAAAGGATTCGAAAGACGAGTTCTGGTTCGCTGTCGGGAGTAGCCGCAGGGCTGCAGCCGTCTAGCCTTGTGAGGCACAAGGAGGGAGAGGGGGGGGGGGCTTGCCATATATAATTACTTACTTAGCGTTGTATAGTACATGGCTACCAAGTGTCGTTCCTTTATTTCTCTGACTCTCTCTTTTCTGTCTTGTCTGTCTGCCGAGGCGAGTTCTCTGCCAATGGGAACATGCCATCTCAGTGTTGATCCCCTGTTTACAGTTCTTTGGTCATCTCAAGCCACGTGCTTACATAACTGCAGCTTCACCAAAAAGAGTTTTATCTAAGGAGTACATAGCGTGACTGCATTGTAACGCTGAGTGAGTCTGGTCAGTCCGTGGCCGTGATGCAGCGCCCTGCTGAGCCCGCCATAACACCTAGAGCAGCTCGGGGACCTTGTTTAGGTAGACAAATCTTGATTACTTTGTTTTCTGACTTGCATTCTTTCCTGATGGGTCAGAAATTACTCATCTGTCTGAATGTGGTAGTAGCTTCTTTTTGCTCTCTGCCCTTCCCTCCTTTGCGATTCGTTGCTCCAAATGCCGGGTCCCGAGGTTTTGGTAGTAGGGCTGATGACGATCCCACCCCCCATACCATTGAACATTGCAGTTGCAATATAAGACTTCTTTTTTTTTCTTTTTTTGGTCCCAATGAGCATGCAAATCGTTAGCCCGAAGAAGAAAGAATTTCTCATGATCACCAGACCCCGAGGGAAATACGAAAAGTTTTAGTTGCATGAGAGGCGCGTGATCATCATGAGCAGCCAATGCCATCGTAAAAAACGGTAATTACACGTTCGAGCCAGCTTCAGGACACATGAGACAAGAGGGCGGCGGCTTTCTCAGGATAACATGAGAGAGGCTCAAACAAGATCTGAAGACTTGCCGTCCCAAAAATCCATCGCATATGATTATTCAAGGGGCTGAAGACGGGGACCTCTACCACTACAACACCCGTCCTCGGCCCCGGCTACAACCCGACGGTTCCGACGTGGATACCGGAAGGACCCTTATACGTTCCTCCTTATGGAGGGAAGTAACAGATCCCACGGCAGATATTTCCCATTCAGAGAAACGTAGAGAGAAAACAAGAACTGACCAGGTAGGTACCTATTCCTGGTCAAAGGATTCTTTTAGCGTTGCTCCAGTCGTAGTAAACTGCTACCGTATTCTAGGCGTCCTCAATTGCCTAGTACGTCTGCAGAACAGGGCTGAGACCAAAGTCTCAGGAAGGATACCTCACTTCGTAAATGTAGATACCTAATTCAACGAAGCCTTCAGTATTTCTTCTCTTTCTCTTGTGTGTGTGTGTGTGTGTACACACTGCACGTCAGAAACCCTTGGGTTAAGAGATCTTCATCTCATCGCCACCCCCCCTTGAATCTACCCCCTCAAACACAGCAATGTGCCGTGGCTGAAAGTGACATGCACGAATCGTTCTGATGGCAGAGGGAAAGGATCGAAGCAGCCTAGACGCAAAACACTTGACAGAGTTATTCAAAGGCAAATTGAAGGGGAATACTTACATCACCTTTCAGCTTTGAAGAAGGCACCGACGTTTACCAGACACACACACAGACACACAGACACACAGACACACAACTATAGCCGATCAAAGACAGATATATATAAGCTATATCACGACGACCACAACAATATCACAACTTCAAGAAAGCAACAACAAGTCAACTATATCCTACCGGTCTGCTCTTTGTATTACTATCCTATACCAACACCGACAACATGACCAAGGACAAGAGAAAGTGGACTATTGAGGAGGATGAGGCCCTTCTTCAAGGTCTAGAGGCTGAGCTGGCTCGTGAGTTTATCACCATCCACGTCCCACTCGCACTTTTCGTTTTGCCTCTTTTCTTTTCTTTTTCTTTTTCTTTGTCTTTGTCACATCTACACGCAAGATACTTGCTTGCAAGATCACCATATTGACTTGAAATGTGTTACCGTCCTTAGGCCCTACCGGCCGAGGAAATTCGATCAACTGGAACGAGATCGCTAAGAGGGTTCCTCTTCGAAACAACAAGGACTGTCGCAAACGGTACTTGAATGGGATGGCTTGGAACCTCAAGAAGGTGAGTCTTTGCTAGAATGTGTCTTGGGCTTTTCGGGAAGTGACTTATGACTGATTGTGCAAATCTTCTCTTCCCAAATATAGGGACCTTGGTCGGTGGAAGAGGATATTCAGCTCAAAGACCTCATTCAACAATACGGCACATCCTGGGTGGATGTTTCCCGGGCTATGGGGACACGCAGTGCTGATCGTAAGTAATATCTACAGTTACCAACAAGACTTTCCACCAGAGTTGCTAGCCAGGAGGAAGAAACCTCCAACGTGAATCCCTTTGACACAAAACTGACCTGGATATTATCAAATACAGAGTGTTCGAAGAGATGGTATCACTGTCTTAACCCAGAACTGGACCGACAGCCATGGAAGAAAGACGAAGTAAGTCAACTTCTGCTTCTAGTTTTATCTATTTTGATTCCAAACATTCGCTCTGTGTTTATAGAGGAAGCAACATGGGACATCAAACTCGTTCCATGATTCATTCTCTTCTAGAGTCCTAGCATGTGTGACTAATAAAAAAACGCTTTGCTCCAGATCCGAATTCTCATGGACGCGTACAAAGTCCATGGAAGCAGCTGGAAGCTGATACAAGAGAAATATCTCCCTTCCAGATCGGCCAACAACATCCGAAACCAGCAAGTCTTTTCGAAAGTTGTGAGGGGGAAGAAAGATCCTTGGAACTTCAAGCTGACGTTCAGTCATCAGATACACTATCTTGACACGCTACAGCTCTAGATCCGGTCGTCAGAGCCCTAGTCGACGATCCGACACAGGATCACCATCTGCTTCCAGCAGCCGTCGAACGACCGCCGAACCGCAGACAATCTACGACGATACCAACCGATTGGCGCTCGAGGCCTCATCCTTCCATATACACAAGAGCAACGCAACCTCGCCCGGCGCGATCATCGCCGCATCCCCCGTGAGCTTCGGGACAGACATATTCTCGGGATTCGCGGGCCCGCCCACGGCTCCGGCTCCTCAGCAGCTCAACAACAACAACCCTTCAGTCTACCCAGGCGTGTCGAACCTGAGCAACGACTCGTTCCGGTGGATGGACAGCAGTGCCATGGCGGGGGACGAGTACTGCCTGGTACCCCACTCTGGCGCGGCCCCGAGGCCGCCGACATACTCGACATACTTCCAACCGACCGGTGGCAATTTCGCCATGATGCCCACCGTCACGGCTGGGGCCCCAGTTGTCGCGCAGCCACATGGACAAAATGTATCCTGGGCCACTTACAACCCGGGTCTGTTCCCTGCTACGACCACGGCACAGAGGCCCGGTGTGAGCTGGGCGCCGTCGAGGGGGGCTCCTGCAGCGATTGCGCCATTCATAGAGGATGGGAGCGTGCAGCAGATGGGCTACATGGTGGACGAGCACCACATGAGACGATAATTGGAGAGTAGGTCATGAGAGACAACTGCGGCCGTGCATAAATGCACAAACAATTCTTAATATAGTATAGCATCTGGGGTTTGCATTGTATTTTTAGGTGATCACGGTTAAGAATGGGCATGAAGAGGATATGGGCTACGTAAATATGATTTATGAACCTCTGTATCTATAATATCTCCTTCTTTTCAAGAATGACATGGTATTCATGAACTTGTTCAACTGAATTGTGATTGTACGTGTAAAACTAGGAGTAGGCGCTATAACTCTACTGTCTCTCTTTCTCTCTCACTCTCTTCGGCGATGGAATTTGTTGACTCTGGTGTCTCGTCTACCAGGTATAGAATTAACAAAGGGAATCAAGCGTGCCTCCGTCCTCATCCCATTGATGTCTCTCTCTTGCTTTCGTGCAGGCCTTTCTCCGGCGGGCGAATCAGTCGTGTATCAGAGCGTAGGCAAGGCTAAGCCACTACTTCAGTTCGTCAACTACAAGTATCGCAACTTGTCAAAAGGACGAAGGAAGGAGGCAGGGAAGTTTGCCAATGCTGGACTCTGACTAAGAGCCGGTAACAACCAGATTTTCATTATAATATATTCAAATGTGTTGAAAGGCTAGCAGCTACTCTACTCAGTCACCAAAACAACTTTTCTTTCCTTGAACACAAGCACTTCGAAAAGTACTGTGCTTGCAATAGTTTCAAGTCAGATCACGTAAAGATGAATGACACAGCGACAACACACGTGCATGCTTATTAGTAAAGGTTGCTGGCATCTTGTTTCTCACTAAGCTACATGTATTTGGCTTGCCATCATGTAACTGTGGCTTTTTTCCCTAGAATTTCGAGGACTTGTTTATCGGTGGCTACTCCTGAGTGTCCCCCAAAGCGAAGTAATCATGATTACCTTGGAAGACACGCAGACAGCAGAGAGATAATAGATGACCATCTTGCAGACACATGTATTGTTTCTATATACATTTTCCAGTCCAAGACCAGCCCTGATATCCAAGGGTACTGGAAAGAGGGTAATTAACCAACCCCTCCGTTGTATTATCATGTTGTCATTACTATCATTGATGCTCTTTCTTTTCTCTTGCTCATAGTCGATGATCTTCTACAGCACTGAGGCCACCAAAGACGCCGCAGCGGGGGTATCCTTAGCATAAGTGAAATGCGTCGGCCCCAGGATATCTCCAAACTGGCAGATATCATCATCATCGTGGCAGATCACCTTGACCTTGCTGGAGTCGATACCAGCGATGGTCGAGTTGCTGTCTATAATAGAACCAATGTCAGATAACCCAAGGGCTCATCTAGGCCAATGAATGATAGCATACCTGGGTCTCCAAACGTCACGACCGCACTGACAGCTGACATGCCAGAGGTCCCGACTTTGCTCGCAGCCAGGTGAACGACTTGTGCGCCCTGAGACCAGCCGCTCATGATGATTGAAGTGCCGGTGCATGATGCTGCTGCCTTGCTCACATACGTGGCCCTAATAGAGATGAAATTCATCACAGTCAGACAAACATATTATTCCTTGGTTTTTTTTGTTGGGGGGGGGGGGGGTAGAAGGAAAAGAAAAGAAAGAGGAAAAGCAGGTCCCCAAGCGCGTAACGTGGTCTACTGCACAAGAACCAGAACAACAACAACAACACTCACATCTCGTCTGCACCGCCAGTAGACCCCCCCGTAAAATACTGAGCCACCGTCGCCGGATACGAGCTGGGGTCGATCCCCTGCATAGAGACATTCTTCCCAGGCAGGGCGCTCACGAGCTCGTCGAGGAACTCGGGCCCGACCAGCGCGCCCACGTTGCCCGGCTCGCCGGTGCCCCTGGCGAAAATAAGCATCACGTCCCCGCAGTCGCCGTTGACGAGGTCGCTGCGGGTCTCCTGGTAGCCCAGGATCTTGCCCGCGGTGCTCTCGAGGCCTGAGATGACGGCGTCTGCGCCCTTGAAGGCGATGTTGTTGGGGAAGAGCTTGCTGATCTCTGCTAGAGCGGTGCCTAGGCTGAAGGCGTGGGTGCTTCCTATGGCCAGCGGGACGAGAGTGAAGACCGGCTTCATTTTTTATATTATATTTATTGGGTAATGCAATTAGTGTGAGAGAGAGAAAGAGAGAGAGATGGAAAAGCGAGGGATAGTTTTGTAACCCTGGATATGTCCTTATCCGTAGCTCTAATGAATGTAGTCAATTAAAAGAAGATGTTGTACGAGGTCGGAAGGAGGGTGTCTAAGATATTAAGAGTAAAGGTTATTGTATTTGTATCTAGAGGTTTCCTACAGGCACCATTGGCTGATGCATTAATTGAGTGGCTAAACAATCAATGTTGACCAACCGTTGGGCGGCCACTTGGTTTCTGGCCGCTTACATGAGTTTGACCCACTGCAGCCTCTTGCATGAGAGGCAGCGAACGGATTTCTAGGCACTGAATGAGACACCAACATAAGCGCGAGAACGCCGTATTGTAACCAATAACACGGTCTTGGCTGATATGAGTTGGGCATTGTTGGCCAGGCATCGCTGCTGAGCCTGTAGCATGGTCGTGGCAGGCTTTATGTTTTGGAATCCTTGTAAATGCGCAGCTGTGTATGTTAACTGCTGCTCTGTCTCCCACGAGTTTTGGGGCTCATGCCCAGAGTAAGCAGTTACAGTAATTCCAAGCCCTTGTTTTACCTACCTGCTTACCCCCCCCCCCCCCTCTCCCAACAATCTTCCACCTGCGTAGTGTAGTTCAAGTAGGCACAGCATAGAGTAGAGACCTTTTAGGAAAAGATAATTATTCTATCATAAACATGAGCCTTCTTCGCAACAAATTCAGTATAACTGCAAGCAATTTATAGCGGCTCGTCATAAGCTGGCTGGTCAACATACGAGCCAAACCGATCGACTGATGTTGGCTCGCCAATAAAGAATGGCAAATAGCGCCGCTGACCTCGATGCCAAGAATGTTAGATGCCGAATATACACTGCATCCCCCTTTCTATTGGATTCTACCCTTTTTCTCAGCCTCCGATGCATGTCTCATTTCGCCCTCCGTACGCGATTCGCCAGGGTCCACTGTGGCACGACTTCTTGCGGGTGCGCTGCCCAATCGACGTCCCCGTATCGACGACACTCAACGTCTGCCTTATGGCATTTTCAGCCTTTACTGCTTACAACACCGAGTCTCCATGAGGCTGACCTGACCCTGCCATTAATGAGCACACTCATATGAAGTCTGGCGGAGTCCGAATTGGTGACGTATTTGACCGTCATATTCCTCGTCTTCCTCCACGTCCGCGGCAGGCAAACACACACGGGCGTGGCGTGTTTGAGGACGCCATGACCGGACACTAGAGACACGGCAGAAGAAGACAACCACGGTAAAGGCAGGGCAGGATCTTGAGATGGAGAAAGAATGAATGATGAGTGTCGAAGGCCAGAGTTGGGTGGGGGGGAGAGAAAGGGGCAGGAAAGCCATGTGATGGTGAGGTGCCGGCTTTCTTTTCCCAATCGTTGTCAAGCCAGGGTCGACCTGAAAAGTCTGTGATCGAATTACTGACCTCGTCAGCTTTCGGGCTTGAACAAGGCACGCAAAAAGGGGGTGTCTCAACAACCATTGCACGCTGTGGGTGATATCCCCTGGCCAAAAGGTCTCCTCCGTCAAACCACCACCCCTTCTCGAGCAACACAGCAGCAGGCAGGACGCCAACACTGGGGGGAAACGAGGATCGCTATCCCTGCGAGGCCATGCTTACCACTTGATGAGCAGATGTGGGCACCAAGGGAGACCGTCTCTAACCCCCCTCCCCCTTCTCACTTTCCTGCTTGCGGGTTCACAGCGTTCCTATTTCTAGAGTTTTTGCTGCGGGCGTGAACAACAGCGACCGTCATGGCGTAGGCGCCGATCCGAGTTTGTGATGACCTGCTCTGCTTATGGCAGAGAATGCACACAACTCGTAAGAAGAAGAAGAAAAGAAAGAAAAAAAAACGAGTCACGTGGTATTCGCAAAGAATTGTTTTTCGGTCCAAGAGCTCTTAGATCTTTTGAACCGGCGCCTTACCAAGCACGTAGGTACCTGAACCAAATGTGAGGAGACAAGCGTTCTCCAAGTCCGGTCCACCATGCCGTCACGAGAAAGTAAAGACGTATTCTTGTACCTGTACATGTTAGGTCAGGTATGTATTCCATGAATTCACGAACATCGTGTAGATCCCCGCCCATCCTTGCACATGTGGCTCCGTTCTCGTCGTCGAGTGACGCTGCTCAGCTCAGCCAGGCGCCAAAAGGTCGCGGGGTGGGTTCTAGACCGGCTTGGTGGTTTCTAGAGTCGCCTAACACTTGACGTAACATCCAATAGAGCCTGCAGGGAGAAGAAACGAGGGGGTCTAAAACCCGTCTAAGAAGAAGAAGAAAGGAACGACGAGGCATTTACATCTAGCTCGGGATTTGTTGGTACGCATGCAGGGCATGCATAGTTCCGATGTGTCGTGAAGACAGTGCAGAAACGAGGGCAGTAGACTTGAAAAGTGCCTTTGGAAAACCCAAGTGAGAAAACACTTACAGCACTAAGAGGCTTGGTCCTGAAACCTCCGAGAGATGCCCGATAGCTAGCCAGCGGACCCTGAACTCCAACCTCTGAAGAGACAAGAGAGCCCTCTCAGCAGCAGCACCACTGACAATACCAACACCAACCACAACCGGGCTACCCCTCTTCTGTTGACCCGCTTCACTTGATCCGGGCCTGTAGCGCACCCAGCCTGCAGAGGGGAAGGGCTCATCGTGATACGAACACCTGCCACCATCCGATCGCCAAGTACAGTAAGCCACTGTATACATAACACCAACAACAACAGAGGAGAAGGCATTCGGTGCGACGAGGGAGGGGGGAGGGGGCAGCTGCTTGGGTCATGCACCCACCCTACCACCCTCCTCCCAGCCTTTTTCTCCGTTAGCCGGGTGCTGAGAACGTCTTGGTGTTGTACAGTCTTGCGCCTCCAGAGATGAATACTGGTGGACGGCGGGTGCACGTGAGCCAGGCAAAGTCTGAGTGACTTCTGGTGTGGCTGTGTGCTTTCTGAAGAGGCTTTGACACCACTGTAGGAGTTGGGTTGCCCTCCCTCTTTTCCACTTTCCCCATGGTGTCTATATTATCATATAGACAGGCGTCACACGGAACACTTGCAGACCAGAGCCTAACGACGATGACGCCGGAGGAGAACAGAAGCAAACAAACCCCACCCTTCTTACTTGACCTGATTTGAACTCGACTTTAACTCTGACAAATGGCTGGACACCCCCATGCTGGCTGATCCGAGGCGTGCGGTTTGCTCGCTCTTCTCACCTTCAGCCCAGATTTGCACAGCAGGAGGGACTCACTAGTCACCGCCACGGGCTTGAGCGAATTCTCAGGTATGGACTTGAAAAGAATGAAGCGTAGCAGAGGCAGGTGTAGAGGGCAGTAGAGGAAGAGAAGAAAGCAAAGCCCTGCCGTGATGGAGGGGGTATGTCTGTGATTAAGCCGGCAGAGCATCGTCTGCTGCAGTGTCGGATCCCTCCAGAGCCTTCTCGCTTTCCTCGGCAAAAATGAATGAAGAAAAACGGGCAAAAGAAAAATGACGACCCATGGCATCGCACCGTGGCCCAGCTGGCGTCACAATGGCCTCATCACACGAAGACGGCGGCGCCACCACTACCACCACTTGCCACCACCTGGTACCAGAAAGTTACCAGCACCAGCACCAGCAGCAGCATCATCATCAAGTTGCCTGCTTGCGTCGACAACTGCTGCGATGGGACGCAAGGTCGATCGTTCTGATTTCTGGCAGCAGCAGGAGGAGGCGGATGAGGTAAACTTGTTCTTTTCTTTCCCCATACGCACACCCACGCGCACACCCGTACCTCAGGGTTTCACACAAGTCACCAGACATTGTGCGCAGGTGGGAGGCCGCGTACTGCAGTGCAACCCTACCTACAGCCGTACGGACTTTGGTCTGTTCCAGGGGAGGGGGGGGATTGTTTTGAGTTGTTCGGGGGCGGGGCGGGGCGAGAAAAGGAGGAGGAGAAGGAAGAGAAGCAGCAGCAGCAGCTGCCAGATTGAAAAATTGATGGTGCGGAGGGAACAAGGAACCGCGCCTTCCCCCATTGCTACCCCCTAAGCCCAACCCGACCCTCCCCCCAAAACCCCAAACGCCAACCCCGACCAATCATGTCGTGGTGACCTGGGTTTTGTTACGCAAGTCTGAGACAGGCGCACACATCTCTGTAGAAAATGAGAGATTGATCTTCGCTTTCTGTCGCTCTCTCTCTCTCTCTCTCTCTTTTGGTCTTCTTCTTCCACCCCTCCTCCCCTCCCGCATGGTCCGTCTGGTGCCGAGATCGACACATGCGGGCTCGGCTTAGAGCCCTGTCAGGAGCCCTATCAGGAGCCCTGTCAGGAGATCTTCCCCCTCCCCCATTCAACCTTAGGGGGTACTGGTTGGTTGGGCTAGAGGCAAGTTCCGTTGCTTGTCCAGGGAACAAGAGATACCTCGAATATTTGCCCGACGCCTTTCCTGTGTCAAGGCTAGTTGTAGTAGTAAAGCCCGGTGTTGACAAAGGGTGAACCCCCTGAGACGCGAAAAGTCTTGGTAGTTTGTCAGTCATCGGCAGGTCTTGCTACCATGGTCTGGATCGACGACGGCGCTGGTGCTATAATAGCGATACAAGAAGAGAGAAACGAAAACCTTGAATGCGGTTTGGCTTTCTTTTTTCATATTTTTATATCGTTCATGCGACAGCAAGGGCTCAGTCTTGACATCTGACAGTAGTAGGAAACTAATCTGGCCGGATCCCACCCACCTAATCTTGTGATCACACCATGATGATTTTTCCTCATGATTTAGGATTTCGATGCACTTGCTTGCTTACTAACTCAACAGACTTGACGTTGTTTCGAATCCCGAGAGAGGGGATAGACTTTTGTGATTTAGAAAACTTAGAATAAGAGCCGCCAAACCGTCAATGCTTGTAGGAAAGGAAACAGGAAAAGAAAGGACACCCACAGAAAAACCCCCAGGCCCAGAGGCTTGGGAGTGGCACGCCCCGCCTCTTATAAACGAGGAGAAGAATATCCTCATCATTGGCCCTGAGAGGTCCCGCGATTCCGTATCGGGCAAGAAACGAAGCATCTTGACGTCGACATCAACGCCGTCCTTTAGATCTGGCGTTGGTCGAAACGCCAACAAAGAGTGAGTGCCTTGAGAGGGAGGAGGAGGAGGAAGAACTAAGAAGCCAGTGCTGCTGATCAACCTGGGCTTCCGGACTTGTTCAAGCCCAACATCGTCTTCAGCTACCATATTCATCTTGGGGTCAAGGCCAAGTCCTCGGCGTGCTTTTCAGCTGTCATAGTAGTTGTAGCCGTGCGCATAGGGAACTGACCCTGTAGTTGTATCCGCTGCGTGCGTTTCTCTCGATCGTGTGTGCACGAGAAGCTTCAAATTCCGGTCCGATCTGCTTCTCCAAAGACAGAATGATCTTCTCCGTCCATGTGCGGTATAGTATGTACATAGTATGTATGCTTGGATCGTGTTATGTAGAGAGCAGCCAGCTTTCTATCCACCTGAGAGGAGGTCTCAATACTGAACTCGGACGTGCGACGTCTGTTCGGAAAAGAGGATCATTTGGCTCCCGGCAAGAGCTAGCGTGATTTGCGCCTGTGGGGCCGAGGTTCTGCTGCAGCACATGCGTACCATTCATAGCAGCACCGTTTAGCCCTGTACCGTGGTACTGTGATAGCTTGTTCTGTTGCTGAACCAGGGGGGGGGGGAAGGGGCCGCCCAGGTCTGTCCAACCGGAAACGGCGCCCCGAGACTTCCAGACAATCTGGCTCAGAAGAGGTAAAGGGACCCGAAGGCTCTCCTGGAGAGACCCCCTGAGAAAAGAGATCTCAAGGGTTTGTCGCCTGTGTATTAGCAGCGAGTTGCGTTTTTAGGGTTTGGGACACAAAAAGGGGGGAGGTGTCCACAAAGTCCTTGTTCATTCCTTTGCACATGTACTATGTAGCAATTCCTATGTTGAACTTGGGAACTGACTTAGACAGTATGTAAGTACTTGTGGCAAGAAACAGCCCTACTGAGATTGCGCTGGCTGCCACGACACAGCGTTGTTGTCGACAATGATGACACGGGTCTCGGTAGAGTGGACTTCCAAACGGTACCAGCGTCGCGGTATGGAGCATAAAACCAGAATACTGGTCACGGTGACTCGTCATCTTGATCTCCGTCCGATCTCCTCTCCCAGCTGTGGAGTTACCGTTCACGGTACCAGAGTTCACAAGAAACCATACTCAACAATAGCGAAATGTTGTTTTTGTCAATAAGATTTCGTGTACTGCGCTATGGCAGCTTCTCTTTGTTCTGGGCCTTCGGCGTGTCCATATCATGCTACATTGTACTGTATGTATAGCGACCGGGCATACAGACTTCTCCCCACTTTACCCTTTCTGGCCCACTATCGCCATGTATACTGATCTCTCTTTTTCTTCTTTTCTTCTTTTTTTCATCCCATTTCCTCTCAGTATCGTCACTGTGGCAAGATATCGGGAGTCCAGCCCAAAGCAAGCTCGTAACCGGGGGTCGATAGGGGGTCCCACTCGGGATTCAAAGCAACAGAACCTACCTAGCTAGAGCTATAGAAGTGCATACTATAGAGTCATTATGGTCATAGTAACAAGGACAGGTCACGCCAGGAGGGAAGCTGGTGAACAATTTCCGAGTTTGCCAATAGTCAGCCACATGGAAGGGGGACGGAGGAAAAGAAAATTCATTCGCAGTCAAGCCTGATCGATTTTTTTTTTTTGAAGGTCTAAACATAGCATCCTGTCAACTTGCCTTTTCAAGCCTTTTTTATTTATTTATTTAAATCAACTCTTTTAGTTTCCCCATCTCCCTTGGCGAGGGACGAAAAACTTGGATGGGAAAGGTACTGATAGCCCAAAGTAAAGTGTGATGTGCTATGACGACGGGTGCAGCCGGTTCCCCGTAATCTCATGTCATTCCCGCCCAAGCCCACCAAGAAGCGCGCGGATCCGCCCCACCCTTTGGACAGAAGAGCTCCACGGGGCTCCGTCTCAGGGATTTGATTCATGTTCCCTCTCCAAAAGAAATAGAAAAAAAAGAAGGAGACAAAAGAGAGGGGGAGGAAGAAGAGGCCCCTCTCAAAAATAATCACGGAAAACAGGGTCTTGGTTTCCCGAAGGTCCATTCCACAGTGGTCTGGCCAGCCAGCGCTTGCTGAAGCTGGGAAGGAAGAGTGAAAAACAAGACAATGAGGATGTGGTGTGTGTTTTGCCTGCTTGCTTCCGTGGGATGAGAACAGAAGCAATGGCTTTAGATGCACGCCAAGAATCCTGACTGTGCTCGGCGACTATGATGGTAGGGCTTGTCTCTGCACGCACTGTAGTATGTACCATGGTCATCGAGATGCTACCATAGCATGTCGTACTTGTACATACTATATATGGTATGTCACAGCACCAGAGTGAGTCTGTCTGTCTGTCTGTCTGTCTGTCCACTTGCCAAATTTAACCTGGGCGCAGGTTTGCCGGATTGAGAAAAGAGATGAGCTGCGTGCATGCTGCAGAGTCTAAGCCTGTCTCATGATAGTAGTTTACTATGTACAATTAGTGATAATGAGGAGGGGGAGGATGAAGCACTGTACGGTCATGTAAGCAGAGGAGGAATCTTTGGTAGTATCGAAAGGCTGCGCAGTGGTGGGTCTAGCAGTCAGAGACATGGCCTGATGTCGCGGCCACGTTCCGGTGTGCTGAAGCAGACAAGCAGCAACAGTGACAGCAGGGTGGGAATTATTTCGGGACAGTGCACGCATAGGTTTGGGTCATCAAAGGTGACAGTTCTGACTACACACATGCACACATTACTACCTGGGCTGCAGCATTGCACGGCGCAGCCTGCGATGCAACGGGGAGTCATCAACGGCACAGCAGCCCGGTGGGGAGGGGATAATTAAAATAAAAAAAAATTGCACATTTGGGGTGGCACAGTACAAAAGCATTGGGGACTCAGCTTTAGGACCTAAGCCTCCCCAGACCAGCTCAAGACAGGCCCTCCGTCCCCACTTTTGTCAACTACCCGCCGCTGATTGGCGCGCTCTGGAGAAAAGTGCTGCTACGTAAGTACCTTGCTCGCGCCTCTCAGTCTGCTTTCCACTGTGGCACCCCCCTCGGCCAAATTAAACGGTGTTGATACCACCTCGCAATACTGAAGTACCATGCTGCTGGGCTCAAGCCAGCATTTTCCCACCCCCCTCCCAGCAGGGGGATCTGGGAAGGGGGGAAGAGGGGTTCCTTTCTGATCCCGAGCATCTGGACCTACTGAACAGAGGCCGATCCATTCATTCCACTAACAAATCGACGCAGGACAGAGAGGGCTCCTGAGTTTTTTCGGTTTGCAACCCACCACCTGCCTTCCCACTACAGCCCCCAAAGGATTCGGTGGCAGAGAGAAAAACGACTACTTCCGCGGAAATGGTGACGCTGGGAATAAGATAAAAAACTGGATCGATCAATCACGCACAGTGAACAAGGCACCCGGCAGATGTTCACAAGATCATCAGAACCCTAGACCAGGTCGGTTTTCAATCCCAGCCCGCCTTGCCACATGCGGCAGGTCTGTGAAGCTGTCATGTGTGAACGTCCTTGCTGCGTGGTAATACTACAGTACATGGCTTGATGTACCATCGTACGGTGTACTTGTAAGGAGGAGTCATGGTGCTGTGAGCAAGACAGAATGTGTGTGAGTGGACTGACTCACTAATGCTAGCACGATGGAATCGTCCATACCATCAGTGGTATACGCTATCATGATTACAGACTAGCGTATACTGTGGGGGACGGTAGTACTTTACGTAGCAATGCGAGCCTGTCGACAGGGGCTAACCTTCGCTTCGGGTGCACAGGCTCGCGAAGTCACCAGCGAACCCTACTAGCGGAACCCAATGAGAGACGACCTGCGGCTCGCCTGGACGCCGGGGCCACCTGAGCCTTCGATCCTTGAGGGGTACCCAGTCCGCTGCCTTGGGTCGAGATACCGTCAGGACGCAGGCCACCTCCCTACCCCCCTCCCCTCTGCCCCAGGGGCCAGGGGTCCCCCACCCCTCCAATCACACATGCCCCAGCTTCGTTCTCTAACCATGAATAGGCCCCTACTGTGGTGCTATGCCTACTATGTACTGCCACTGATCCCCGCCGCCTGGCAGCCGCTGTCGCCATTCTTGTCTGTACTTTGGGTCTGGGCCCCCAAACCTGTCCCCCTGTTCCTAGCACCTGCTCTTTTGCTCCGACCACTCGCCTTCTTCCCTTCTCTCTTCCTGTTCGCCCATTTCCTTTCAAACCTCGACCAGCCTCAACCTCCACCTCCACTCCCCAAACCTCGACTACTCTCTCATTGCAGCAGGAACACCTCACAATCCTGTGGAATAATCCTTCCTTCTATCCCGCCCACTTTCATAGGTTGCAGTTCGTCTGGGCATATTCGTGCTCTCGCGAACAAGGACCGAAAGGCATTCCACAGTTCTACGAGTCGTGTCATTCCGCTCTTCGGACTTGGTATCAGTGATTGCGCTTCGAGTTTCCCAGGTAAGCTGACTTGAATCACTGAATCACTGCTCCACTTTCTATTGTCTCGTTCTCCTTGCCCTTGTCTCTTCTCTTCTCCCGATTGTTGGGTTCTCCTGTTCTGTTCTGTGCTGGTCTAGAGAGAGGGAAGGAGAGAGAGAGAGAGAGAGAGAGAGAGACAGACCCTCAGTACTCCTAACCGATGCTTCGATGTCTAGAGCTGTTTCGCCATCGTTGCTGACCATATAACCACCATCTAGTCTCCTTCTCCTATCTTTTCTTTTCGCTCTATAGACTGCCTGTCCGAGACCTGTCATCTCTCTATCGCGTCTGAGAACCCGACCGCTATCGAGGCACAGGGCTGATCACCACCGCCATCAGCATGGCTAACCTGGGCCCTCCCGCCCCGCCCACTCGTATCGGCGAGACGGTGGCCATCACCAGGACGACGCGTGATGGTCGTCAACTTCATTATGAGATGAAGGTCTTGCAGCAGCCAGAGCGAGCTCGTGCCTGTGGCTCTGGTCCCAAGTGTGAGAAGCTCCCCCCTCCTCCCCCCCCAATCCGGGCCTTTGACACCCGCCAGCGAGTTCATGGGTGATCACCACAGGAAATACTGACTTGAAATGACCTCACAGCCTCTGCGGACCGTCGACCTGTTGACCCGCCACCTGTCGTGCAGATGAAAGTCTTTGAGGGCCCCCGTCGTGAGACAGCCAAGGACATCACATTTATGTACAACGCCGACTTCTTCCTCTACGCCAGCCTGCACCATGATACCGACAACCACGGCAACCGTGTCAATCCTCAGAACTCGCCACCCGTTCTGACCGGCATGCCCGTTTCTAGTATGATCCTGCTGGACCGGCCCGAGGAGGCCGGTTACTTCATCTTCTCGGACCTGAGCGTGCGGCACGAGGGCCGTTACTACCTGACCTTTGCCCTGATGGAGGAGGTCAAGAACGACTGCGACAAGGACCCCGACGAGCAGATGGGCGGCACCGACGAGATCACCGGCCCCGACGTGGGATGCAGCGGGAGACACTTCTCGTTCCGGACGACGGTGCAGACGGACGTGTTTGATGTGTTTAGCGCCAAGAAGTTCCCTGGCCTCATGGAGAGTACTGCCCTCAGCCGCACCGTGGCCGAGCAGGGCTGTCGCGTCCGCATCCGGCGCGACGTGAGGATGAGGCGGCGCGAGAAGGGCGGTGGCAACAAGGGCAAGGAGGTCGCCGCACGCGAGGACCAATACGCCCAGAAGGCCAGGGTCGAGGCCTCACCGCACATTCGGGGCCGCTCCTCCAGCAACGAGACGAGCGGTGCGTACCAATCCGAGGCACAGCGGCGACAGTCCGGCATGGACTACGGCCCGCCGAGGCCTTCGCTGGCCGCCGCTCCGGAGCCGGCTAAGCAGAAGCTGTCATATGCACAAGCACCGCACGGACATGCGTCGCATTATCCTCCTCATGCTGCGCCACCACACACGCAGTCGCTACCAGACTCGCCGTCGTACCCACCACCGCCCGCCTCTGTGCATGGAGCACCGCAGTATCCAGCACGGGCGCCGTATCCACCCTACCACGGCGAGAGGCCCCCTTCCCGGGTATATGGTCCTCCGGCTCCTGTTCCTGCGCCTGCGCCTCCTCCTCACAGGAACAGCTACTCGTCGCACCGGTCGTCGGGCCCGCCAGCGCTCGCGCCGAGGCTTGAGGTTGACCTGGACATATACAAGCCGAAGAACACGCTGCCCCCAATCCGGGCGACGCTCGACGGTAGCGTGTCGCAGCCGCGCAGACCGTCGTACCCGTCACAGCTGAGTAGTGGCTCATCGCTGCCGCGGCTCCTGCCCCAACCGCCTCCCCAGGCGCGGGACCTGACGCCGCCCGAGTCCTCGCCCTTCTATCACAAGATCATGAACAGCGCGGCGCCGCCATCGTTGCCTTCCCTACCGCCGATCGCGTCGTCGTACGAACACCCGCCAGCACCACCAACACCTATCACACCGTCGAGGAAGCGCAGGGCCGACGAGGCGTTCACGGCGATGCCGTCTGAGTCGTATCGGCTGCAGAATGGGCGCCGCGAGGATGAGCAGCCCAGGGACGCGAACTACAAGGTGGACCAGCCGTCGCAGCCGCAGAAGCAGCAGCAGCAACAACAACAACAACAAAAACAGCAAGAGCCGGTGCAGACGACCTACCACGTGGAGCAGATCAGCTACAGGGACCCGGCGCTCGAGATCGACGACGTGTGGGAGCTGAGCCAACCGGTGTATTACCGTGCAACTGACGTCAGGGTCAATGTTGAGTTCCCTCCTCTGTACGACTCGGGAGAGGCGGCCTGAAGATGATCATCTGGTTGTTATTGCTGACTGCCACTCCTTGCCTGGATGCCTGGTCTTTTATTTTTTTGTGATACACCAAGGACCACACTTATTTGGTCATTTCCCTCTCTCTTTTTCTTTTTCTTGCATCGACACCCACTTAACAACCTTCCATGAGAGCTCCAAGGTTCATCAGGAGGCAGCGCTGCTGTTCATCTACACGAAATACTTCTTTTTCCTTCTTCTCCTCTTTCTTGGGATACTATGGCGTCTTGGATTTGAGGTTGATACCCAACCTCTGGCAATGAATGGGTAGGGTGGGAGACTGGCGCACGGGGGATCTGGTTTCTTTGATGCAGCCACAGGGCTGCTTGTGTGGACTTTTTGCTTTCTGTCTTATCTCTATACATTATTGAGCTTGTATCGCCTCAACCATACCAGCTCGTCGTGGGTGTGTCAGTCTTTTTTTTTGGAATTCATCTGATTGTGGGTCCCGTCGATGGGATGGATGGGTGGGCGGAAAGAAAGGATGGTTCAGCTCCTAAGAGAGCCGAGCACGTATCAACTTGGGACCCACCAACAGTTACTTCTGTGTATTTCCAGGGAGCAGACACTGTCCTGTATTTATATACGAGGACGTGTGTGGTGACATTGTCATTGAGACATGTCATCGTCGTTGTCAACATCAACATTATTCAAAAAGTAGTTGACCAGCTGTCCGTCCGGAAGGGTGCTCTGGTACCTGTGATGCGATGCGATGCGCCATGCAGTGACGGTATCAGGATTCGGGTGTGATCGGAAAATGAGAAGCAGAAGAAAACCAAGAAAAAAGGAAGCTAGGAAGTTTCAATCACGATGATAGGATGAATCCCAAGCCAGAGAAGAGTCGCATCCATCTTGCCTTGCATGTGGTGAGAAGATGCAATGACACCTCATCGTCGCCAGAGGCCCAGCCTGGCCTAGATCGGATCCAGCAGGCGTAGGAGCTGAAAGAGGGGGAGGACGGGAAGGGGTGCTGCAGCACTTGCTGGCACTGCGAGGTACATAGTAATTGTACTGCATTACTAAAGGGCATCGAGATAAGCAGAGGAAAGAAAAGAAAAAGAAAGGAAAAAAAATTAAAAAAAAATTGGGGCGGGGCACCAGCCCCCCTGTCAGCCTCTCTACCACTAAGAGGTCCCCTTCCCCACCGCTAACCGTGATCAATTGGTGGGAAGAATTAGAAAGTGGGTTACCCTGCCAACAAGTCTTAACGCGGGTATCGACCGTGTCGGTGTCGCTTTACTATGTATGGGCCGAAACACGCTTGTTCTTTTTCCTGCTTTATTTCGTCTTCTTTTTTTCTTCTTCTCTCTGACCGCCTTATTCTCGGCCCCTGGCTTATCGGCTCGGACACCTATCAATTCGCCGATGCTACTTTTCACTGATTCATTGGTGTTCGTTCATTCCCCATCTGCTTATGCAACAACCAGGTTTAACCCGACACGGATCCTCTGTCGCCGTGGGGCCCGGGAAAGGAAACAAGAAGAAGGAGAGCAAAAACAAGAAACTGGGAAGAACAACAGTCAAAAGAAAGAAGAATCAAAGGTGGGAAAGAAGGGCAAAGGGGAGAGAAGGGGGAAAAGAAGAAGAAAAGAACAATTTCTGACGCGTGAATCTCTTGTCCCCCCCCCCCCCCCCTCCTCATCAGTCAAGTCGAGGCTATATGTAACAAAAGAGTACATTGACATAGTATGGTGCACACATACAAACCCAAGTTACCAAAATCAGACTAGACCAGGTTCCACGCGCGCGAGCACCACGTTGGACTGCCACTGCCACTGTAACCAAATACTACTTACTATACCAGACACGCGCTGCCACCGCGTGCAACCACGATCTCCTTCCACCCCCAGCCCAGCCCAGCCCAGCCCGGCCAACCAGCCAACCCAATTCGGTCCAGGTCCAAGGTCCAGGGCCAGGTTCAAACCAACGCGAACCCAGTTCCCAAGCACGATCGATCGATTTCAAGCCAACAAATGACCCTTTTACACATTCACACGCATGATCATGAGTTAATACTTGGTGCTATTGAAACTGCTACTCCTACTACTACTACTTACACACGTGTCGCCGCCCTTGAAACTTGTTTCCAAGAACATAATTCAATCCTTGCCGCCCGTCACCCAACCAAACGAACAAGACAAGACGAGGCCACCACCAACCCCTCCTCCTCCTCCTCCTTCTCGTGGTCGACCTCGTCGTTGTCGTCGTTGTCCTTCTCCTTCTCCCCCTTCTCCCTCGATTCCAAGAACCACCCATCATACACATCACAAAGATGTCGCCCCCTCCTCCTCAGAGCCGCTTTCAGGAGGGCTCCATGAACGATCGCACCTCCAACGCCCCCCCTCCCGACTTCCTGGGTCCCGAGCCCGAGGACTACGAGAGACAATTCGCTATGGACTGGAAGCCTCCAGACCTGGACGGATTCGACAACGCCTCCACCCCGCACGCCGCTGCACCGACCCCTCTCGGGCCCCAACATCATCGCGGCAGTTTTCTGTCCACCAGCTCCGGCGGCAGCGGTGGTGGCGGCAATAAGGCGGCGGCGGCGGCGGCGGCGGCGGCGGCGGCTGGACCACAGAGACAAACGGGCAGCGGGCCGGGGTTCTTCAAACAGGTCAGGGAGAGGCTCAGCCTGACGAGATCCAAGTCGAGTTTCAGCGTCACCACAGGGGATGAGCACGATGGGGCCGACAGCGCCGGCGGCTTTCACATCCCGCCCGTCTTCAAGCACAAGCGTTCCGAGAGCATGGGCGTGCCCACCAGCCTTCGCAACGGTGCAGGCGGTGGCCATCATCAACATCGTCAGCACCAGCACCAGCACCAGCACCAGTACCAGCAGCAACAGCGCCCCGACCTCAGCTTCCTGCGGAGGAACACGGTCGACTACGCCACCCGCACCAGTCACGACAACACCTCCACCTTCACCAGGGTTACCACCAACGCCACCGCCCCTCCTGCACCCTTCTTCGAAGCATCACCACCACCAGCACCACAACCATCACTGCCAGGGGCAGGGCCCCTCCTCCCCACCTTCGACCCGACCAGGCGCCCAACGCGCGAGGAGATCGCTGCCAACTACCAGAACCTGCTGGCCAGTGGCTTCTTCGGCACCCACGCCATCCAGTCCACCCGCTTCTCTGCCCCCGGCAGCGCCCTGCACGGCCGCGACAGCAGGACCTCCTTCAGCGCCTCCTCCCAGAGGCTGGTCGACGACGAGGGCGCGTCTCAGGGTATCAGGACCGTCCCGCCCAGCCCTGAGCGCATGCCGCCTCCTCCACCTCCTCCAGATCGTGAGGCGCCGCCTCCGCCACCGCCGGTGTTGCATGCAGAACCTATGGAAATGGAGGACTCGCCATCCGAGATGCATGGGCTCCCACGCAGCGACACGGCAGTCTTCAGCCCCGCCGCCTCGGCCGATATGCCACCGCTGCCTGCCCTTGCCACGGCCAAGAAGCTCAGGCCCGCCCACCACCACGCCCACTCCTACTCCTCCGCCACCGCCGCCGCGCCCTCTGCCGCGAGGCCGGACCCCCAGCACTCCCGCTCTTTCTCCACTGTGCCTTATAGCACGACAAACGCCGGCGCCGCGCCCATCATGGCGGCCCGCCCTCCTCCTACTGCTACGGCGCCGCCGCAGCGCGCCTACCGCCCGCCCCCCAGCTCGTCGGCCCGTTTCTCCACCGAGTCCGCCGCCGCGCGGCCGCGAGGCAGCTTCGACTTCAGCGGCCTCTCGCGTGGCAGCTCCGGCCGTGGCTTGAAACGGCCCTTCGCCTCGACGCTGGCGAACGGCTCGCAAACGTCTTTCGGAAGCGGCGGGTATGACAGCGGCATAGGGGTCGCGACGTCGACGCCCGAAGAGAAGCACGAGAGTGGCGCCCGCAAGTTCGTCAAGAGGCTGCGCAAGTCGGCCAGCAAAATCTCCATCAACCTGGGCAGCACCATGTCCCAACAGAGCCTCCAGAAACAGCACTTTGACGACGACGACGAGATGATGCAAGACGATGATGATGACTGTGGCAGCAGCAGCAACAATAACCTCAGCCTGGAACAACCCTCCTCGCGTACGTCCATGTCTTCTAGTATCAAGGGGTCTTTCTCTTTCAGATTTGGGGCTGGAGGAAAACCAGACATGGCCTCGGATGGCCTCCCTCCTACCACCTCTACGGACCACCGCCCTTTTTCTTCTCCTCCTCCCTCTCACCACCACCACCCTTCCTCATCTTCCTCCTCCCCCAGGCCCAATTTCTTTGGTGGGGCCAGTGCCACTGGTGACGACAGGAACCGTTTCTCACTAAACAGCCGCCACGGTAGTACCGGCTCACCCTCGCCTGCGCCTTTCCCTGCAGCTCACTCGTCCGTATCGCCGGGCCTATCCGTCATAGTCGGCTCTCCGAACAGCGACACCGCTACCGAACAGCACCGCAGCCGTCTGAGAAAGCGAGAGATCTTCCGCAGCCGTCGACCCAGGCGCTACGACGGCAACGCCGGACTCGATACTGAAGCCTCGCCGCCATCACCAACCCCGCCACAATTAACCCTCGGTACGGGTGCTGGGGGAGACGTTGACGCTTCAGGCGACGGCATGGAAGGCGTCGAGTTCAGCTTCCACTTTCCTGGGCGCAAGCGGCCTGGCATGCCCCTGGGCCCAGTGCCCGATGCCAATAGGGGAGTCCTGGGTGGTGTTGTCACCACCAGTGGCTTCCCCGGCATCTTCAAGGGCGGCGGCGGCGGCCAGAAGGGAGCCGGAGTCCTGACGAGGGGTGGGAGCGTGAGGGTCGTTCCTAGAGATCTGATCTAAACATCTTTTTGACTTGGTCTGATCTGGTACATACAATCCAACTAAACAGCGGGGCTGGCCTCTTGAGAGATTTCAATTGATCTGGTTGCCATGGGAAAACGGGGTTTATCTGGCGCAAAGACACACACACACACACAGAGAGAGAGAGAGAATATGTCTGTCCGTGTTTGTGAGAAGAGAAAGACCGCTTTGGTTTCTAGAATTGTATTAACTGCGACGTCGAGAAAGAAAGAGAGAGGGAGTGACAGAGACTCCGGAGTTTCGTCTTTTTGGCAATGATTTTTGGTCCCTCACCCACCCTTTTTCTGGCATATACGCGGTGTTTTCTTTGGGAAACGCGGGGGGGGGGGGGGGGGCGCAGCTTACATTTACATAACGGGGCGGAGAACCACGGTCATGCGGCACGGCGTAACAGGGACTCAGTCAAGCATACGGCCAACACGAGGAGCATCTTGTATATATTCGTCACTGGGACCCTTTGAAGAGGAGGTATTGCTGATGGAAAGGGGTGAAGAAAATATACGGCATCTGCAAAACACTCGTGGGGACCGGGACAGAGTATTTATCTGCCCCGGATCCGGTATAAAACACGGCTGGCTAGCTGGCGGATCTACACCACCCTATTGTTCGGACTGAACCTGCATCTGTCTTGTCGGTCTTGTCGGTCTTGTCGGTCTCTTGTCAATTTGTTTACATGTTGACGATGTTCATGTTTTGATGCTGCACATACACATACATGCTAATGAATTTACACGATGGCTTCCAATAAACAGAAGAAGAAAAGACATGAAGGGAGAAAGAAGATGAATGTTCGACCTCTTGTGTTATTTCGTCTTGTTGAACCAGCATGCAAGTTCATCACGTCACATATACACGTATACGGCGCGACTCTTTGTTTAGAAGGGAAGGAAAAGAGACAAATCCATCAAAAATTGTCTGCTCGATTAAAAGATATTGTACCGAGCGATATATCGTGGAGCCTGGGCTTTCTGCGTAAGGAGTCTGCCCCCCAGCCCCCCCGGCAATTTGGCAATAGCCTCATAATCTATAGAATTTCCGCGCCGAAGCGAAGCAAATGGTATTGAGCAATGATGTTTCCCCGCTTCGGTTGCCCCTCCCTTCCAGACGAAGAAAGAAAAAGGAGAATAAGAAAAAAATGGGGTAGACAGAGAGAAGGAAGAAGAAAAAGGAAGGACTATTCAGTCAGTGCTAAGTGTATTGGGGAAAAGGTCAGCCGGAAATGTATAGACCGTTGTGTTGATATTCCTTTCCAGTCTCGGGGCCAAGCTGAACCGACCAAATGTGCAAACGTCCATCCCATGTCCAGTCAGCTCGAGAATGTGTTCCCAAAGAAGCACCACCTGTCTCGTAAGGACATCCAGAGTATTCCCAAGCACCGCTCTTTCTCAAAAAAAGTAAACAGAAGCGTTTGCAAGACGTGAAACTAGGCAACCCTTCATCGCCGTTGAATAATAGAAGAAAATCGCCACCCCAATCCCAGACGCCAAAGGTATCGCTATGCTCGATAAGTGTATAGATATCTGCCTCGCCAGTAAAGATAGTGTATGATGCCTCCTGTCGCCGCTGAGGTGTGCAACATCTAGTTCACCTCCCCAAGGACAGTGCCCTGAGCGGGCTGCTTCCATGAAGAAGCAACGGACGTCCAGGCGGCATCAAAAGGCCCAGGGAAGTAGCTGTAAAAGACCCTGAAGCAGATCAAGAACAGGAGTGGGATCTATACAAACGTTAGTCTTTTCTATCTTCTTTTTTTGTGGAAGGGGTAACTCTTCAAATGCCCGGTATCTACTCACCCAGAAGAGGAAGAGCTTCGGATCCCTGCTCAAGCTCTTTTGTTTCTCAGCACGTGCCTGGCGCAGATTGTCCTGCTGCTCCTTGGTGATGTTGTTCTTGCGACCGATCTGCAGGAGCTTCGGCAGCTGCCTCTGGATCTGCTTCTCCTCGACCTGCCTGCCAGCTGCCGTCTGCGTGTTCCGTTCTGCCTGCTGCATCTCCTGCTGCTGGTCGTACAGCGTTGCGCACTTTCTGTCCGCCTCGTAGTCGGCTGCGGCGCGCGCCGCAGACGCAGTCTTGGTGTCTAGGTCGCCCTGTTGTGTGGATGCGCCCTTGCCGTCTCGCTTGCCACCAGGGAAGAGGTCCTCGTAGGCTGGTGGAAGAGCCGGAGACGGGATCAAAGAGGAACCGATGTTGGGGATGAATGCTGACATGCGTTGCTGCGCCGAGTTCAAGTATGCCTGATAGTCATGCAGGGCCGCCATGTTGGGCATCTGGATGTGTGACAGGTTCTGCATCATGCTGTGCTGGAACTGCTGGATTTGCTCCCTGAAGGCTGCAATCGCAACAGCAGCGGACGCCATGCCGCCCTGCTCCTCAACCTGCGGTAGGTCGACCAAGGATGCCCGAGAAGAGACCACCTCACGATTGTGACAACCCCGGAAGGCCATTTGCAGATGTGCATCCTCGTCTTCGAGGTCACCCTCGGAGGTCGATGCCTCAACTTCATCCGACTCGGTTGATGTGTCGCTGCATGAGTACTCGTTGGGAGCAGCGGGTTGTGTCCTGGGTGGTTCCCAGAAGGAGCGCAGAGACGTCGCGCTGCTGGCGCGGCTGTGAAGGGTGCTGCCCCGCCTACCAGCGCGCTTGATGGCGCGGATGACATCCCGCGTTCTGGCGACATCCGAGGCCAGTTGGCCTTGCACAGTCTTGAGCGTAGGATCGGCCTTGTGTTGGATGAGGCGCCTCACCAATTCAGGGTGGTCATATAGCGCCGCGTAATGTAACGGGCTAAAGCCCAACCTGTCTTGGACATTCGGGTTGGCGCCTCTGGCAAGCAGGCCGGCCGTGAACCGGTGGAAACCAAGGGCGATAGATAGGTGGAGCATCGTATGTCCTGTGGCCTTTCTCTTCAGGTTGAACTTGGTCTTGTTCATACTGTCGTCCAGGTCCAGAAGATCAAGGACCTTCAGAAGCTGAGGCTCGAGGTTCACGCCATAGCCCTGCGGGCCGCCGTTGTAGCCGCCGTCGCCTGCACCGTTAAAGGCACCGCCATTGATGCTGTTCGCACCATTGACAATCTGCTGAACGAGTCCCTGGACATCACCGGTGCTTCCTGTCAACTTCTGAGAAATGACGCCGAGGGCGAGATGCACGAGCGCCTCCTGCCTGTCATCCTTGTACACGAAGCTAGACTGTCGGGTGAGGAGCGACTGCATCTGACCATTCGGTCCTCTCACAGAGACATTCACATAGCCTGGATGCTCAGCCGGCGGCAGAATGCAGGTGATTGAAGAGTCAGCCCAGTAGGTGGTTGTGATGGCCTTCTTGTCGCCGAAGTAAATGTCTTGGCCTTGTCGGAATCCGGATCCCAGAATGCTGACGTCGATATTTCCCGTGATTGGTCCTTCCATGGGAATAACTTTGAGCACCGCTGGGACTGCGCCTGTGCTTGTGAATGGTGCTGTCATGGTGAGGCCACTGGTCAACAGCTGAGGTGCCTGGCCGAGCTGGTTCGGCTGTTGTTGATGCAGCGTGCCGTTGATGAGGGAGTTAGGGCTTGGTGCTCTGCTGTTTTGAGCCGAAGCAGGGGCCGAGAACATGGGCTGCATGACGTTGACATTATTGTCCATCTGGACAGGCCTGCTTGAACCAGGCTGGAGAACAGCCTGTTCGTTGCCGTTGGGCGTCCGGGGTTGGGCGGGAAACAGCGTGCCGGCGGGCTGAGTGACCTGACCGAAAGGAGGGGATGACGCATCGAAAAATGGGTTGGAGGTTGGCGCAGAGTAAGGTGAAGACGAGAAGGGAGAGACGGACGCAGGCGGCGGGCCAACCTGGCCGTTCTGTAAATTGCTGGGCGGCGGTGGAGCAAAAGCAGCCGTCTCGATGGGTGTCATGTGCAAGGTCGTGGGTATCTTGCTACCGCTCGACTTCCTCTTCTTCGCCGAGGGACCTGCTGCACTAGGCGAGGGCGGCCTTGACAGGTTGCGTGGGGTGGGGACAGCTGACGTGCCGATCGAAGAGGCTGCAGGTCCCACTGCTGTTGGTACGAGGTCACTGGCACTGCGTTTGAGAGCCTGAATATCGGATGTCGACTGTGATTGTCGGAATGGGTGTCCTGGCTGGATGGCGTTCATATCGTTGATACCAGATGAGTTTGAATTCGCCAAGGCGGGCGCGTTTGCGCTCTCAATTCTACCGCTGGGGTGAGGATTAGAGTGTGGTGTCTTGTGGTCGTCCGTGATCATGATGGATGGTGATAAAAGCTGAGTAACCAGCCGGCCCAGGTGATTCTTGAGTGTAAAGATGACCTGGAAACCAGTCTTCTCGTGGTGATGACGGCAGTAACAGGCAATCCGCATCGGCGTGTCGATGATCATGGTCCCTGGGGCGTCTGGATCGTTGGCATCTGTGAGATCCTTGATCTCATGCGTGTTGAACACAACGACCCTCTGCGCCTCGAAGTGCTTCCACTCCTCGTCTTCAGCGGGCTTCTTGGTCTTTTTTCGGTTGGCACGCTTCTGCTCCCGAGTGATACAGCCATTGCAGATGCGGACCTCGCCGCCATCCCCTGTCTTTTCTTCACCCGCATCAGAGCTGTCCTTGGACGGATGGGCAGAAGCAGCAGCACGTGCCAAGGCCTTCTCCCTCGCCTGCGGCTTAGCCATGGCACTCGTGCAGACGAGCTGGGTGGACAGCTCCAGAGTATCCGGCGAGAGCTTCGCGGCCTTGGCCAGGAACTTGGGCTTGCCGATGGTGTACCGCGGGAGATGGATCTTCTTGATACCTTCAGGGACCGGGTACAGGGTCATCTTGACCTGCATCTGCGTTTCGACGCGGGACTTTGGAGGAATATTGATAAGACGCAGGGTCGGCTTCGGGGATGCCTCTTGCTTTAGCGGCACAACGGCAAAGGGGGAACGAGCACTGCTGGGGCCTTCAGAGGTAGCTTCGTCTATTGATGAGCGCTGCCATGGCACGTTGAACCAGCTCCCGTTGGGCGGGTTGCCCTGCGGTCCAAGACGAGACTCAAGCGATGCCATATCGGTAAGAGCGAACGGGGAAGAGCCCTGGCTGAAGACCATCTGTTGTGACATGGGCGAGGCTTCTCTAGAGCCAGCGGTTGATAGCCCATTCACAGACTTGGCTGAAGAGGACTGCTGCTGCTAGATGGTCAGAAGACTTAACTCTGAAAGAACGAAAGAAAGGGAAAGAAATGATTCTTTCTAAGGAGCAGGCACATACAGAATGCCGCTTCCTGCGAGCATGACCAGCCTGAGGCCGCGTCGACAGCCGGGGTGGCTTTCTATCTGCAGGAACCTCGTCTTCGTGATCGTTCAGGGTACCGGGACTCGAGTTGAAGTCCGAGGGGCTGGAAGAGTCGAACCTGGGGGGTGACGCAGCATTGCGGCCAAACGATGTGTAACTACCACCCATGGGCTGGTCGATCATGGCCGGGTTGATGGTGTTCTGCTCGTACATGGACGACATACTGTTGAAATCGAAGTCACCAAACCCCTCGCGGGACGACTTCTCGAACAATGCCATGTCGACATCGCCGTCCCCGTTGTTCATGGCGTTGGTGGACCTTGAGGAGTCGGAAGCAGAGTCTTGATCGGATGCAGTGGGCGAGAGGTTGGACGGAAGGGTGCTGTCTGTAGTGGGCTGTAGTAGGCCCTGTCCCTTGGGCTGGGAGTCGTTGCTCTGAGCAAAGTTGAGGAAGTCGTCTGCGGCGAAGTCGAAGTCGTCGAGGTTCTGAGGCATGCCATTGAAATTGACGAAATCTTCGCTGAGCATGGGGAAGTCGTCGCCAGGATCGTCGGTTGACGGCATGGCTCTAGAAAAAGAGAGGGGGAGGGGAGGTATCCGTAAGCGTCGAGGGTCGGGGACTGAAGCCGGAATTCAACCCGCCCGGGAGGCTTGCGTGGTGCTGCTGGTCAATCGGATGAGCCGGTGCCGCGTCGTCTGGTTGGCGTATCGAGGGGGCTTTTTAAGGTGGAGGATCGTGTGATCGTCGCCTTGCTGGCAGTGCGTGTTTGTTGAGCAGGAGTTGAGGACCGGGGGGGGGTTGAAGGGTGGAAATCGAGGGGATGGAAATCGAGGTCGAGTTTGGGTGAGGTGTGGATTGAAGTATGAAGAAAGAGTCAAAAGCGCAGAGTGCGGCGAAGGTGAAGTTGACCAGAGGAGAATTTCCCTCCTGGTTGGACAGCACGACCAGGCGGTGGGGACGCGGGTGGAGATAGCGCAAGGATGGGAACGATCCAATGCGAGAGGCGCTGCTGACACAAGAGGCGGGCACGCAGGCCCAGAAAGGTGCCCCTCTGATGGCGGGCCTGGAACACGCAAGGGACCAGGAGCGAGCAAAACAGGCAGGACAGGGTAAAGGGCCAGCTCTCCTGCTTCTCTGTACTACCACTAAATAATATGTCTGCAGCTGAACTTGTCATGTAATGTCACTCACTGTTGCTGCAGATGTCATGGAGAATGCACTGTCCAGTTTCGTGTTCCCCAACACAACAGGGGGTTATTGTCGCTGGAAGCATTTAGTAGACCAACCAACCCTGGGCCTCACCAGTGGCCTGCCCCCTGGTTGTTGAGGTCGCTGTGAGCCTGCCAGATTGAGTAAGCAGGCGTGAAGCGCTGGAATCAAGAAACTACTTCATCGCTGCAAGCCCAAAGGCCCCATTTTTTACAAGAAGCCAACAGCAGGGCCTCCCCGCGATTCCCTAGTGGGCCAAGCTCACAGCCGGCCGGAACAGCAGTCTCCGCTCTCTGGCTCCTCCCAGTGATATCCTTTAGAACCCTGTTTCTGGGCTCCCTTTAACACGTCAAACGGACCAGCAGCAGTGCAAGCATTCCAATTCCACTACCCACTTCAGATATTCTCATCAAAATAAACCCCCACGGGGTTCTTTCTGGAGACTGACATGGAATGTTTCACACCTCGGCGCCTCTGCCGATCAACAGAGCACGTGTCAAGGTACCCTTCAGGTGCTTGTCTACATAGTACACAAGTATTAATTTCTACTACAGCACAGTTTGTAAATGGGAGTCTTGTTTGCTAGCACCTGTCCAAGCCATCTACTTGATGACCAAAAGGAGCCGAGCATGTCGCATTCATCCTATCCGTCTCGACGTCCGGGGGAGAAATATCATCTATCCTCTTCTGGCCCGACATCGCAGTAGCAGGCCAAAGACACGTATGTACTGCAGCCTCTGGTACTGCGCACCATCCATGTAGAGTGGTACCATAGTATGTACCGTAGCCACGCCTGCCCTCCAAAACCGTGGACCGCGCGAACTCTCGCCAGAAAGATCGGTTGGTCTAACCCCCTTTCCCAAGGCAAGACGGAGGGTTTTTTTTTTTTTTCTGTTTCTTTTCTTTCTCTCCTCTTTCTTCTGCTTTTGGTTTTAAGCTCACCCCTGCCGCTGGGGCCCATGCACCCAGCCCAAATTGTTTGTACCATAATTCTCTGACCTGCATGAGGTAAGACGTGCATGTTGTCCCAGGACCAAAGGTACTGGACTCACAATCCTACCAGGGGAAGAAAACCATTTCACACGACCACGTCATATTTCTCCCACACGTTCTCAAGTTCAAGAAATGAGAGAAGAGGGGGGAGGGTTCATTGGTCAACAACAGCTACCCCCAGTGGGCGCAGGGGAAGGACAACACATACAACCGCGCAGTGCGGGGAGCTCGTGCTGGCCACCATCTCATTCTTTCTTCCTTACTCGCCCCTCCCGTTCAACAACTCCTCCTGCATTCGCCACCATTCCTTCATCAATGTGGAGGAGGGGAAGAGAAAGAGGGTGGGAGAACGAGAACGCCGGTCAAGAATATGCCCCTCGACGTCAACGGAGACAGAAAAGACTCATGCCCCCTCCACCCTCTCGAACCGGCTAGCCACCACCGCCAGTTGTCTCGCCCAGCCATCCCATCTCTACTATGGTACCTTTATCTGTCCAGCGTCGGATTCAATGTGACGCAGCCTTATTCTTCTTCTTAGCCGCTCACACCCGAAATATTCACCATGCAGAACGCACGATAATAAACAGGAACCTTGAAACCCACCCCAGTTTGCAGACCATATCAGAGTATATGTATAACAAAAGTTGCATCGGCATCGTCTGTCCCCCCCCCCCTCCTTCTTCCCCGCCCCCCATGTCGACTATTTCATGCACTCCTTGCATCAGCCTTAGCCGAGTGCGGACTCGCATATATACTAACTACTTTTAAAGTATGTAACGTGCAGATAAAAAGTCAGAGTGGCTCGACACGAAGAAGGGCCAGAACCAGACCACCCTCGAGCAAAGGGGGAGAACCCGGGTGCTGACACTGGTGAGGCGTCGGGTGGCCGGAAAGCGACATTTCAAGAGTGCCCTGGATCTGAATAGCGAGAATACGCGATGAAGTCTTCAACAGACCTATTCTGTGTCCCTTTTGGCATCGAGCGGCATCTTAACGTGAGGCTGATGGTACACTGCAATAATCACCTGTTGATTCTATATGAACGCACAATTTATAGAGTCGAATATTTCATGTCCACTTGCGTAAATATGTGCTTATAATCCACTCCCTTCTTGATAGAATCAGGTCAGTCCGCACATCTAATCTGCAGGGTTTGTCTGAGGCGATACTCATGTGCATAGGCAGACGCCTCTGGGGGAATATGTTTAAAAAGAGAGGAGACGGTGGAGGAGAAATCCATCTGGTCGGTGAGCCGAAAACGACTTCCCACAGCATGCCCTGTTGGGGAAAAAATTTTGGAAAAGAACCCCCCCCCCCCCAAAAAAAAAACCTGCAGCACACATCCCGCCACGCACGTCAAAAGTACCACACCGCGCGGGCCGTTGTCAGTCGGTACGAGGAGGAGGAGAAGAAGAAGAAGAAGAAGAAGGAGAAGGGATGCCGGGTGCAGAAAGCTCAGCATCCTCTGCGCTCCCTTGTCCAACACCAACGGCGCCTTTGTGAGTCTCATCAGGGAACCGAATAGTTCGATCACCCGGGTCAAAAGCCGGCGCTTTACCCGATCCACTCCCTCCATCCTCACCAGCACGGGCGCCTTCCCCGAGAGTAGTTCCCTGCTCTCCTTCTGCTCCAGACTTCTTGGAAGGGATGACACTCCCACCGATCCTCCACACAGGCCGCACTGAGTTCGCCCTCGACGTACCAGCGCTGCGGGGCCCCGTGACACGGGTCTGCTCGTCTGAGTTGTGGCGTGACATGGATACAAAGGTAGGAAGGCGGAGACCACTGCTGCTGACTCGGCTGCGGATGTGGAACGCACCGCCGCCTGTCTCTGGTTCGTCCGTCACAGCGCGAGAGATCGTCTGGGGCAGATAGTAGCCTAGCTTCCCAAGGGGAATGCTGAGACCATGGACGACCTGTGATGATGAAGAGATACGCGAGTCAGAAGGAGTTGGAGGGCCAAAGTACCAAGGAGGGGGATTGTACTCACCGCACTGCAGATACACGCGAACCAAACCACGACTAGCACCGCCTCTGGCAACTTTGCCACATCACTTCTGAGATCCCCGTTCTCGTCCTTGAGCGTGTCCAGGAACTCATTGGTGATGTATAAGTAAAAGATTGCCGACACGCCCATCGGTCCAAAAAAACCAACGAATATAGCCTGGCGAAGATGTTCAATCTGTGGGATCTTCTTGTGGATGGCCAGTATCCAAGGGAGTCTCCGGACCAGTAGGATCAGGATGCCAAGAGGCACCAGGCGATACAGAGGAATGACCGAATTCTCTCGAAACATATCCCAGGGGCATACGGCACCATACCACATGAAGATGGTGACGTTGAGGAGCTATTTGGTTGTTATGTTAGAGAATCAAGTTGCTTGCTCGGGAAGAAACAGATCTTGGAAGACGTACCATGTCGATAGTGGGCTGCAGAGAGTCGTCGATGGTCTCGAGGCGGAACCAATCGTCCCAAGTAAAGGAGTTGCCAGCAATGAAGCACGCGAGGACACTATATCCAGGTCAAATTAATGTCCCAGGAGAGGGAAAGGCTTCCACCAAGACTCACTCATCGCTGCCAATCATGCCGCAGGTTCCAATGATGAAGAGCGCAAGCGAGAAAGCAAACACTAGAAAACTCTCCCGGTCAACGTATTTGCGTTCCTCGGCCCCTGTTGTATGAGGATTCATCAGCCATCTATCCACACACCCTAGTCCTCCTTTCAGTCATTGCAATGGCATATTATTTATGCTTACAATGCAAAAGCTCCTTGGCGATCCAGCCCACAGCGAAACCGTAGACCACGCTCAAGAGGATCGTATAACCCCATGTCTCTCCAAACCACATGCCCATTGCCGCGCTTGCCCCTCCTTGTTGACCGGCCACTCCCGACCCCGTACCGACATACTTGATGAGGTACAGTGCCAGAAACGAGAATGGATAACCGAACCCATCATTCGCACCAGACTCGGCAATGATGATCTTCTGCAGGTCTTTGGGAACGTTGTGGTCTGCGTACTTTCCCTTGACGATGACGTTGGACAGAATAGGATCCGTGGGTGTCAGGCAGGAACCAATGGCCAGCGCGTGAAGGAAGGGCAGGTTGGGCACGAGACCCCAGATGAGAAGGGAGGTGGTGATCCACATGCACGCCATAATAGGGCCGAGCAGGATGGAGAGTGGGCGCCATTGGGCCTTGAGGTAGCGGCTAGGGAGCTGTACGCCAGCGAGTACAAGCTGCACACCGAGGACGAGGCGCGAGAAGTAGAGGGTGATGGCATCGAGACTTGCTGAGGAGCCACTGCACAGCCCGATTAGCTTTAGAACGTGACATTTTGGCTGGGGGGGGGGGAGATCTGCTAATTCATGAGGGCAACAGGACGATAAACAGATGAAAGCGACCTACGCGTAGTCAAGAGGCCGTATGAGGTTCGCAGCACGAGGCGAGAACGCAACTCCGGCCAAGAGTGATATCACTTCAAACAGGGTGGGTCGTGTCAGCTCATTTCCCCCTTCCCCCTCCCTCCCTCTCTCTCTCTACACACACACACACACACACACACATACACACACGAGACCTGCCCAGGGAAATGCAACTACTCACAGGCCTCCGAGAGATAGAAGTTCTCCTTCATCAGGTAGCTCACAAGCCCAAATACTGAGATCCATCCTCCCAGAACGGAGACAACAATGTTGAAGTTGGTCAACGCAAGAGTCGGCATATTGGCTCTGGCCGTCTTCGCCCCAGAGAAAAATGGAGTTCGAAGACAGTAACCTAGTCGATATCAGCGTGAGAACCTTGCTCTCAGGTCACTCCGAAGTCGTCCTTGCTCTTGCGCAAGACCGACAGGCAGTGGCTTGCGGATGGGAAGGGGGCGGGGCGGTGTGTTATTGAATCATGGAGTCTGTTCTGGTGGTGCCTCTGCAAGGACACGATGAACGCCACTTTGACTGCCTGAACCTCGGAAGAAACAACTTTTCTGAAGTGTTGCACAGCTTATCTATCTCTTGCTGCACATCGGCCAAGATCGGAGCAAGGAAAGAAGAAGAAAAGAGAAGAAGAAAGAAGAGTGTGATATTCGGCGATATATTCACTGGGTTGCAATAAGGGTTCAGAGGGGGGTCAGACAAGGTATCAGGCTTTGGAAGGTGGCCGTGCAGTGTCGTCGAGAACAATTACGTCGGGCCAAAAAAAATACAGAAGAAGATAGATGACATGATAAGGAAAGAACCCACGAGGCTGCTCGGCCCAGGCTTAGCGCGAGTTACTGCGGGACCGCTGCGGAAGAGTGAGCCGAGGAGGCATACAAGGCAATTATACCACCAAAAAACAGGGGAGGGACCACGAGATTAGACTATAGTAGCAATAATTTAGCTGAACAAAATCCAGTCCGAGCCATCAAATATCATACCCTTATTCTCTCTCTCTCTCTCTCTCTCTCTCTTTGTTTCTCTCATACTGCTCCCAATCAAGTAATTGCACACTAATGGACCCCGGCGTTTGTACCAAAGGGCCACGGACCCCGACAATTCCAGCTTCGCATCACCTAACTTATATACAGCACACACACACACACACACACAGAGGGGGAGAGAGAGAGAGCAGGGCGAAGGAAAGCAAAAGAGATAGAAGTCCGCAAATTGCCCCAGCTTGTGAGTTGCCAAGTAACCCAGCTGACCTGTGTACACCTGCTCCCACCCGGACGCGCAGCATTGCGAAAGACCAAATCAAGAAGGCAAACCAACAACGCCACGCCAAAAATAAAAGGGAGAAAATAAGTAAGAAGAAGATAATATCAAGACCCTTCCGAGCCTGGTGTTCATATTCGCCAGTGGCCCCGTTGTAAGGCAGTCTGTTCTGTTGGTAAGGCCGCAAGCATCAAGTCTTCCTCATCAGACCAATCGATGGGACCACCTCATAATGTCGTCCATCTCCGCGAAAAAAACGCACAAGTCGTGGCATGTCATATGCCTTATCACTGATTTCCCCTGCTTCGTCTTCTGTAACAGTGTGGTAGTCGTTCTTATCATCAAAAGAGATTTCTTACGCCCAAGTCCGCCATATGCCTTCCGCTCAACGGCGCTTTCTCTTAGTCTCCATCCTTGAAGCCTTGGCCTCGTTGGCGCCCTTGACGGCAAGCCCGTCTGCCTCCACGTTGCCTCGATTGCCCTCGTGGCCCTTAATCCACTTGATAACCGTTCTGGTGCCGAGGGCGTCACGCTTACGGATCTCCTGGAGAGCCAGTTCGACCAGGTCACGGTTTTGAACAGGACCTTTGTGTGTCTTCCAGCCATTCGCTTCCCACTTGATGAACCAATCCGTCACACACTTGATTGCGTACGTGGAATCAGACCAGATTAGGACACCTCGCTGAGGGGGCACAGATTGCAGCGCTCGGATGATTGCTGTCAGCTCGGCTCGCTGGTTGGTCTGAACGTCGCCGGGCAGGCGCTCAGAGATGTTTCTTGGTGTCAAGACTGTCAATCAGAGTTCAGATGGATTGATCGGGCCAAAGGGTGCGTTTGTGCGGTGTGTGTAATACGAACCTCGGGTCCCTGTCACCAAAGAACACCCCGACCCCCGCCACAGCACCTTCTTGGCCATTGGAAAGGGCACTACCGTCCGTGTACACCTCCTCCAGGCCGAATTCCATATTGCCGCCGAGAGACAGCTCGATACCGGTCTTGACCTTCTTGCCAGAGGGCATCAGGAAATCGTCCTCGTCCTCATCGTCGTCCTCGTCGTCGTCCTCTTCTCGGTCTGGAGCGTCATCATCAAGGAAAGAAGGTGTCGTGGGGGGAAATGTCTGCATCCACTGCTCTGCCGCCTCGCGAGTATCGAACCTCTTGTACTTGGGCGCCTTGACGCCCGTGTATGCAGCCTGGGCATCGGCCCACTCGGTGTAGATACCAGGGTGCTTGCCCACGGCGACAGCGTAGAAGCGGCTGGGGTTCGAGTCGGGGTTCGGATTCTTCCCGGCTGCAAAGAGTGCTGCCTCTTCACGAGTAGGAAAGGCCTTGTCTTGACATTTTGAACGAGTACATTAGTCTAGTTGCTTCCTGGAAGGTATAGCAAGAACGAGAAACGAGAAGAGGGTGGGAACATCTGAAAGAGGTCTTTGTTGCGGGGGAAACACCACGAGCTCAGATAAAACTAGGTTTATCACTTACAAACCGCGCCTCCAAATCCGTTGATGTTCGCCTGGCACTCCATCCAGGTCGTATACACGCCGGGGACGCGACCAGCCCTCACAGCATAATATCGTTCTTCTCCTGGCCGCCGCTTGCGCTTGTAAGGTTTCGAGGTAGGGGAGGGCTCGGACCCGGGCAGAAGAGCCTCGGCCGCCGCCGCTGCTGCAGCCAGACCGTTGCTCTTAGGCTTTGGCATGGCCGTGGCTCGTATCGCGAGGAGAATTGCCTTCAGAAACGAGCGAAATCGCAATTGGTTAGGGTTGCGAGTCGAGTGCGTCTTACTGGAGAAGTTTTTGATCGAAGAAGAGCGGGTGCACTGCCTGGAGGACCGGACGCCGTCCCAGAAGAGCTCTTTGTTAAGTGTTAGAGATCTCGCGAATCCGAGCTTCGAGTGGTGAAAGGGCATGAAAGGCGCCTTGACAAGGCACCGAAAGTGTGGTAGTCTCTCGAGGAGTCAAAGAAGCATGCTGCAGTTGAGCTGCTGGATCCAGGGCGCAGACGTGTTCCACTAAAAAGTGCAGGTCAGCAACAGCACGGCTCATGCAAGGGAATGTTGCGGGAGGGCGACCCACAATGAGAGGGGAATGAGGAGGGGTGTGGGGGGGGGGGGGGACGACAAAAGAAATGACAGCTCCTGTTGATGAACTGAGTGCAAAGAACAAGAAAGAGCATTAAATCAGTCCGGGCTGGATTGCTATGACCCCAGAGCTCTCTAGCCATTTGCCCCTCCCTCCCCCTCTTTTTCCGAAGTTGGTTATCGAGGCAGGGGGTGGCGGGTTGGCAACAACAGCCTTGTGCTAGTCGACCAACAATAGTGTATTGATAAATCAATTCTTCCTTCTACACACAAATAATGTGCGTATTGATAAAACAATGATCCTCTTGCCTGTCGACGTATGGGTAGTGATAAGACTTTCCTCTCCTCCTTCTCCATGATAAGTGTGACTAGGCTGGCTGACTCCATTCTCCAATTCATCGTCGAGATTGAATCAGCACAATACACTGTTCAACCTATTTCTTTTTTGGACATGCATATCATACAGACACCCTTTCCAGCTGCTGCAATGCTAACAAAAAGCAGTCCACCACCGAGGGAGAAAATCCACGTGCTTTTGGCTCAAAACATTGACAAGGACCACTGTCTCGCATCCCTCCTAGGTATGTAACGCCGTAATAGTGCTGGTAGCTCAAAAAATGGATGGTATCATGCCCTGCCAGTAACTCCCGAACCGAATGAGAGGACTACCTAATTCCTCTGACCTGTCCTCCAAACGCTTAACATGCTTGCTTGCTCCTCGGGAGCCAGTTTTGATATGCAACTTGGTGCACCGTTCTTCGCTATTACCGATCACCAGCTGCGCTTTCCTTGACCGGGTGACTGGAACAGCAGCTCAAGCGTGAGCCTTCTGGTCGACCGAGTGCTTGTGGACGCAGTTGTCGCCCTCCCACTCCCAGGCGATCAGGCTCCAGTTGAGCTCTCGGCGCCAGAACAGACCCAGACCATTGCCACCGCCGTACTCTGCTAAGTGAGGCTGGTTGTGGCCGCGGACCTCGGCCGCCATGCCGCCCGTCAGGGTCATGCGCTCACAAAACACGACTTTGCCCATACGCGAGTGCAGGATGGCCATAGAGCACATGACACAGGGTTCATGAGTGAGATAGAGCTCGAGATCGTGACAGAGGTACCCGTCCGGCGTGGGGTGGTCCTCTCGGAAGATCTTCTCCTCAGCAGCCAGAAGAGGCTTGTCCTGGAATGCCTCAAACTCGAGGATTGGCTGGGGATTCGTAGTATTCTCTCGATTCTCTGCTCGTACAAGCTTTTGGGCAACCATACTGATTGCCCGCATCACGCAATGGGCCATCGGATTTCCGGTGCCGGTGGGTGGTTGTTTGTGCCATCTGGCATCGGTTGCCAGAGCCACGATGCGACAGCCAGCAGCGCTCCGGTGGACGACACAAGCGCCCATGGCCTCACCGTAGCCAGCATCTTTGCCCTCATCGGCGATCTGATGAGCAAGAGCCATCCAGACGGCAGCATCTGGTCTGATGTCATCTGTATGTCGAGTCACCATGCTAGGGTGTGGGCCCAGAGGGTTGTTTTTGCGGTAAACGCAAGGCCAGAATTGCTCCGACCACATGGCGGCCTGCACTTGGGATGTGGGTGCCAGAGTCGGCACCGGGACGCTGGCCAGCCACGGGGTCGGGGTCATGCCTTCAATCCCACAGAGTTTATCTACCAACTCTTGCTGTGAAAGTTGTGACTCCGGGCCGAGAATGATGTAGATCCACTGAGACTTTCCGGTATGCAGCTGTCGACTAGCAGAATTCTTGTGCATAAATTGCGCCTTCAGATGAGGAGGAAGGTCGGTTGGTTTCGCGCACCGGCGCAGATGAGGCATGCCCTTAGCGATCTCCTCAGGCAGGACGGCGCGAAGGAGTCTGCAGGAGATCATAGGTCAGTATTAGAGCTTCAGTCGGAGCCATGTGACCTAATTTATGTGAAAGGGACTGGTGCTGCGCAGAGAGGGCGGGGAATAAGAAAGAAGCCTCACGTGATGACAGCGTTGGCTGACTTGACGGGTGCCCGAGTGATGATGACGTTCATGCAAGCGTGGTCGTCTCGAAGTTCAAGAGTTGTCTTGAGGGGCACCAGGACGCCATCCTTGATCTCAGCAGGAAGGAGATCTTTGACGATTTGCTGTTGCGCAGCGACGGTATCGGCCAAATTGCCGGGCTTCGGAGTGGCCATGTTGATGAGCGGATAGCAAGCGGGCCTGGCTGATTGATTCGTTCCTCTTTCAAGCGATTTCGTGTCTGAGAGAATCCAGAGCCCATGCAGTGCTAGACCGCACCGAATGGTGGAGGTTACAAGTCAAGGGGGGTCTGTCAGGTGTTTTGGTACAGGAAGGATGAGTAGCCAAGGCAAAATTCTCAATCCAGCTTTGTCGGAGAATGCTTGACGAGATCTCTAATCCAGTAGGCGCATCTCGATGAGCAACGAAGTTTCCAGGGTGCTGCTTGCTGTCTGTCTGCCTGCCTATCCGCCGCGCCTGACACGATGCAGCGTGAGAAGAAGAGAGAAAGTGCGCCTGGGTGCTATTTCGCGACGCTCGAGACCAAAGGGACGGCACGTGATATTTGTTTGCGATTGACGGCAGATGTTTGACGGGCAAGAAAGAAGTTGCTGTTGGAAAGATAGGAAAGGGCAGATGGTATTCAGAAAGAACGATTGAAACCCACTACCTAGGAAATCTTTTGGGGACCGCGAACCTTATCGCAGAACAGTTTCCTTATCGTCCTCGCTGCCTCTGTTAGCGTATCCAGGGTCCATCCCCGCCTGCAGGGATGCCCCGCCCAGGCCTGCCCGCCTGCCTGCCTGTCTTTGTGTACTGTACCGCAGTAAAGTTGGGGTATCTTGGGGATAGTCTCCTCCACAGGTCAAAGACTCTTCTTAAGTTTTGGGGCCATCAGTCACCCACAGGTTGCACACACACACTCTCTCTCTCTTGACAGCTCGCAGTATCCAAATTATTGAAGCTTCTCAGCAAATTTGAGCCCTGCTGATGGGACCTCGTGACAAGTATGCAACGCAGTCATCGAAATCCGACCTGTAGGCGTTCGTTCATCTGATTCCTGATCGGCGCGAGTCCTGCTTCGAGATGTATCCTGCTTCGGTTCTTAGGGACTGTCCACACTATATCATGACTACTATGTACCTTCATACTCCGACTCCTGCTGCGCTTCTCAACATTTATTTTTATTTGACACCGGCTCCCTGCCGTCCACTGACTCCCATAGTCGAACATACTGCGGGTCCTCATCCCAGTTACAATTATTGTACTTTCCCTAGGTACAGAATTGTGTGTCTCAAAGTAGAAGGCTGAGAACAAGCAGTGACCCATATCTGTGCATGCCCGGATGCATCCCCGATTCAATAGGGGTAATAGGGGATTGTAAAGACCGGCTGTGGGTCGAAACATCACCGTGCTGAGGACTGCTTGGCGTGTCGCGTATCCGGTATGGTATTTCACCGACGAAAGGAACAACTGGCAAGTATGAGACAACCTCAATTCTTGCGGAGGTTTTGGCTCGAGCGCCGAAGTCACCCAGCCAGCAGAGCCTCGAATGTGATCCTCTTGTTTCTGGACCCGTTCTGACGACAGCGGGGTCAGGAAAACCGGGTCGAACCGCACGTGTGCCACAGTAGGTGGAGCCCCCCCAGTGCTGCAGAATGCGGCAGCTCGAATCGGTAGGGCTAGAATGATGCGTGCCTGCAGATGATGATATCGTTGGTCAGGAAGCAGGCAGTAGAGGCCCTTGCTCGATAGTACTATGGAATGTGTTGGCAAAACAGGCTTTGCATGCGAGGCTTCAATCCTAGGATGGCTCAGACGCATGCTGGCCACTGTCTTGGACTCTCCTGCCAAGCCTGGACTCGTCAGTGTTTGCGAACCCCATGTGAGACACATTGGCGAGCGACAGCGCATGTGTCTGGAGAGAGTGTGGTTGGTCGGCAGTCGAAGCATTTTGGAAGCGATTGAGGTACGGCCACATTGCCCTCCCTCCACGGCTAGCACAGTGTTAAGCTAGTTGTAAGCGAGCCAAGAGGCGAACATAGGAATGGTAAGGCTGGGCTGAGCGAGGGTTGCACTTCCAAGAATTTATCCCCCCACGGCACACTGGGGTCGCACCCTTTCGAAAATTGAAGCCAACCTAGTCTTGAACAGGTTTTTAAGAGTTGCGACGTGGACAGCGACCTTCCGCCAAAAGTTGAAACTTGAATTCCCGAAGGCATATGCGCCGCCGCACTTTCTCTCTCGATTCTCAACACACTGTCGAGCATTGACCTCAGTTCCTGTGTTCCCTCTTGCCCCTTTGCTCATTACCGCCTCTCCTGGAGGTTCCAGCTGCCAAGCTGTTTTCAGTCAGATTTTCAGCATTTAAGATTAACTCACCATATCCCAAACCACTTTCATCAGTCACTGGTCATGACTCTGAAGTGGTGTTGAAGTACCCAAAACCGGATCAGAGTCTTGTCAGCACTGAACTCCGAGCAACCACGCTAACAAAGGGCCTTTTGTTGAGACTTTTGAGTGCTGCCCAAGTGGCCTAGCACCCTAACATTGGAGCCCTTGGCCTTAAATCCGGCTTGCATCCTGTCAGTCCCCTCAGTGTCAGGGCACTGCAGGGTCCCCCACAAATTAGCAGATCGACTGCAGAGTCTCTTCTCCATAGTCGACCAGATCTGAGCTGTTCATTGGCTACCGCATGCGTAGAAGCCTCCACTTGAGCGCAGCAGCGATAACCCCTGCTCACAATGACCAGGCCTGCACAGAGCCCTGGTGCGGTGTCGGCACCCTCTATACAAATTCAACTTCAAGGTTCGTCGAGTCTCTCTTACCCTGACAAAACATCCTTTTCCCACCATCATCCTTCACATCCCCTCGACGACGACAACCTTTCTTCTAACCATCCTCCCTCCTCACAAGACAAGAACATATCCACACACCTGCAAAGACAGTCCTCCCTCTCGACGCAGGTCATGAGCTCAGCAGCCGCAGCCCGCCAACAATCGCCCCCGTCGCAGAATCCTCCCGATCAGTCCAATGAAGATGGAGGTAAAACCATTGCGAACGGGGCATCACCCAGCCTTGTGCCTCCTCCCTCCGCCCCTCCATCTCTCGTGAACGCCGTCAAGGGTATAAGCAATAATGCCCACGACCCCCTCCTGACTCTGCGCGAAAAGCCCATCGCCACCATCTTGGGCGAAAACTTTGACTCACCATACGCCCGAAGCGCCACTTCAACTGCTCCAGGTTCTCCTCGAATGTAAGTCAAATCCCCACTCCTCCCTGCATCTTGAAGGGGTCGAACGTCTGCATCACGCTGCGCTCCATAGTTCCCCCGTGTCGCAAGGCCTTCGATTCCAACCGTCGCGTCATCTGCCATGGCTGAGACCTGTCTAGTCCTCCTGTGCGCCAAAACTCCGGAAGCCACACCCCACGCGTACGACCGCACGCGACTACGTTGAGCATCCCCGGTATGACGAGATCGAGAGTGTCGCCAGATGGCAAGATCGCAGGAAGAGATGTCAGTGCCAAGCTTGTCATCATCATGGTCGGCCTGCCCGCGCGGGGCAAGTCATACATCACCAAGAAAATCACCAGATACTTGTCATGGCAGCAACACGACACAAGGATATTCAATGTCGGCAATAGAAGGCGGATTGCTGCTGGTATTCAGTCCCCACATGCGGACATCGGTCCCAATAAGGAGGCGACGGGTGTCGACGGACGACTGCAGGCTGCCACGGTCCTTCTGAATGGCGTTGCTGCCCCCCAGGTGGATGAACCTACGGCCTTGGATCTGAACGACTCGAAGTCCGAGAAAACGGTACTGGACTCGAGCAATTTTCCCCCAGCAGATAAGGATGACGGAGACCATGATGTTAACACCATTACCCAGTCCGCCAGTTTCTTCGACCCCAAGAACACGACCGCCAGAGCCCTCCGTGAGAAAGTGGCCATGGATACACTGAACGAGCTGCTGGACTACCTCATCAACGGTGACGGTGCGGTTGGAATCCTGGACGCGACCAACTCGACGATCCACCGGCGGGACCTCCTTGTGCAGAAGATACGCGAGAGAGAGCCAAAGCTGGGAATCCTGTTCATCGAGAGCATCTGCCACGACAAGCATGTCAGTCACACCTCCTCCACTGCTCTATGGGAAAAGTGAAGGCGCTAACATGAGTGATTGTAGTTGCTCGAAGCCAACATGCGCCTCAAGCTGTCTGGCCCGGATTACAAGGACAAGGATCCTGTCAAGTCCCTGGAGGACTTCAAGGCTCGTGTCAAGGCCTATGAGAGCGCATATGTCCCCCTCGGTCTTCATGAGGAACAGCGAGACTTGCAGTACATCCAGATGATCGATGTTGGTCGCAAGGTGATCCACCACCGACTCAAGGGCTTCCTGAGCGGCAGCATCGCTTCATATCTGACAACGTTCAACCTGTCGCCTCGGCAAATTTGGATCACTCGACACGGACAGAGCGAGGACAATAGACTGCAGAAGATCGGCGGCAATTCCCATATCACAGATCGCGGCCATTGCTATGCGGCAGCACTCTACAACTTCATGACCCAGAAGCGGGAGGAGTGGCTCATCGAGCAGAAAGACAGGGTTGCACAATCTACATTTCCTCCAAAGGCAGGTGATAACACTCCTCCTTACCCAGAGATCTACCAAGAACTTCAGGAGAAGAACTTCTGCGTCTGGACGTCGATGCTGCACCGGACTATCGAGACGGCCGAGTATTTCGACAACGACGATGATTATGATGTCAAGAACTGGGAGATGCTCAATGAGCTGAACGCCGGATCGTTCGAGGGCATGACCTACGACGAGATTGCCGTCAAGTATCCACACGAGTATCAGAAGCGCTCCGCCGATAAGCTCAACTACATCTACCCGGGACTTGGCGGCGAGGGGTACCTCTCCGTCATCAGTCGGCTGCGCGACATGGTGCGCGAGATCGAGCGGGTCACGGACCACGTTTTGATTATAAGTCATCGCTCCATCTGCCGCGTCCTGATGGCCTACTTTATGGACCTCTCTCGAGATCACATCGCCGACCTTGACGTCCCTCTGGGCATGCTCTACTGCATTGAGCCGAAGCCGTATGGGTATGAGTTCCACGCATACAAGTACAACGAGCCTGCCGGCTCTTTCGACGAGCTGCCGGACTATAAGCCGCAGAAGACGACCGACAGAAATAACTAATCCGAGGTGGCCGGGTTTCCGCTGGAGCTCTTCGGAGCTGGCGTCTTCATGGTCTTGTGTGCGCGCGTGTATATGTGTATTGTATGATCAAAAGGGTTTTTTCTTCTTCTTTCTTATTTTTGCGTTTCGCAGGAAACATAGAGGCCTGGAGTTTTGGGGGAACAGGCTTTGCATTCACCTGGGCGGGTCTGGTCTGATGAGCAGCAGTGAGCCTGCTGATGGCATTTTTTTTATTTTTTTTGCAGAACTGAAAGGGTTTTTATTCTCTACAACCAAGACGTCTCATTTCTGGGATTGCATTAGAAGGAGAAACAAGACTTTGGGCTCCGGGCAGCACTCAAGAGTGAAATGGGGCGCAGGAAGGCGGTTCACAAGACGCCATACAATAGAGTCGTTCTGACTTTTTAGAAAGAGGAAGAGAGGGAGAGAAAGAGCAAGACCCACATTCGCAAACGCCAGATTAGGCACTTGAACCAGTCATGGAGGGGTTGGTGATCTGCTTCCCAGAATGGCTTAAGAAATACAATGATTGTGAAAGAAAGGGGGAGTGTCCTTCGATTCTATTTGTAATCTCAACGTGCCCCGCCAGATTCTAAACGATCCTATATCGCATCCATCGAGCAACTTGCTTCTTCAGTACTACTAGCAAGGAGTACACGAGCTTTCGAGTGGAGGGGAGAGACTGATGAGCATGAAGCCTACTTCAGAGTGGGAGGTATTGAGAGCGATCTGGCAGGACCCACCTTGTGGCTGGAATAGGAGGTTACATGAATAGTTCAGTCATATCATCATGCTTTCTCCCTCTCGAGGAGGAGGACGGAGGGGTAAAGGCAGGGCACCTAAAAAGTGGGTGTCCATTACTATGGATGTGACAAGTCAAGAAGGCTCTTCTCTATGATGGTTGGTGTTTTTTTTCTTTCTTTCTTTCTTCTTCTCTCTCTTTTCTTTCTTCTTTTTTTATTTGAGGCACAATATAATGAGCCCAGGTATGGTGTGATATCATGCGCAATGTTATGATTTGGTGTGATTGTGCTGTTACTGAGAGGAAGTCGATGAGTGCTGAGCTTGAATAGAACATGAGCACAGCGCTCTTTGGAATTGGCTCAGAGCAGCATAGATTTTGGGTATGGATCTTCTTCTACATCAGTTTGGATAACTGTCTGGACCAAGAAAATGGTGCGCTATCTTTCTCTCTCTCTCTTCCCACTTTCTGGTTTTGGGGGAAGAGGGGTGTGGTCAAGGAGGTTCTTCTGAGGCCATTCAGCTTTGCTGCTATGATGTTGTGCAAATGCCCTGACTACCTGACTAGTTACCATAAGTTGTAATAAATCCCACAAGGAATTGGCAGATTTTGTCAAGACACACCCGAGAACAGCAATATAGGTCAGGGGAGCATTGCAGGTTGTGGAATCAACGCTGGACATTGTTCAAGACCAAGAAGATGCACATATGGTGGTGCGCAGCCGCATACATTCAGTCACTTGCGAGTGAGCGGCCCCTCTACATTCCCACGCTCGCCCTGGAACCGACTACTACGGTGAGTCTCCGGTTGGAATTGGCTACTATGACTATGGTACACTACCATAGTATTCTCTCGGCGAGGCCGGGACATCGTTGTTGTAGTAGTGCAGCAGCAGACTAGCACGACCAGCAAGCCCGTTGCCGTGCACGGAGAAATCATCCCGACGAATATACCAACGGTAAGTGGCGCGGCGCCGCTTCCCATGTGGTCTCTTCTGGACTCTGGGACTTGTAAGGATCCTCCCCCTCCTTGCCTTTGTTATCGCCCTCACGTTTTCTTTCTGGGTTGTGTAAATTAGGGAACAACGAAAGGAAGGCAGGGAAGAGGGTGGGGGAAAATATTCCAAAAAAAAAACTGGAATCAAATCCTCTTTTTGAGCACCCCTACTTGTGTTTCCGCAAGCAAGCAAGCCAGTCCCTTGCCATGGGCTTTGTTTCGGGGCGCATTGTTCATCCCAACGTGCCGCTGTCTGACGGAGGAGGAGGAGGAGGAGGAGGAGGAGGATGAAGGGGGGTGGGGGGGGGGGGGCAGGAGGCAGGCATGGGCGGTCGAGCGATCCACCAACATCAATGAGCTGGTGGTTCTATTGTGGTACGGCATGTTGGGGGCTGCCAACAACTCCACATGCTCCCATGGATAGGACCAACGGCTTCTTGCTCGCTTGGGCTCACGATAAGATAACCATACTATAGTATAGTAGTAGCAGTAGCAGAAGTAGTAATCTTGTACTCGTACAGACGACATTGAGGCGTCCTCACTCGGAATCATGAGTCCACCGTGATACACATACTGGGCTCCGACCGTAATAAGGCCCCTGATACCACACAACAGGGTCCTGCACGCCAATACCCGGTCTGCCACTGAAAAGTCGAGGCCCCTTGTGCTTCATAACCAGCACTCACTTTGAAACGGGGCAAGCATCCATCACGGTCTGGTGCATATACTGTGGTAGTCAATGAGAGGGATGTCTCACTCGTAAAGCCCGTTGGAGGGTGGATGGAAGGGCGGCCAAGGAGAAACCTCAAATACGAGGGAAAAGAAAGGCTGCCTACATCGTGTACCATGGGGTAGCACAAGCCTGCCTGCTTGCCACCACAGGATGGTTCAACGCGGCCTCTTACGACTTTCTTTCTCCCCACTGGGTGTGGCGAGAGGATACGGCGGGGGTGGACGTCAGCAGCAGCTGCTGCTGCTGCTGCCGCCGCCGCCGCCCTCCGAGACGGTATCTATTTGCGCGCAGCTATCCGACCTTTCTGTGCTTCTTTGTCTCATGTTCAGGGAAGGGTCATACAGTAGCAAATTAGTATGCAACCATGATATGCTTCGAGTTGTGTCTATTTTTGTGCCCATCTCCCGTGAAAGGAGGTCTTTGTCGGCGGTCTCTTGTGGAGCCGGGCATGCGTATGCAAGTCCTCGTCCACCAGGATCGTCGCAGGAAGAAGGTCGTCGAGTTGGCTGTGGAGCCCCACGTGCCCCCTTTCGGGACAATTCGCTAAAAGGGCCCGGGCCAGATCTGGACTGGACGTTGAGAGCTCATATTTCGAATGGGCGATGACAGCCCTTGCCAGATGGGGAATGTTTTTGGGATCGTCGAGAAGGATGGAGGATTTCCAAGAGAGCGAGCGGGCGACTGGGCCGCGCGTGCCACTGCGGGAAGGACCGACGATGAGCGAGTTGTCGCCTCTGCAGATCGTGAGGAGGAAACCGCTGATCCTCCCCTTTTTCTTCTCTCTTTCTCTCTCCTGCTTTTTCTTTTTTGGGCCCCGGCCCTTGGCATCGAGATAAAGTTGTAGGCAAGGTGAGTGTTCATCTCATGGTCTCGCCGATCCACCGAAACGCTGGCGGGTCACCAGAATAAGATGTCTGGCTCTCACCTGACGTGTTACCCGCCGTCCCATGTTCGCACGTGGTGACAGAATATGCGTAAGAGAAGGGTTAAGTAGTCAGCGTATAACGTGGGGCCAATTGTCGAGGACGACAGAATTACTATGGTACGTTAGTATGCTTGAAACAACGGTGCTGGTGGGAGAAAGGAGGGTGGTGTCAACGGTAAACGAGGTATGAGCCGGTGGCGGTGCGGGTCGGCTTCGGGGAAAAAGGAAAAAGGAAAAAAGAAAAAAGCCATCAAAAAGGCCCCTACTGCGCACCGCCGCCGCTCACCTGCTGAGGCGTTGTGTCCCCGCCAGCCCGCCAGCCAACCAGCCTACGAGGACAGCCAGACGGGCCTCGGAGGTAATTTCGGCAAGCCACTAAGCGGGTTTCATCTGTAAGCACTTTCCAGGGCTCCCGGTCTTGCTAGCTGCCCCTGCGAGGGTCATCCAGGCCCTGAGCTGAAAGCCTTTGCGAGGGGAACCCCCCTTCCTCGAAAGGTGCAAGGCCTCTTCTCTCTCTTTTTGCTGAGTCAAAATTCTCGCGCTGAGCCAAGAGAATCAGGAAACGAAATTTGCCGCGCAACCGGCCATACCTCGAGGCCAATCAGTGAGCACATGGCAGCCAGCCACTGCCAGCGCCCTCTTCTTCTCAAGTCCCGGTGGTTGTCGAGCTGTGGGCCGCCGGGTTTCAAGCCCACACGTTCAGCACCCAAAGCTCCAAACGACGGCGCTGGCGGAACAGACCGTAGCGTGTTTGTAAATGATTTGCTAATGTAGTGCCTCGACGGTGCAAAAACTCTACTGAGTATAGTACAGGTGAGCATTGTTTGGGAATCGCTGACTCTGGTCACATGGTAATCCTTGACAGACAGTCAAGTGTTTGGACCTTGTATTCTTAGGAAAGGATGTTGTTTGTTGTTCGTCCCAAGTTCGTCTCCAATGCTTACGGTTTTGTTTATGTTGACAATGTGAAGCCATTGGGAATGAAATCAACCGCAGATGGAATGAGATGGCGTCATGTACTATAGTAAAAAGGGGGGGGCCGAGGGTTTCGACGTTGGCTCCTGCAGGCATATGGACGGAAGTAAGGCACCGTGGGCACGTATCCTAGCAGCCCGAGCTAGTATTCTGCCCCCCGTCGACGGTGAGGAAGCAATATACTTGCTTGATAGGCAGGCAGGCAAACCTCTAGCGTCAATTGGCTGCGGGTGAGATGTGCCTGGTTCCTGCATTCCCGGGCTGTAAGGCGGCGACGATCCTATTGAAGGGGGTAGGTACCACGTAACCCATGGTGGGTCGACCCTCTCTCTCCCCTCTGTGCGTTCTTTTTGGTCCTGGAAGATCTTGGAACGTGGCGCGATTCAGAGTGATGAAGGGCTGCCTGTGCACGGTCGGAGAAAGGCCTGCCTGTGAGCATTCTGTCGTGTGTTGTGTGTTGTGTGTGTTGTGTGTGTGTGTTGTAGTCCCTGACTGCTCACAATTAGATAAAACGAGCAAATATAGAACAAGAACATAACCCGTGACCAAGTCGACGAGACATTTGAAAAGCTCTCACTGGTCTCCAGGTGAGGCCACGCAAGGCCAATGCGAGTCGTCGTCAGGTCCACGATAAGGAGACCATGGGAAAAAGATACGCAGGCCTAGAAGAGAGGGGGGGGGGCCAAGCACACAGACTGAACTTATGAGGGTTTGGAAGGGCTCTACTGATGTTTGTGTGCGAGGTGGCCAATGGGCCTATGGGGTTTTTTTTTGCCAGGGAACAGGGATAGAGTGCCCCGCTGTTCGTCCCATCATTGGTTCTCTGTCCAGGCGCGTCAGGGTGATGGCGGTCACAGACCCATAGCGGTAGCCAGCGCTGTCGGGTGGTCGGGTGTTTACAATACATGCTGCAATACCCCCTCGAGTGATAAGACGATCGCCGGTACACCCTACGTAAGCCTTAACAGACAGGCTACTGGTTGTCAAGTACTGCTTACGCAGATGTCCAGGTCGCCAAGTCGAACAAGGGTCGGACCAAGATTTGGAGCCAATGGGTCCAGGCACGGCTCCTGATGACAGGGGAGCCCCTGGCCTAGGTTGACTTTACCCCTGGCGCCAATGTCACCTTCTTCCCGTCCACCCTTGTGGCACATCCCATCACAACCAAAAGGTTCATTGAGGACGGGCGCGCGTGGCTCAGTGCGACAAAGGGCCCAGGACGGGGATATCGATGGAATTTGGGAATGGTCCTCTCAGGCCTCTTCTGCTCTGGCCGTGATCCACTAAACAGTCTGGAACCCCGTCGTTCATTTTAATAACCGCCCCTCTCCACCACGAAATCCATAGCCCGACTTGCCTTTCGTGTCCATCCATCTCCTCTTCTTGCAACCTTGATACCCACTCACTCCTTCCAGCCTCGCGGGCCTCGCCTCGATTTCCTTCCCCATCCCTGGGCACTGCACAGACCCAAGTCGGTCCTTACTGTCCGCTATCTTTTTCATTTTATCCCTCTCTTTCGGTTTCCATCACCGGGTTTGTGATACGATCCGAGTCACATTCCTTTGCCCTGGCCAGCCGTGGGTGAAATAAAACCAGAAGACTACCCCATCCCAAAAGGAATTTAACGCTTGCGTTTCCCTTTTTGTGTTTTTGGCCTCTTGCTCCCTTCATCGCCAACTGTCAACCCAAGCCAGCTCGTCTTGTACGACGACGACGACGTCCAGGTCTACGTCTACGGCAACGCGCCCACCCATTGCGCAATCACTCCCTCTTGCGTCTTTGATAGACCGCCCTTCATTTTAAGAAATCCCCCGATCCACCATCATCCACTCGACGTGACATCCCCCCCCCCCCTTTAGGGACTTTATCACCTGCATTCCCCCCCCCCCCCTCCACTTGATCGTCTGCCGGCACGAGACACTCCTTTCTCTTGTCGACGATCACCACCAAGAACATATCATTACTTAGAGAGTACTGTTTGCACAGTCGACAATATGTTCACCAAGTCCAGCCTCGCTGTCCTGGCTCTGGCCACGGGCGCCCTCGCCGCCAATGGTCACGGCCATGCCCAGCGCCACCAGCACCAGCATGAGAAGAAGGATTTGGTCTATCAGTACACCACCACTGAGACTGATATCACCTGGCAGACTGTCTTCGTCGATGCCCAGGGCGATGTTGTTGGTGCTCCCTCTTCCACCAGCGATGCTGCTGTCTTCGCCGCCACTGGGGCTTCTGCTCCTGCCGTGGCCGCCACCACCACCAGCTCTTCGAGCTCTTCGTCCACCCCTGCGTCCTCTTCCTCGTCGACTTCGGTGGTCGCCCCCACTACTTCGTCTGTTGCTGCCCCCACGACTCTGGTCACCAGCACCGCTGCGGCTGCCACAACGGCTCCTGTGGAAGGTGATGCCGAGGTTGCTGAGGCCGCCACTACGTCCAGCGCCGAGGCTGCAGCCACTACCACCTCGGCGGCGGCGGCTGCTGCCACCTCTGCGGCTTCCTCCGACACCTCTTCCTCCAGCGGCAACAAGCGAGGTGCGGCTTACAACACAGCCAGCCTCGTCTCGTCTCTGCTCGGCACCGGTAGCAAGATCTCCTGGGGTTATAACTGGGGCGCGACCTCGGATGACCTGACCAGCGATCTCGAGTACGTTCCCATGCTGTGGTGCTCCACTGGCGATTACCCTACCGACTGGTCGACCAACGCCCAGAGTGCCATCGACGCTGGGTCCAAGTTCCTGCTGGGCTTCAACGAGCCCGATAACCCATCCCAGTGCAACATTGATGCCTCGACGGCTGCCTCGGCCCACATTCAGTACATGAACCCCTTCAGCTCCAGTGCTGGCATTGGTGCCCCTGCCGTGACCAACTCTAACGTGGCCGGCGAGAGCCTGGACTGGCTGGAGGACTGGGTCAGCGCCTGCGCTGGCCAGTGTGACTATGACTTTTGCCCCGTCCACTGGTACAACACCATCGAGGCCGGAGCGGAGGACCTGCTCGACTTTGTGACCAAGGCCTCTGCGAGCTGCGGCACGGGCAAGGATATCTGGGTCACCGAGTTTGCCCCCAACGTCGACAGCCCTTCAGATGATCAGATCTCCAGCTTCCTGGAGACGGTCCAGGATGCCTTCGACAACAACGCCACCTACAGCTTCGTGTCGCGGTATGCCTACTTCTACGTGAGCGACGGCCTGCTGGTCAACGGCGACGCCGCCTCGTCGTACGGCCAGACCTTTGCCTTTTCCTGATCTTGACCAGATATTACACAGATCCACAACGGATCTGAGATATTGGGGGGGCGTTCTTTGTGATTGATTATTGCAGGATGGTTTCTCGGCGTTCACATGTGTTCCGAAACGCATTTGCATAGTAGGCGATTTTCAATGATGTGGACATCTCTCTCTCTCTCTCTCTCTACAACCTGGGTTATGGGAAAAGAGGAAGGGAAATCATCTCAGACAGGGGAAGGGACAAAAGTGTTTCTAATTCTAGTGTACATATTGGAGATCTTGGGTCTTGGCTACTCTCTCCAAAAAGGTGGTCGAGCCCGGGTCGGGGACCCTCTTTTTTTGGACGAACACACACACACACACACACAAACACATCCCAAGGCATACCTTTTACATTCGATTCGAGCCCGGTTAGCTAGGAAGAGCAAGCGACTCCTGGTAGCCGGCGGGAAATTTTTTTTGGTTGACAGTTGGGGATAAATTCGAGGATAAATACATGATGAAGCTATGCCCTCAAACGATTTGCTTGAGCCAAACGACCTGCGCTTTTCTCGTCTTCTTTTTCTCTGCTAGCTGTCTTGTCCCCGTGTGAACGGCGTTGCGTGACATGAGAGGGCGAACCCCCAGTTCTAGTGTGGCCTATGCCGGCCCATGTTGACCTCGGCGTCCCCATCGGTGAGTTACCCAGTTAACCTTTTTTACCTAGACAACCAAGCGAGGCGCAGCCATTACCCAATATCAAGGGATGGATATTCATTTAATTGTAATATAGCATGACCTCAACAAAAAAGCGTTGTCTCTACAATACATCCGTGATCCGCCCGCTCATGTCTAGGTATTGAAAGACGTGAGTCAGTCAGTTTCCCTCCCTGCTTGGCATGTTTACCTTTAGCTGTCCCCTCCCCTCCTTTCTTTCCCTCTCTCTTTACCCTAGGTGAACCTAAAAGATGTGGACACAAAGAAGAAGGGAAAAATTAGAGCAAAGAGACAAAGAAAGAAAAGGAAAGAAAAAAAAAAGAGAGTAGTCGCGCACACCCCGAAAATCCACAGGCGCGCGCGTATCCACCCTCCCACATTCCAGCACGGAAGGGGCGGCACGGGCAAAACACGCGCTGGGAAGAAAAAGAAATGAAATAAGGCCCCGGCCGCACGCGCAATCCCTGGCGAAATAGCTCTTATTGGAATGTTTAGGGACGACGTCACCCCAGTGATGACGCGGAGAAAATTTGGGGTTGGAAAAGGACCTAGAACAATGACATTGTGGGTTTGAGTAGGCATTGTTTGGTTTGTAGTCTTTTGATTGGGTGAAGTAGATCCCAAAGAAAGGGAGAAAAAGAGGGAGGGAGGCGATAGGATGGAATTGGTAGGAGGAGGTGTATTTGGTTTGAATGATGTTTTTGCTTCTTTCTTTTTCATCTTTTCTCTGCGCTCTCTTTTTTCTCAACCTCTATTTGTGTCTTGTGAATTTTGAGGTTTGACCAAAAGAAGAAAGAGAAGGCAAAGAAAGATAGAGGAGGGAAATTTGGTTGCCATGTAGAAGACGTCATGTTCATGCCTGTGGTAAAATGAAGACAAAAAAAAAAAAAGCCTTGGCTCATTCTGAACGGTTTTGTCGGAGCCAAGGGCGGCAATCACGTAGCAACGGAGCATCTCTATTTCTTTAGTGGAATGGGAGGAGAGCAGCGGGACACCCACAAGTAGGAGAAGCATGGGAAAGAAAGAAAAAAAAGAAGAAAAGGGGAAAGAAAAGGAAAGAAAAGAAGGGGGGGGGGGGGAAGGCCCGATACTGAGAAGGGTGTTAGTTGGCACTGGATGAGGTGGATGGGGACAGGCATTGATGGATGTGAGAGGTTTCCCGAGCCATCGTTGGTGGTAATTCTTCCTTATCAGCGAACTCACCTACTGGCCACTGCTGGTTCTTGGCTGGCGAAGGGTAGAGAAGCCCTCTTGAGCAGGTCACAAGTCATTGAGATGCGCATCGGGCTGGGAACAGAATACAAGAAGGGGAAAAATAGGGTGAAAGGGAACAAGTAGGTAAGGAACACGAAGGAAATACAGACTACAATGTGGTTTACAAGATCTCATCATAGATATGCGGTGCCTTTTGGGCGGGACAAGATGTTGGACAACTTCCATGTCCTCCTGCCTCAGCTCCCGTGTCCCAAGTATCTAGTTCCATCATGAGCGTCACTCGATCAGGTCATGCTGCTGCCAGTGACAGGGTTCTACTTTCTTCTTTTGCTTCTTTCCTTCTTGCCCTCACCCAATCTTGGATTCGTCCTACGACAACCCCCCCCCCCTTTCCCTCTCTCACTCCGAATCAAGCGACCACAGTGCTTTGTCGTGCTTCAGGACTACTATATCCAGTCTACCCATCCAATAAAAGTGCTCACCCACCTTTCCCGTAATCTTCCCTCCCTCCCTCAGCTGCACATACCTCTCCCGCGTGGCCAGGCGAAACGCCTTGATCTCCTCCAGCACATCCCGCATGGCATCCAGCTCCACGCTCGCAGCCTCCCCTTCCTCCTCGTCTTCCTCACAATCCATCATCATCTCCCAGGCCGCACCAAAGATGTATGAACCAGGCGGAACACCCGCGGCAACGTGACATGGCGTGGCGGCCATGACGTCGCGCATGCCGCACCCGCTGGGCTCGCAGAGGTTGCGCATGTACGCGTTGATGGCGGGCGGCGTGTCGGGCGTGACGATGCCGCAGCCGATCCAGACGGGCAATGGCTTACTACCATTGCCGCTGCTGCCCAGGTTGTGCTCGAGGTGGTCGCTCTGGGTGTCATCGTAAGGAGAGCCGATGAGGTGCTCTGCGAAGGGGCTGTGTAGGATCCCTCCTGTATTGGCTGCACGGGGTCGTTTTGGTCTTTTTCTTGCTGCTGCTGCGGTCTCTACAGGCCGAGATGAAGGAGAAGGTGAAGGGGGAGAAGAAGAAGACTGCGGCTCATCATCCAACAGGCTGACATTGAAATTAGTAAACTCCTCCATCTCATCATCTCCGTCCCAGACACGGGCTGGCTTGTAAGACCAGCCCTCGTCGAGAGGATCAAACTCCAGCGTGATGTGGCGCAGGCCACGAAGGACAGGCGGGCCGCGGTGGCCCCGACAGGACTCGTTGGTCTGCACGATGTGCTGCTCCTGCAGGGCGGCGAGCTTCAGGAGCTCGATCAGGCGGCCTGTGACGACGCCCCTGGAGTAGCGCGGGATGTAGCAGAGGGTGAGGGCGTTGATGCGAGGGTTCATGTCGGGCACGAAGCGCTGCGGGAGGGCGAGGTCGAGACGGCGGCGGACGTGGGTCTCGGCCCGCCAGATGTCGTGAAGGACGCGCTTCTCGTCGGATCTGATGGTCACGACGTTTGTGACGAGGGAGTGGTGGATCTTGAGGACGCGCAGGTTGGGCGAGAAGACGGGCCGGAAGAGATAGGCCCCTCCGGGAAACCCGATGCAGCAGGAGGCAGCCCTCTGTCGTTGTGGAGGGACTGCTGCTCGGCTTCTTGCTACATGGTTTGTGTGGGAGCCGCCAGAGACGAGACACCTGCCCTTGTTGAACTCGAAATGCTCGAGGAAGGCTGCACTCGTCGCCAGGAAGCGCATCACTGCTTTGGTCGTGAGAAGAGACAGGTCGTTGAGGTAAATATGTGTCAGGCCCCCTCCCTTGCTACCTGGGACACGATGAGGCATGTCTGGCGATGGAGGCACGGGACCACCAGGGCCGCCGGCCAGAAGTTGGATCGCATCTTCTGTAGAATCCCCACGGGCCCGGTCCGCTCCACTGCCTCGAACGAGAGTTCTACTCTGTCGATCAGTCCCTTCGGAATGGACCATGTTGTCTGCTGGGAAGTACTCTGGAGAGTCCGCAAGGTACCGGTCTGGGTGTGAGAATGTGGCACTCCAGTCGGACTCGTCAACAAAATAGTGACCAGCAAGAAACTCGGCAGCCGCCAATGTGCCCTCGACCTCGGAATATCTAGACGACAGCGGCGCCGCATCTCCCGAATGAGGCTGTTCGTCTCCCAGGCGTTGCACTCCCCGATGCTCATCTGGGCGAACGGCAAGTTGGATCAAGTCCCCAAGAAAGGCGTCGACTAGTTGGTTGTCGGACAGGTCGAGGCTCCAGAGCTGACGCTGGAACCTGGTGACCACTTCCAGAGCCGTGGTACGATCCATGCCCTTTCCTCTGAGCTTCAAGATGCGCAGGTTGGGCATATTGGCGGGTGAGAATGTGGCGCTCCACAGCAGGACTCTGCCCCAGCCACCTGTGTATGACAAGTCGAGGAAGACCAGGCCGGCCAAGCACTGGTTGTCGAAGAATTTGGCTGGGATGGCCTGCTTGCAATGAACTGCGCTGAGGAGCCTCAGACCCTGGAGCGGCTGCTCATCGTCCTGCAGTTGAAGATGCTGCATTGCGGCGAAGTTGAAATCGGGACGCCCGTCGAGGATGAGGCAGCGCAGGGTTGGTAGCTTGGTGATAGCCTTGTAGAGTTTCTGCGCCAGGGAAGGCCAACTGTTCTCTGAAAAGGCTGAGCTAGGACTGCAAAGGGCTCGAAGGTCCATGATAATCAGCATATCCAATGTCGAGTCTCTTGTCGGCTTTTCCACTCTGGTGATGATAGACAAGAAGTAGGAAACCCATCTATAGTCTGCATACCCCCACAGGATTATCAGTCAGCCATTCGAGATTCCACTTAATCTTATGAGTAGCTCGCTCCTTTAAGTATACAGCAGTCCCCAAAAAGCTGGGTAGAAGACTCACAGTTGCTAGGATCAACCCCCAGGGCTGTGGCCATCTGAAGAGGGTCTCTCCAGAGCCGGGGTGCAAACTGAGCATACATCTCCTTGGATACAAGGCAGAGACGGTAATAGTCACACAAGTCAATGTATGGAGCAACAATGCCCCATCCATCCTGGCTGATAGCCTCTGTGTATGTTGGCGGCTGTTCCATGCTTGTCGACTTGGGGATGCAGTTAGAGCAGTTATCAGAGTCAGAGAAATGGAGAGAAACGTCCAGTAGGGCAGCATCGTTTGGGAGTATGACTTGGAGAGAGAGAGAGAGAGAGTGTGTGTGTGTGTGTGTATGTTGATGCAAACAATCAAAAACCGAATACCGGGTGAGACTTGATCAAATAATTGTTGTTATTATTGATGAGAATGGATGTAAGATAGAAGAAGGATAGCAAGCAGTGTGCTGGGCGCAAGAGGTTGTTTGCTGGCTGAGCCCCTCGCATTTGGCTTCCAAAGTTTCCCTGAACCAGCTTTTGTTGTATTGGATGGAAATTTGCATGAAGATTGGTCTTCCCAGGTCCAACAAGTGCTGGTTGGCTGGTGGGGTGCAGAGACATCATCAAAGGGGTGGGTTGGTGATGTTGCTTTGTCCCAAACTGCTGTCCTTGGGAGTGGTGGTGAATGAGAGCACTGAGGTCATCCTTGAGGCTGATCCCCGTTTGGTGAGTCCGGGCTGTGCCGAGCCACCTCTGCGTATTGTGTGCCTCACTGGAATCGCCCATTAACCAGAAAGAAGAGATGTTGAGGATTTGACTCGAAATCTTTGCATCCATTTGACTATTGTGTTTTCTGGAAAAGGAAAAGGGAAATCTCCTGAACGTCATTTTATTTTTATCTATTTACAACGGCGATGAATGATGTGATGGCTCAGGAATTAGTAACAAGCAAATTGCTGAAATTGTTTCGGTGGTGAGAGTACAAATTGCCTCTCCAACCTCCCTATCTAAGTCGCCGATTTTTGTATTCTCTCTCCCTATTTTATATTAAGACCAGACTCCAGTGGCTCTATGCCACATTACACACACAAGTATGTACAATTACTTGGCTTTGGATGTATAGACAGGCTCCAATATATGTGCCCATATAAGCTTGCTCATGACCGGGTGGCAACAATAGCCTCCTCGAGAATCTTCATGCCCTCTTGGATTTCGGCCTCGGTGATGGTCAGAGGAGGCACAAACCGCAGTGTGTTGGTCCCTGCTGTGATGACGAGAAGTCCTCTCTCGCGGGCAGCTTTGACGATAGGCGTGGGGTCCTGCGTCAACTGCAGGCCGAGGATCAGGCCCCGACCTCGAATCTCTGTGATCAGGTCGGGGAACCGGGCCTGTAGCTGTTTGAACGCGCTGGAAAACACGGCGCTCTTGGCTGCGACGTCTTGTTGGAGGGCAGGGTCGGCCAGGCGCGTGACGATGTTGTGGGCCAGGCGACACGCAAGAGGATTGCCGCCAAAGGTGGTTCCGTGGTCACCTACCTTGATCTTCTCGCTGACATCCTTGCTGACAAGGACAGCGCCGATGGGGAAGCCGTTGCCGAGGGCCTTGGCCGTGGTCAGGATGTCTGGGTGAGCCTCCTTGGGCAGCTGGCCATGGGCCCAGAGAGTGCCGGTGCGCGACAGCCCGCACTGGATCTCGTCGTAGACCAGCACTGCGCCAACCTCACGACATCGCCTGGCGAGTGCGATGAGGAAGTCGTCGTTCACCACCTGGACTCCACCCTCGCCCTGGATGGGCTCTATGATCACGCCACATGTCTTGTCGGTCACGAGTTCGTTGAGGGCCGAGATATTATTGATGTTCCCGTACTTGAAGCCTGGCAGCATGGGCGAGAAGGGCTGCTGGTATTTGGGGTTGGGCGTGGCGGACAGGCTGCCCATGGTGCGGCCGTGGAAGGCTCCGTTGAAAGAGACGAGCTCATGCTTTGCGCCAGAAGGGTCGACGACCTTGCCAGCCTTGCGCGCGAACTTGATGGCGGCCTCATTGGCCTCGGAGCCAGAGTTGCAGATAAAGACAGAGTGGGCTCCCTGCATGGCACCGGACGCGAGAGTCTTCTCGACCAGGAGTTTCGACAGAGCACCCGTCCACGGGTTGAAGTAGAGGTTTGAGGCGTGGATCAGCGTCTTGGCCTGATCAGCGATGATCCTGGAAAGCTCTGGATCGCAGTGTCCCAGGGAATTGACGGCGATGCCGGACGTAAAGTCGAGATAGCGTCGGTTCTCGATGTCCCATAGGTAGGAGCCCTCGCCCTGGACAAATACTGGAGGTGGCCGTGAGTACGTAGCGACCATGAAGGGGGCGTGTTCATTGACCATGGCGGCACTGGGCGAGTCAGAGGCGGGATCTGGGTTGGGGAGACGGGCATCTCTCTGAACAGCATAAAAGACAAGAAACGGTGTGTTAGTTGAGAGAGCTGATCGAGGGGGTGTTCTTTACATGTTTGAGGAGGGGGGAGACTCACAGCGATGTTATCCTGGGTAGCCTGTGCTAGGTTGCTCGTAGGCACAGCTGTGGCCTGAGAATATGAGCGCAACCACGCCGGAATGGACTGCGAGATGCGTGGGCAGCAGCAGGAGGAGGGCCGAGCTACCAGCCCAGCAGCCACCCTTTGTATCTTGGTCCTGAATGCCATGTTGAGCATGAGATGACAAAGGGTCAAAAAGGATGACAGACTGCCTTTGCGCAGGTCGGGAACGACGGTGTTATAAGGGAACGACAGGCCACCGCAAAGGAAGAAAAATATGATTGATGACTCTTGACTCTTATGAGTGTGCAGTCACAAAGATGAGGCTGCGCAACGTCGCATTCCCAAAGTGAGTACTGTAAAGCAAACCTGTAAATGGCCTTGTCTTGTTAGAATACGCAGAGACTTGGCATGAGAATTTGACTCATTTGATGGGCTACTGCCGACAACATTTGGCGGAGGCAGGTGGGGAACCCGTTGCTGAGGTTAGATGTAGATAAGCGCCGATCACGGTCGAGAAATTTTGGAGGGGCTCAGAGCCCTAAATTGCCCCCCTCTCTTTCTCTTTGATCCCTTGATTAGGAAGCAGTTCTTGTCAATCGTTTTTTCTTCTTCTTCTTCTTCTTCTTCTTCTTCTTCTTCTTTCTTTCTTTCTCTTCAAATCAGAACCTACTCAATTCCTTCGCACAGATTCTCACGAAAACAATCTTTGATTTATTTAATGTGTTGCCGGGGGATCTCACAGGCAATGCCCAAACCCCATACAGGATTCTTTGTCCCGGCTACAATGGATGCCTTATTTTCCTCTCCTGCATCTGTTGTAATTTTTGCAAGCTGACAGGTCTCCTTGAGGGCTCAGAATCCAAATTCGAGGCAAGAGTCCTGATAACAAGCAAGAAAATGCCAGGTACGAAGTGTTTCCCAGGCTGATGGCAGCAGATAAAGTATGGAATGCCGCCACAGGTCATCATCATCGTAGTGCCCTGCTGTGGCTGCATGGCAGTGATGGCACCATGGTAAACCAGCAGGGGGGGCAGTCGTTTGGGGGTGGATGAGAGGGGCATCAGGGGGTAAGACCCGGGGAATTGGGGCACCATTTTCAATGGGGGTTCACCGCTGCTGGTGCAAGTGTCAGAGACCCTGGCCCGTGACCCTGTGCCCAGCCCCCTGTAACCTGCCTTCTTTTCTACCCGCCACTTACCATGCTTGGGCTCACTGCGCGCATTAATCCACAATCACATGCCAGATTCCCTCCTGGACGGCCAAGTCAGCTTTCGACTTGTTCACCTGACACCCTCGACGAAGTACGGACTCGGCTCATTGGAACATCACCTCGGGGCTTTTGCCGGCTCGTCATAAACCCGGCTTGTCAGGAAGGAGGAGGTGGACTTTTCTTCTTTTGTTCATTTTTGGTCTCTTCGTCTCGTGTTCTCTCGATTGTCTTCTCCTTGTTCTCGTTCTTGCTCTTTCCCTTCGTCCTCTTGATGCGACCCATCGTCACGATCCATTGCCTCGTGCGTTATCGACCGTTCGCATCGGTATCATCAAATTGGACATGCTCGAAACCCATCGGATGATATGACACCATGTAACCTCACCTCTCTCGGCCAGCTTGACGTGTACAGTTCCACTTCATCCGGATAACAAAGAGGCACGGCACGGACCAGAGCGCCTCTCTGGATTTGATTCTTTCCACCATTTCCGTCCACGCATTGTTATATATACCAGCGCCGAAATATATCGCCATATCTCTCTTCTTCTCTTTCTTCTACTACTGTCGTATATTTTCTCATCATGATAGACCATGTACTTGGGCGGCCGTCCACCAAATCCCGGAGGCTACAGGTGTTGGCTGTGCTGGCCTTTTGGTCCGCATATCTGCTCAAGTATGTCACTGATGCCTTTTTTTGCTACTTTTATCCATCGTGCTAACATCGGTCTAGAGGACACAAACATGGGCCTCCTCTCGCGCGCTTCTTTTCCAAGATGGCCTTCACAAGAATGACTCCGTGGCAGACTGTCGTCATGACCATGACTCTCCTCTATGCCACACGAAACTTTAGCACTCTAGTCGGTCTGGCCAGTCCCGAACCTCTCTCGAACATGTACAGCGCCACGTACTTCCGGGCGACATGGGTCCTGACAGCACTCGATGCCGGTTTCTGGACCGCCATGAAGATCCGGCAGAAGTGGCTGAGGGACATAGCAAGTCTTGTCTTCTCCGTCTTCTACCTCTTTGCAGCGGAGAAGGCGGACGAGAAGGTGCGCAAGGTACGAGGCAATCTGACGGTTGAACATCTAAGAGTGAGCTGGAACAAGGGGACCACGCCATACCTCAGTTTCTGCCAAAAGCTCATGCGGCCACGATACTCCCGCTGGCCCCCAAGAGCCATCCGCATCCCGAGACCATCGACCAGCGACTACAAAGACACTGTCTCCGCCTGGCTGTATTTTGACGGCCCGCTGGCAGAGCTGGAGCATCACAACAAGGTCGTGTTGGACTTGCCCGGGGGCGGGTTCGTGGCTATGGACCCTCGCTGCAACGACGACAAACTGCTGTCTTGGGCCTCCAAGACGGGGCTCCCTATTCTAAGCCTGGATTACAAGAAGGCCCCTGAGTACCCGTACCCATACGCCCTGAACGAGTGCTATGATGTCTACGCCACCTTGATCAAGAGCCGAGGGCGCTGCATTGGCATGTCGGGCAAGGAAACCCCTCGAATTGTCGTCACTGGTGACAGCGCCGGAGGGAATCTAGCCACCTCGATGACGCTGATGATCGTCGAGGGTGCTCTGTTCCCATCGAAGCACTTCCAGGGCCAAGGTGGCCTGCCAACTCCAGAGGCGGTGATTCTGTTCTATCCGGGCCTCGACATGAACATCGGCAACTGGATGTCCGATGAGCAGATGGCTTTGATCAAGGACAGGCGAATGCGAGCGACCAACAAGGCCATAGTCCGTCGAAAGAGCATGCAGTACAACACCCTTGTCGGCACACCTCATCGCTCAGACGATGAAGACGAGCCGCCAAAGCTGCACGTCAACTTACCAAAGAAAAACAAGAATGAAAACAGCTCGGCATTCACCGCGAGTCCCGAGGGAGCAATTACGCCTCAGCCTGAGTATGCCCACGCATTATCGACAGATTGGAACAAGACTCATGCCGCCGCCGCCGCCGCCGCCGCCGCCGGCTCCTCCTCTTCTTCCAAGCCCACCTCGTCCGCTGTCGTCAGCAAGCAGCAGCAAACCTCGGGCCGCACGTCGTACCACTCGGAGCCAATGCGTACACGCCTGGCCATGTCTTCCATGATTTCCTACTTCAATGACCGCGTGCTTAATCCAGAGATGATGCGAGCCATGATTATCCTATACATTGGCCCGCACAACCGTCCCGACTTCAGCCAGGACTACCTTCTCTCGCCTATACTGGCGCCCGATATGCTTCTAGCCCGCTTCCCAAAGACATACTTCCTGACGGGGGAGCGCGACCCGCTCGTGGACGACACGGTCGTCTTTGCAGGTCGCCTGCGCCGCGTGAAGGCGGCCATGTATGCTTCTGGAGGCCAGCGGACAGATTACCGCGAGTCAGATGCCCTCGCGGACGGCTTTGACGACAAGGCCATCGCCGAGGTTGTGTTGCTGCCCGGGACGTCTCATGGCTTCTTGCAGTTCCCAACAATCTATCCTCCGGCGTGGAAGCTGATCGACCGCTCGGCACGATGGATCGAGGAGTCTTTTGCCACGAGCGAGAGGGCGGAGAGGGATCGAAAACAGCGCTTGATGAAGCGGGCAGCCGAGAGGCCCGAACGCCACCACGTGCGTACAGACTCGAGCGGGGACGAGGGCTTGCTCGAGATTGGCATGGGCATGACCAAGGCCAAGGACAAGGCCGCCGCGGATGGTGTGGCGAAGCAAGGCAAGCCCGAGGAGGCAGGAAGTGCACAGGATGTGAACGGTGACGAGGCGGATGTCGAGGATCAAGAGCTAGACAGGAAAGGCAAGAGGAGGGCAAACGGGCGCCCCAAGATGAAGACCAAGGAGTCGTTCGACAAGTCCTTGGCAAGACTGGCCAGCTCAGATGATCTCCTCGGACGGAGGATGCAAGGCCTCGCCGGGGGACTGACGGGCCTGGCGGAGGAGGACTGATGGGCTTCGCAAGGAGCATCATCATCCCGTACCGGGATCACGAGAGAAAATTCACCATGGTCCCCTCTCCTCTTCAAGCCGAGGTTTGACCCTGTGCGCTGTTCTGGATAGGAATTCTACTTTAACTACCCCAACGGCATGCGGACCGAGGCCTAAGGTTCTGCTCTTGCCTCATGTGGTCCTACGTTGCATGCCGATAAACTAAACAAGGCAATATATATACACACCATCTAAACACCAAAACCAAACTGTCATTGTATCTGTGGCATACAGCGGCTTATGCTTAATAGACGGAGTGAAGACTGGAGTCTCGAGAAGGAAGGAGAGAATTAGGAAGGAACGGTGGGGACGAGGAAAAGAAGAAGAGGGGGGAAAAGCCGAGGCAAGGAGATGTTCTGGTCGATCGATCCAATCAACTGGACCTGGACCGGCTTTGTTCACTCCACGCCAAGTCGAGGTTTGGCACACAACAACTTGTAATTAGGTGCAGCCTGAGAGCCATTCAACAACCGAGGTTGCTTTCAATTGCGTCTCCAATGGCAGATGATCATGAGCAAGAGTCATGTTTTGTTGCACAAAAAAAAAAAAAAAAAAAAAAAAAAAAGGGTACCAGGCGGGGTCTCCAAGAGTTGGCAAATACTTTAAACTGTGTGGCTGTTGGGCGAGGCCAAAGAGAAGACTGGTTGGCCCAATTGAGGGCAGTTTGCGAACTCTCTCACAATACGACAAAGGCTCATCAAAAAGTATCAGCCACGTGGACAGCTTGACATGCAGAAAAACCCGAAGTCTGCAATATTCACTCGTTTTCTTTGTCCTTTTCCCTTTCTACCGTCTGATTTAGGTAGGAATGACAGCAGCAAAACATGCACTTTGGATTGGGATCCGTTGTTCATCCTGCAATGCAGCGTGGTGGCTGCGGCTGAGCCAATGCAAGATCAGATGCCATCAAACGGTCGTTATGGACGCCTCCTCCAATCGCATCTCTCCTTGAACCTCCGAAGTGACATGGGAACAATAGAGGATCTACCCCTCTCCTTTTAAGCCCACTCTTCGGGTCCTACCAATTTTCCCCAGATTTCGGGAGTTGAGATCTCTAGGAGGGTTGCTTTTGTTCGGTACTGCGGGGGCCCTTGCTTGTCATTGCGATTGGTGCTCTGGCTTGCAGCGTTCAACCCCTCTTCCTCTTTGGGATGTGTCGTCGAATTCCTGCATACCAGGACCAACACCAGGCATTCAGGAGAGTAAACAGTCTCGATCAGCCATCACCACATGCACTCCACTGTTTACTGTATACAAAGTTGATGCACAAGTAAGTACTTACTTACTATGTTCATCAGAAGTTGCCGAGGCAGATGGCACGACCTCTTTCTTTTGGGCGAAGCAATGGAGGAAATGTTTATTACTATAAATATGCAGATGTTTTCTCGTTTTGAGAAACAGTTTCTTTTCGTGAAAACAAGTCCAAAGCAAGCCTGAATCTGGGGTCTACTCTTCTCACTTAAGTGGCCGGTGACCATACTTGATTATAACCTTCTCTTACTTCCCATCCTTTTATTCTTTCTTTCTTTCTTTTTGGGAAGACTACCACCAAGAAAACATTCATCATGTTTCATATGCTTGCTGCCTTCCTGATCGCCATCGCCGGCCCAGGCTCCTCTTCGCCCCTCGCCCCTCGCCAGAGCTTCGCCGGCGATACTGAGAATGGTCTCACGGGACTAGGCACAGTCCTCAACCCCTGCGTTGATAACATTGTCATTTTTGCTCGTGGCACCACTGAGCCAGGCAGTAAGTAATTAAACCCTTCCAGTCTTCAGAGGAGAGAGGGAAGGGAGTGTTTGCCCTTTGACCTATCTCCTTGTCAGAAGAAAGAATCCCCCCCAAAAATATGTACAACAATGGAGAAAAGATGGAAGGATAAGAAGAAGAAGAAGAAGAAGAAGAAGAAGAAGAAGAAGAAGAGATGCTCACAGATCCGTTTAATTTCAAAATAGACGTGGGCACCCTCGTCGGCCCCCCCTTCTTCGAAGCCTTCGCCAACATAGTCGGCAACAGCAACCTCGTCGTCCAGGGTGTTGACTACCCCGCCAACATCGCCGGGTTCCTCGAGGGCGGTGATCCGGCTGGCTCCAAGACGATGGCGTCGGACATCGAGCAGGCGCTTAGCGACTGCCCCGGGGCCAAAGTCATCATTTCGGGCTACAGCCAGGGCGGCCAGCTTGTGCACAATGCGGCCAACCTGTTGTCTAGCGATATCACGGCCCAGATTGCTGGAGCCATTATTTTTGGCGACCCAGGTAAGCAGTTGCCCCCCGCCCAGCCCCCCCCCCCCAAAAAAAAAATTTTGAATGAAGAAATCACTTCCTTCCCCTCCACCCCTCCCCCCTCCACTTTCAAAACTCTTTGGTGGCCTCCAAGAAGAGAGAGAGAGAGAAACGAAACGTTGCACACAAGTGAGCTGACCCAACGCCCGCGATGGGCAAAACCTCATCACACAGACAATGGCACGGCTGTCACTGGCATTTCTGCCGCCGACACGGATGTCTACTGCCACGTAGGCGACGACATTTGCTTGGGCGGCGACCTGGTCCTCCCGCAACACTTGACATATGCGGATGATGCCGACGCTGCGGCCCAGTTTGCCGCTGCGCTGCCCTAAAATCGTTGAGAGGCGAGGAGGCCCCTCCAGCAGAGGGGGGGGGGGGAGAAGACAAAAAAAACAAAAAGCAGGGCACACACTGACCGGCTGGAGAAAAAGGGGAAGGCTGCTAATATCCCCCCCCCCGGTCCTGTATCTATCGGTGTTTTTCCTTTTTGAACTTTTGAGAAAAGGAGCTGCTCTGCCGGTGGGGATGATGGCTTGATGAAGTTTTCACGTGAACAAGTGTATACTTTTCTACTTTCTTGTCCTTCCTTTAATTCCCGTTCGTCTTTTTATCGACTGTGCTTGCGAGGTCGTTGTCAGAAGCAATACATAGCGCAGCACAGATTAAACTCAAAGAATGAGATATGGCCATATCCGCAACTTAGTGTGCTGCCCCCCTTGCCCTAGTTGATTGCTCCAAAACACTGATGGCTCAGTGAGTGCAGGAGGCGGAAGAGAAAGAACAAAAAGGAAAACTAATTAGCAATTGAATTTCTCACGAGCTAGGCACACTAAACGGCCAGAAAGAAATCACACGCCGAATTAAGTAATCGTGATGATTTCTTCTGAGAGTCCTCCCCCCAATACAGCGAATTGACTACCTTTGACACTCTTCATGTCGGTCCAGACTCTTCTCGGGCTTTTTTTCGCCATGCATAACCTTAGTCAATAATGTGCGGGAAATGACTTATGGCCCTCCTGTTGCATGTTCTTAGGCTCATCTTTACTCCTTACTCGAAATCATGGTGTAGTGGAGCAAAAAAAAAAAAAAAAAAAAAAGGTGAAACATGGCCACACTTAGGTCAACAGACGATGAATCTCCAAGCCGTAAGGGTCTCGCCGGCAACCCAGGTTGATCGAAGGTCTTGCAAGTAAGGCCGGGGTTTCTCCTTCTTCCTTTCCCCTCCTCCCCTGACTCATGAGCCATGAGTTATAAATTACAATACTTGTGTCTAGGGATGCAATGTTGGATAAATTACTTCTATGGAGACAGAAAAAAACATGTCTCGTTTCCACGCAGCAGGCATAGTCCAGTATAATAGTCCTTATAAGAGGCCACAGGGTGATTAACTCGACAGATCCGAATTATAGGACGAACCCATCCCCTTCAATGTTCTTTTTCCCCTTCCTCAACATGACCTAATACTCAAGTCTAATTGGATTATACGAGAAAAAAAGAGAGAGAAAAGTGAAGCACGAATTTGACCTGTCATTTTCAGGCAGTCGCCGACCTGCGGGGTTTCCCGAGCCGCGGTGAAGCGGGGATGAATCCCAGCACTGAGATCTTGTCTGTGCGCTGTACTCTGGTGGTATCTGCTTGCATGACGAGGCGGGGTTTCTTTTCCCCAGGCAACATGTGCTTTGTGTTTTCTTTTCCATGTACCTTTCGCCTTGATCCTAACCATCCGATACATGAGGTCACAGTGATTAGCCCGTATCTGGAGTGGTGTTGAAGGGTAACAACAGAAGAAGAAAAAGGTTGCAAAAATCCTGAGTCCCTTGTTGCGTGATGCCACCAACAAACAAACACGACAGCAGTCAGTCCGTAGCCAGCAACGCACTATGATACATATGTATCTCGGCCGGAAATATCTACTGCGAGGTGTCGGCTCCGAGCCAAATAAAAAAAAATTGGTTCAGATAAGAAAGTTGTTTGGTCCTTGCAGGGGTGAAGAAGAGATACAGAATGACGAGAGTGGCAAGACAAAGAGAGAGAAAAGAGAGTCAGGAACGCATCTCATTCCAGAACCTGCACCCGTGTCTGGCGATCCCTTCAGAAAATCCAAGACGCGCGAAAAAACCCAAAGAGAGAAAGATCCAAAGTGCGGGAAAAGAGGGTTGGGGGGCAAGGGTATCTCTTGCCGCCGGCAATGATTGAGAGATGAGAGATGTACTAATCAGGAGAATTAAGGAGAGAATGAGGGTTAGGTTTTGAAGCCGGCTGAAGCTGCCGTGCCGTGCACCGCCCTAGTATGTGTGAGTGTGTGCTTAGTTTGGAAGGAGGGAAGTTGAGAGTCAAGAACGGGGGATAGAGTCACCCTTTTTCACTCACTCACCCACTCACACCTCACTAAATGTCTGCAAGCCTGACCGGGTATCCTCTTACAGACGGGCTAAAATGTGGATCAAGTCGTCGACAGTCGAATAGACTCAACGATTGTGTCATTCGAAACGGACATGCAGGAGAGTTGAGAAAGGATGGGGAGTAGGAGGGGATTGTCCCCGCCAAGTCTCGGCAGGTTGGGACTATTTAAGCACTTACTCCGCTGTCAGGCGATTTAGTCTCGTCAATTGTCTGTTGCACGACAGTGTGGCTTGCATGGGGATGTGACTACAGGACGTTACCTGCCTAGCAAAAGTGCCCAGACTTGATTATTCCTCGAGAAGGAACAGGAGAGAAGGGGAAGGAGCGAGGAGGAAGGGAGAAAGAGCGATGAGAGAAAGGGGGTCGAGAGCCTACCCTGGAAAGAAAGAGAGAGAGAGAGAGAGAGAGAGAGAGAGGAAAGAGAGAAAGAGAACAAGAAAGAAAGCTCCTTCGCGGCCGACCTGATTTGGCGCGGGTTTCCAGGGGCAAAGCAAAAGTGGGCTGGCTTGCTTTTCTGTCTCGGGGATTAGGTTGGGGTTTTCTCTCTCTCTTTCCTTTTTTGAGACACTGCGGAGAGAACGCTATCATGTACCTGCATGTACCTGCAGCACACTCTCCCTCTAATGTCGCCGGAAGTTGTTATGTAGGCTGTGCCGGGCCGTGCTTGAGGAATGCTGGCCGAGAGAAGAGGGAGAGGGAAAGACTTCCCACTTTCTGTCTTTTGCGTGACGACGTTGACCCCCCTCTCCCCTCCTCATTTTTTCACCCTTATTCTTTCTTTCTTGTTAGGGCGACGTGGGAGGCAAGGGGGAACAGGAGAGGGGGGGGGAGGGGACACGGCCGTTGAGAGAGATGTGTCAAGTGAATTGCCTGCCCCTCGAGAGGTTGGTTCTCCGCGGCATGGTGGATACGAGAGAGATGACAAAATCTGGTGCAATAGTTCATTTCCGAGTGGCGAGGTGGAAATATGGATTCATGGGAATACTAAGTAATATTGTGTTGTGCCTGCGGTGAGGGCTTCTTACCAGTACATGTACAAACTTCTGTATCTATACCAGCGCTGCTACAATGCAGTCCTGTCCTGTAGATGACGACGATTTTTTTGGGGGTCATTTTTCTAGCTCTCTTTTTCCTATGCAGTCCTGACTTTTTCGCCTACTCCTTCACTATCCCAGTCCTCCCCCATCACCTCCAACTCCTTAACCTCCCCAAAAGCAGACTCTTTTGTGACCTTTTTTTTTTCTTTCAGATATAAATGAGACGTATTGTTAAGAATGACTTTTTGGTAACACACTTGTATGAAGTGTTTTTGAATGCCTGGGGTTGAAACCAACTAGAAGGGGGGAAAAAAAGAAAAGAAAAGTAGAATCAAATGATAACGCCACATATAATGATATGCTAGAATCATGTTGGGTCCCTCGTGAACCTTGGTTTTCGTTCAACAAGTCCCGAGACGTCGTGAATGATTGATTATGAAGGCCTGTTGTGAGCAAAACACACATACACACAAATCCAAAAAAAAAAAAAAAAAAAAAAAGGAAAAGAAAAAAAAATCAAAACCGAAACATAGTCCCAGCGTGTCCAAGTCTGTGCTTCGATGACAGGCAGAGGCAGGCAATCTGAAATCCTTTTTTCCCTCTCCCCCTCTTTTCCCCTCTCTCCTTCTTTCTCGTGTGGCTGGAATCATTACAGAGGTGAGTAGAGCGGAGTGCCGATAGGCTCAATCTTGACATCCCTTTGCGGGGATGAGCAGGTCGACGAGAGCTCAGCGTCAGAGTCGTCCGTCACGCGCCGCTTCTTGGTCTTCATCTCGCTCTGCATCTTGGCCAGCAGGGCAGCGGCACCGGGCTGGGCCTTGGTCCTGCTGCCCGTGCTCTTCTGCACGTGTCGCTTGAGGTGGTCACGGAAGTTGTCACACCTCCCAAAGACCTTGGGCTTGGGCACGCAAAACTCGCAAACCCACTTGGTTGGGTTCTCCACATGTACTCTACCAATAGAGGAAGAAGGAGGAGGAAAAAAAGAGTCAGCTTTGCTTCTTGACAAGACAAAAACGGGTCTTTTGTTGGAGGATTGATGGGGAAAATGGAGAGAAGAGAGATGACAAAAAACGTACTCGCTCTTGTGCCTCTTCAGGTGCTCTGCCCTAGAGTAGACCTTGCCGTTGCACTCGTCGCATTTGTACTTTCGAGGTGGGATCCTCTCCATGTTCTTGGTGATCCTGTGGTTCCTCTGGGCAGTCTGGCCCCCCGATCTTTGTTGCATGGACCTGGGCCTGGGCGTCCGAACCTTGGTGGGTGTGTCCTGGAGGTGGTGCTGGAGCATGGCCGAAGTCTGCTGGGGGCCGTCCATGGCAACCCTCCGCCTAATGCTGCCATAGGAGCTGCCGAGCTGGGCCGAGGGCGTCGCCAGGGACATGGCCGGCGAAGAGAAGGTGATGGGGCTCCCATCGCTGTGCGACCCCCACATGGAGCTGAGGTCGCAGCTGGGTGTGGCAGAGTTGTTCCCAGGGCCACCAAACTGTGGTGGGGGCGTGGGGATCATGAAGGGGGAGGCCCCGAGGCTGTCAGGAAGGCTATGGTAGGCGGCTTCGATGTCTTGTGTCGGTGTGGCAAACTCCAGTGGCCCCTGGAGTGACAGTGTATTGTCAAACAGGTTGTTGCACCGCGAGGGCGTTGTGGGCAGGCCGTGGGTCAGCATGTTGGGAGCCACCGTCGGCTTCAGCTCCATGGGAAAATAGGTGGACGTGGCCGAGGGCGGTGGGGTGAATTGGAACATGATGCAATCCTCCTCGCATGAGGATGGGGAGGGATCATAATTGATGGGTTGGGGAGGGGTGGAAGTCCTGGACGTAGGTGTGAAGGGATCGTATAGTGAGGATGCTGACGAGAAGCTCCCGGTTGTTGATGGGCACGAGGACGGGCACGACATCGGCTGAGAGCTAAAGCTGATGCTACTATGCCCTGTGTCTATCTTGAGGTCGAGCATGTTGACCGTCTCTTCGGTACAATTTTCGAAGTCGAAGTTGGTGTTGTTAATGTGAGTCTTGAGTGTCATCTTGTGTTTTGTGTACGTGTGTATATGAGTTGTGTGTGTGTGTGTGTGTGTGTGTATGAGTGTTTTGAGTGCCCTTTGGTGTTGTGTGTGAAGACACTCCCAAGAGAGGATGAAGAAGAGTGTCACGAAGGAATTAGGAAACCAGAAAACAGAATAATGAGTGAGTCTTGGTTGTATGATGAAGGAGTGGTTTGAACTTGATGAAGCTGTTGAGAAAGGGAGTCTGACTGTCTTCTCGAGAGGAATGTCGACCACCCTGTTCCCTAGATATAATCCAAAAAGATATGGAAAGAATTTACAGAATCCCAAGGGAGTCGACTTCTCTTGAGGCTACGAACCGTTAGCCAGAGACCTTCTAATATAACAGCCCTTTAAGTGCGCGGCTCGTTGGAATGTGGTCCCTGAGCCGACGAGCGTCACCCGATTCTTAGAGGTGGCGCTCCCATCATGCTTGCTTAGGCCTGGCCAATCTTGGGACGAGACAGGGTCGGAGGTTGACCCCCGTTCTACTCACCTGTGATCTACGATAGACGAGAGACATCCCTACGCCAGCCTATTGCATGCATGAAGGCGATGTTTTAGTTGTGAAGAAAGTCCCCACGGGAAAGGGCTCCATGGGGGTAAGGGTAGAGTTTCTGGGCAGTTCTGGTCGGTGGTGCCTGTCTAGCCGACGAAAAGGTCTTGAAGAAGAAGTGAAGAGGGAGGAGCAGAGGAAAAGAAGAACAAAATCAGCAAGGCCCACGAACTGAATCATCTAGATCATGCCGCAGCCTCCACTCTCGCAAAAGTATGAACACTGTCTTCTCTCATCTCCCTCTCCCCCCCCCCCCGGAAAAAAACACATACACACACACTCTCTCTCCCCCCTCTCATATGTAGTGGTTCGACAGGTCGCCGCCATCAAGGAGGAAGAGAAAGAGGGGCGGGGGGGGGGGGGGGGCCACGCATAAGCCAAAACAAGATAGGGTGAAAAGAGAGAGGCAAGTATGGCCAGCCACACGCCATCATGGTTAGAGTTTCCTTGATGGACCCTAATTGGAATGATACAGGGGAAGCTAGTTCCGTCCGCCAGAGCCGTTGCAGCCATATACGTCGACGGATCTGAGACAGCACTTTCTGGACAACGAGGGGGGCCAGGAAGAGACCCAAATCTGCCCCATACGTTGACTAGATTGGTTTTCTCTGTCATGGATGCCTGACGTAGGAAATTGGAAAGAGAGAGAGAGAAAAAGGCAATTCACTAAGTATATGACTAAGTATATAACTACAAAGAAGAAGAAAAAGAAGAGAGAGAGGGGGGGAAAAAGTTGGGGAGGTTTAAGCACCTTCACGGCCGCTGATACGACCGGTTAAAGTTCGATTGTGAAGCTGGAAACGGCATAGGCGGACCTTGTTGAGAAGAAGCAATTCAAGACATGGGTCGAAGCGTGAGCAGACTTGTTGCCGTACAGAGAGGAGAGAGGTACTCTATAGAGAGAGGGAAAGTGAAAGTTGAAACATCGAGGTGAAATGTACAGGTCGGATGCACAAGAAAGATATGCTGGCCCGGTCGCATGAATTCCCATGATAATCAAGTGGTCCCCATTGGATGTGCATACTTGCAATATGCATCGAGAGGGCTAGACTTTGTCAATGAAGCTGACCTCCTCCTCCTACTTCTTCTTCTTCTTCTTCTGGACCCTCCAAACTGGATACTCTGGCAACCCTGGAAAGAAAAGAACCAAGCTGCTTGTTATTGGAGCGGAGAGCGACACGGATGATGCCGGTGGGGATTATCCTCTTCTTGGTCTATCACAGATTTGGCTTCGAGGATCTCCCGGCAGATCGATCTGAGATTGCGAAACCCGCATAAGCATCTTTTTGATTGCCTCTCGAGAGGCCGAAGCCCAATCAATTCCAAGAAGCAGGGTAAAGACCTCGACGCCAGGCCGCCCGGGAAACCACCCCCTGGCAGCCCGCCAAGGTAAGCTCAAGCAGCGCGGAGCGTTTGCCGAACCTTGACCCAGCGCAACGCCCAGAGCGTGTTGAACTGATGACCTTGTCCAGCTGCTGGCTGGGCTGACTGTTGCTGCAAGTCATCGCAGGTGACCTGACCTCAGCCACCGGTTCAACAGTGCGCCCAGGAACAGGTGTAGCGGGTTACGTCTGAGGTCCTGCATGTAATCTTTCGTCTGGAAATGACGTATCACTATCCATCCCTCTTTCTCTCTTTTTTCTGTCTCTGTCTCTGTCGGCTCCGAAAAGCCGGACCAACTTGATTGTCTCGACCGTCGGATGAACCATGGGCTGCAGAGTGTGGATTTGGCATTCTGCCATCGAGTGGTGGTCAGCGAGTAAGTCTCTCCTTGTTATGACTGTCACGAAGCGAGAAAATGTATATAAGGATGTTGAGCGGATGGTGAGCCGGTGGTGGCTCGAGTCAAGAGTAGGCTCATTGTCCAAAACTTGACTCACGGGTTTGGAGGGCCATTTGACTCTGGTTGGCGAGTGTGTGGCTCACAAGGTGCACAGACAGCCATGATCGAGTATTTCCGAGCCGCGTCGTGAAATCATCCGACTCTGGCGTCTGCTTTGTGGGTCCCTGGACCAAGCCAGAGGCAACTACGTACCGCTGTGTAGATCCCGCCCCCCTTGCAAATGAATTAGGGGAAGCGGCGACTCACTTGAACATTGTAGTTTGCTTTTTCCCTTGGAAGAAAAAAACCAAACAAGAAAAAGAAAGAGAAGACGAAAACTACCCATCCAAGCAAAGCTCTGAATCTGAATGTCATCTGGTGGGCGGTGATGGTTTTTTTTTTTTTTTAGTGAGAACCACTCATCTGGGACATGGTGACAGACCCTTCTTGGTACTTGTGTCTGTGCTGCCCCTCCAGATTTTGCCCCTGGCTAAGAAGAAGACGAAGAAGAAGAAAGAAGAGGGCGAAACAGAGGCTGAATTGATCTCGCGCTTTGACATGGCCTTTCGCACAGCCATGAACAAACAAATCGATACGGCAGACGGTTGTGGGTCCCAGAAGAAAGAAGGAAGGAAGAAAAAGACCCAGAGAACAACTGCGCCTCGTCCAGAACCGGGGCACGCCAGAGGCCGCTATGCTTGCGAAATTCGAAGCCATCCACTCCCCCCCCCCCCTTCTCTCTTTCTGTATGTTAACCCTGGTGACTTGAGCCCCTTCAAGGCGTGCACTTGTGATGATCTCACGATCGAAGTTTGCGTCCTGTAAAGGGCAGGCAAACTCCCCTCCCCCAAGAAAATGTCTTAATGCAAGGCCACCTTGCTGGGGCTCTGGCCGTGCGTAGCTCCAAGGCGAAGATAGGAAAGGATAGGACTGGACTGTATTCATGTCTTACAAAAAAGTTGGTGGCCGTTGCCAGCCCCTTCGTTCTTGTCTGGATGAGCCGTTTTTTGCCCTTCGCCCTTCTCAGGAACCCGTAGGAACCTTGAAAACCAAACCCTTCTCTATAGAGGCTTGGCGTCGCGGTGGGAGGGACGACCACTGGCATGGGGCATGGGCCGACATGTAGAATTAGCCGTCATTGGGGTTTCTAGACTGTTGGCCTGGAATGCCTCTATCGCTTTGGTCTTCCCTTGCCCCTCTCTTTTTGCCCCTCTATGCTCAGACACCCAAGCCTGTACTGGCCGCAGTGAACCTAAAACGTCCTCAAACTAGGCAGGCCTCTCGGCCTTCTTCCTCTTCCCATAGGGGGGGGGGGGGTTTTTGTTGGTTTTTTTTTTGTTGGGTGACTGTGCAGAGAGTGTGTGAGTGTGTGGCAGAGAGAGCGAAAGAGAGAGAGGTATCGCTCAGCCTCGATATTGTGAGTCCCTTCAGCCATGCCAAAGTGGGCAAGTTTGGCTCGGGATGGGCTGGGCCAGCCCTGGAGGTGTTCCTCCTCTGTGGGGCTGCGGGAGGGGGCTGATAAGGCGAATAGGAAAGGAAGAAGAAAAAAATAAAACAAAAAGAAAGTTTGGTGGCCAGGACGATAATCCACAACAACAGCTAATTAGCAGCAGCGACTTTTACGAGTGATGGGGAGAAGCTCTGTCTAATGGCCGGTATGACATGCTTTTGCGGGAGGAACCACAAAAATATGTCTTCGTTTCCCCTCCCCGTTCACGCAGCAGTGGGCCACCTCGCTGTTGCGTCGATATTGGGCGAGACCGGATGAGAAAAGAAAAGAGAGGGATAGAGAGAAGAGTTTGGTTTGGTTTTTTTCACGTACCAATCACGTTCAGGATCCACACACATCTTAAGATGCGGAAAATCTTGACAATTGTTCGTAAATATTCCTTGAATTCGCAATATTGACTTCTCCCCCAATGTTTGGTTCCCCGTGGATATGATGCGTCTGAGAGATCAATGCGAGAGCTCCTCACTCCATGCTATAGATTTGCTCTGCTACTTGTAAAATCTTTGTTCATTATAACTGTCTACAAGTTTCATTCTAATCAACTTATCACTTATTCTTGTGCTTTCATCATGAGACTGATCAAAAATCACAATCCGTCTCTTCTTACCCAGAAATGAGATCCTTCTTCGGTCGGATTTGGAGGTCCATAAACATCATCCTGCGCCGGGCGGCTTGCTCGATACGTCGCGGACTCCGTCCAAGGCTGGGCTTCTACCCCAGGTTTCTCTCCTGCTTCACGACCCGTGGTTCTAGCTCGCCGCTGTCATCTCATCCACCTCGCCGCGACAACCGCGACCTGTATGCCCCATCTCGGCGGGCTAACCCCACCGTCCTATGTCTATCTTCCTCCTTTGCAGTGATCATCTGTTGCATGGCAGATATGACACACACCTGCACAAAACCCATGACACTCTTGCATGTGATATGAACCTGCCCTATTCGAAGATTGATAGTCCCAGGTGATCACTCTCATCCAGTCACAAGTCTCCCTTGCGGATCCACTCGTCCCATTGCATCGCTGTACAGATTCATCCGGGTTAAAGGGCGATTGAGGGCTATGCACAGTTTCTCTTTCTTGCTATCTCGGAGGCGCCTCGTCAATAGTTTCTTTCATTTCTCCAGGTGGTCCCCGCCACCCTTCCTAGGGGTTGCTGCACATCTCACTGGATAGATGTGATCGTGTGGAGAGGTTCTTGTCAGCCACATCCAGAGAATGGACAATCTGAAAAGGAATGGGGGGGGGGGGGGCGGCTCTGGAGAAGAAGACTACGTTTATTTTGGTCCCACCGCGGGCCCCGAGCTCGGGCAAGGCCTTCCAAGGGTCAGAGTGGAGTTCTCACTGGTCCTATGATGCCATGGACTGTAGTCCCCAAGTGCAGTACCGTTCAGAGGTCTGTTTTGGGGCGGAAAAATACCGGTTATCGCTAATGTACACAGACGGCTTGCTGTTCTCATTAGAATAATCTGGAAGCTTCGAGGGAGAGCGTACGATTATGGCGCTGGTGGTTCTGGTTGAAAGGAAGATGACACTAGAGTGGTTAACTTTGCTCCCACCTGAGATCGGGTTATTCATTTGTACACTTGATTTGATTAATTTTGGTTTCCTTTCTTCCTTTCTTCCTTCTTTTTCTGCCCCTCGTCTTTTTCCAAGAGACGGTGAAGAGGGGGAAAGATCCCCACCCGACCCATCAATATTATTTGTACCTCTTTGACTGTCAATAATGTTGAGCCTTGTCCATATGTCAAGCTGATAAAGACAATTATCAAATAGCCTTTGGTAACAGATAGTTACTATATTCTGATAAAATATCATAAAGTTAGGGCCCTGAAGTGTTATACATGGTCTACTTCATCAAGTTATTAACTGTCTGTGGAACGATCTACCCAGATGTCCACATATTCCCAATGGAATAGAACAAAAATAAAAAATCCCATTTCTGGGTGGAAACAGGGATCACCGAAGATTAGCTTTAATTGAACCTTTTATACAATTCTCTCCCTCCCTCATGGAACGCTGGTCTCGGTGCACACACCAACTCTCAAAAAGGAGGAAACGCTGGAATCACTCTGTAGATTCAAATGTCTAGACCGCATCCGCAGTTCTCCAGCTCCCATCATCTTGTCATTTTTCAGTTTTCGATTTCGGGGGTTGCATCTCATCACTTACCCCGGCCGATTATCCGTTGTGCGGTTTACCCAGGCGAACATGACATTCGCTGGTTCACAAGCATGCTATTGGTGACCTCGCTCTGTCGTCATTTCTCGCTTACGGTTCCCCAGCCTTGCTGGCATGCCGAGTACCGTGATTCGTGCATGTAGGGTCACAGGCAACTTTGACCATGGCCAAAAGAGGGTATTCTATCCTCATTGGGGTATGCCGGATGGGTATCATTCACAATCTTTGTGTTGGATGGCTGTGGGTAGAATAGTCTATATAAAGAGATGCTCGAGGTGGAATCAAGTCTAAAGTTTTCAGATCTGTCCCCCATGAATCTCCCAGAACAATTTTCAGATTGTCACTTTTCTGGTCTTAAAGAAACTGTGCCGAACAACAGCGCTTTCTGGTCTCGTCACAAGTCCCAGTCCATCATGTGTGTCCTCCATGTTCGCCCTTACACTTGCAACAGGCACTCTGAACAATGGGTTGAGCGCTGCCAAACTTACCTGGGCGGAACGGACTGCAAGAACTCTATCGAGTCTCTGGCTGGGGACACCGGATCAGGCGGCATGAGATTGTTTACCCAGAGACACGAGGGGACATGTATCATTTGCGGCGTTTGCAACCCGCACGATCAATGTAAGCTCTCATCTTCAGCTGAAGCATCTCGTCAGCCCAGAAATCAAAACGCTGTGCCACAGGATTATTTACTGATGGTAGAGAAACCTTACGTCAGAAGGAGCACATTCAGAGTCAGGTCGAGAAACCCAGGATTTGGCAATCTAGATTTGAGGGGGAAAGGGCTTGGATGTTCAGACCACAGACGGCAATGCCTCTCAAGGGCGTTGCTTCTACTCTCTGACCATGTGAAAATGTGAGCTCTGTGGGCCAATCGACGATGCAGGGAAGAGAAAAGGACCGACCACAGAGGTGGAAAAATACTTGGAGAACTTTCCGCTCTATAGGAGGCTTCTACGTAGCAAGAAAAAGAAAGAACAAAAGGTACTATAGTACATGAATGGAGTCCTATATGGCATATGAGGTTGTTCGATGCTATACGTCGATGCATTAAAACCCACAATTCGTTGCTGCAATGAAACTCGACGTACATACACGAACACGCACCGCTATCCATCATTTCTGCTCTTGCATATGCGGATCGGGTTCAGATCCCTGATGCCAAGTTCTGCTATCTCTCAAGATCCCACTAAAGAGCAAAATTTAATTTTTTTTCCTACTATAGTAAAAGGGGGTGGAAAGCGTCCATGGTAATATTTCTCTAGCAACATGCCGAGCTTGATGATTGTCCATCAAGGAACGGTTGACGTATCATAGATTACCACCTACGACTGCATGATTACAATAGCCAGCCCAAAGTAATATCTTGAACTAGGAACGCCGTTGAGACCATGATAGAATTACCTACCATTCACTCTTCGGGGCTCACCACGAGCACACAAAACTTCAAATTCTCTCCCACCGTGCTAGTATGTAAATACCACCTGGCTAGCAGATGTAGTTACGATAAAGGTCGCTAGGGAATCAAAAGCAGTAGCACATTCATCCCATCAAGCCTGACGGGCAGTGACAGCGGGAACTTTCCACCCACCATTAACACACCCCTTTTATGGCCGGGCCCTCGCCAGAATCTGACTGGGATCCCCTCCCCCTTCCCAAGAGGACCAGGGACCTGACAGGATGCACACCATCTACTGTACATAAGTACCTACAAGTCCGTGAAGCCAACCAGCTGGCCAGTGAGCGCCCTGTGATGGGAAGGTTTTCGCTAGGAGTAGTCCACACACACACACACACACACGCACACACGCCAAATCAGTTACTATATTGTACTTATAATAGGGAACTGAACCCCTGAACGGCAAGGCCAGTTGCTGCATGGCCAGCAAAGCTTGTAGGAAGGCTCGGAATGTAACTGCAGCGCTCCGGCCGACCATCCTTCGGCGCGCACGCACACACACACACACACACACACCTCTCCCTCGACCGCATCTGCTGCCCTCCAGCAGCTTTTTTGCTACATACAATGCTACATACAATGCTACATACAATGCTACATACGTAGTACTACAACCCTCACCGCCGGAAGAATTCCATTGTGTTGGAGGTATGTGGGATGAAAGAGGAGGCTTTACGGGATATCTGGTGGGCCCGGTTGTTTTGCCTTCTTTTGACATGACTCCGGGCAATGAATTCATTCTTGTGTCGTCAGGCATCATATGCCAATTAACCATCCAAAATTGATCGAATCATGAGATTTCACGTACTTTGGAGAAAAGCGATGTATGTGGCGGTCCTTGCAGCCAACTCTCTCTTCTCCGATTCACACATAAATTTGTCCAATCAACACCATTCACGACAGCCGAGGTTCCGAGTGGATGAAAACGAAAATTCTGCTGCACCAGATAGGGCGTGGGACGCCACTTAAACCCCGAGATTTTTTTTTTCTTCTTCCTTTTCTCGACCTAGCCATTTCTAGCTGAGTTCTCGATCGCGGTATGCCTCGTGTCTATCCCGCGAGCATGTGGCCCCCAAGGCCTAGAACGTTCGTTGCTCTCCTGCATAATCCTGACGCCAGTGATATCGCAGTTACAACGCGTGGGCCCAAATGATGAAGGGTGTCTGTCCATGCAGGTGCCGCCACTCCGCAGATCAAAGCTAACAAAGCCCACAGGAGATCAACTGTGACCGCATGTACAGATGTATCGCACCATGATGACGATCTCCTTTTCTTGTGCTAGCAATCGGGAGGTTTCCCCGGGCTCGCTTCAGTGTTAAAGAAAAAAGTGTCCTTCACAATACGGCTATGTCGTCATCTTGTGTCTGTTCATCACCCCCAAACTCCTGGTAGACCTCCTGCATCTCCTCCTCAGTCGCCTCCAAGCCCGAGCTGCTCATCAGCTTGGCGCCCTTCTCCTCGCTCTTGGGCTCTACCAGGAGGTTCTCCTGTACTTCGCAGTCCGTCAGTGTGCAATTGTCCCCAATCTCGCTCCTCTTGCCAAGGATGCAACGCGTCAGCTTGCAGTTCTTGCCCACCACTACACCATCCATGAGTAGGCATTGTGAGAGTTTGGCACCCTCCTTGATCTGACAGTTGGCGCCGACCACGGTCTCCTTGATTGCAACCTTCTCGTCGACAGTGACGTTCTCTCCCACTAGGCTATCCTGGCGTGTAATGGTTGTGCGGCCCTTGACGCCCTCTGGGTACATGACCTTGCGGGGATGGGCAAAAGGCGAGTCGCCAGCCTCTTCAGCGGAGGGCAGCTTGGCGAGCTGCAGCGAGGTGGCAAGGAGCAGCTGCGCTGTATCGACCCTGCGGATGAGCGGAGCCTCAGGCATGGACGGGTGGGCGTAGGCGAAGATCGGTGGCACGTTGTTGGAGGTCGAGACAGGCCGCTCCAAGGTTGCAGGTGCGTTTGCTACACCACCCCGGGACTCATCTGGGTCCGGGGTCATATCAGATGATGACATGCTGTCGTCGTGCCCAAGATTCGTCTCGTCCTTTTTGACAGATTCGGGGGTGAACATGGTGTCAAATCCTAGCTTTTGGGCGAGGCCTGTCTGCCAGCCAGCCTTAGCCCACCAGCCTACCACGTCTTCGCCGATGCTGTCCAGTCGCTCGTTCTCCTGCACAAAGTCCATGACCCAGCGCGGGAAGATGTAGATGTGCGCGTCTCGATGAGTCATGCGCATTTGTATGCGAGGATGTGATCGTAGGAGCCCGTGTCGCAGGGGAAAACCCTTCTTCTCGTCCATCAGGTCATTCAAGGAATCAGTGGGCATGGAATAGACCAGGCTTGAGATGTGTGGGGTTAGCGATTCTTTGGCAGAGGCAGACGAGGTGGGCAGGGGCGTCGTGGCGATGAAATCGGTCTCAAGGCCTTTGATGGGTGTGTCCGTCTTTGTCTGATACCAAACGCCCAGGCCACCACTATGCACGCCTTGGCTGTTCTTGATCAGCCCGTAGTGGTTGCCGACCAGGTCTCTCAGAGTCTGCGAGTGCACCATCCAGGCCTGGAGGAGCTGGTCTCCGCCGAGCTCACACACCAAGTCGCATGGAAGAATCAGAAAATCACCCTTGACCGTATCTCTGACCTCGCGCAGTCGAAGAATATTGGCCGTGCCCGTGTTGTGATCCAGTCCCTCGGGAGCCAACAGCCCAGGCCGTGGCAGGGGGAGACTTGTGAGCGCCGGGTGCAGGCTGAGAGCCGATGCTATCGCCTTCTCGGCCGACGGCGGGCATATGAGTGTTATGTCTTGATGGGGCTGGAATCAGCCCTGTACGCTTGCTTCTTATACTTCGTGCTGCCCCGCCTTGCAGTTTACTCACCAGAGATACCAGCCCGATAGCAAAATTCGAGAGGATACCAGACCATAGGCCTGTTTGCGATGGGCAGCAGAGCTTTTGGGTTCTCATCTGGATTCGCCGTGAAGGTGGGGAAGGATGACCCTGGACCGCAGAGGATCAACGCCTGCAGTCCAGGCGAGGCTGAAGATACCGCGTGTGGCATCGTGGGATTGTTTTCTTTTTATTTTGATGAAAGTGGACCGGGTCTCGAAGGTCGTACTCCAATTGTTGAGAAGTCGCAGCAAATTGATAAGGACTGAAAGTCACAATTCTATCGTTGCCTGTCTCACGATGGTGATGGAAATTGTTGCTGGTCTTTTAGAAGAAAAGAAGGTGCCCGTCAGTTCTTGACGTGTGAGGTTGACTCACATGAAAGTTCACAATGGACTTTGAAAATCTTATATAAGCAGGTGAGGGTTCAGCTGCTGCAGTGGGGGTCAACCCTGAGGGCTGGGGGGACCCTGGCTCCAATGGCAGGTATGCTGTTGTACTATGTACAGTACTATGTATGGTAGTCGCGGTACCGGTAACCTGGGCAGCACTTGCAGCAACGAGGCAAGGCTCCCAATAACATACCCAGCCACCCAGATGCGCCAATCTCCCCCGCGGACTGCGCTCTGAAGACTCCATGCCAGCCACACGTCCTGTACATTCGTACATACTCGATGCAGCAATCTCCTCGATCGTGAGACAAGTAAAATTCTCCTCCCTCTCTGTACAGCCTCGCCGTTCGCTCAAGTAAACAAGCGTCCCTGGTTCTTGATCGCGTCCTGCTGCGCCCCTCCCCGCAATTCCTACCACAATTGCGATGATCAGCCCGCCGTAATGTCATCGCCTTATGATAATCGAGGCTCATCGCGGCGCCGACATGGCGTCTGGAGCCATTGGGTACCTCTAGCGGTGACAGTGACTGTCGCGACAGTCGGTGTCGCCGCCTGGATCTGGAGCCAGCGCAGTGGCAGCGAGGAAGAGGAGGACGAAGACGAGGCCATTACCCAACATCTCGACTACGAGAATGCCGACTACGGCGACAACCCTGCCTACGGCATGACAGGCGACGGCGTCAGCTCTCGAGCACCTCCTTCTTTCCGAAGCGACTTGAGGCCTGACGAGGTTGGTTACGGGACTACCGAGGCTGTCGACACGACAGGTGGGTCGACGAGCTGGGGGGCGCGCATGTCAGGCGCCCTGCGTCGCACGCCGAGCCCACAGCATATACTGGACCGCGCAGGCAAGACGGTTGTCGCGGGTGTGGCTGCGGCCGGGACAGCAGTGGGGAGCGCGCTGGCTGCCATTCGGGAGGAGGATAAGGCTGCCTTTGCGGACCACGAGACGTGGTCTGAGGAGGCGGATGCGAAAAAGGAGAAGCCCTCCGCGTCGCAGACACGCGACCATGCCAACAAGAGGAGGAAGACAGTCGCCATTGTGGTCTCGGCTGACGCACAGCTTGATGACATGGATGAGGACGGATACCATGAACATGCGGTATGGTCACGCCACCCCGAGAAGGCCTTCCTTCGCCTCTCTGCTGTTTGGTACCTCGGGAGAGAAAGCTAACCTGATGCGAAATGCAGTCTATCCTGTCACATATTCCAAAACAGAATGATCACTCCAAGATCAAGCTGTTCATCCTCATCTATGCGCCGAATCTGAAGGACACATCGACGGACACGCCCGCCAGCCGGCCCCCGCCCTCACTGAGCTCGTCCTTCTCTATGGTCGGACAGGAGCAGGCTGTGACTCCTGGCGAGGAGACCAGGAGCCCCCAGTAAGTGTTCTCTCCTCCTCCTCTCCTTTCATATCTATGGCTTCGTGACTAACTCGTCAACCAGGCTGACGGCACTGGGCAACTCGGCCTTCAACAAGACATACGCACAGGCTGTCGATCTCGTCGAGAAGGAGGTCAACGTCCTTCCCTTCACCACCTTGGCCGGCTATGTCCACATACTGCACCACCTCAAACCAGAAGTTGTCTATCTGCAGGAGTCACTAGCTGGCGACAATGGCAGCAACGTACAGAAGCTTCAGACGTGGCTCAGACACGACGTGATCCTCGTGGTTGGCGCTGACAATGGCCACGGTGGCTTGGCAGACAGCGAGTCGGAAGCGGAGAAGGCCCACGTTGAGCAAAAATGGTGGCAGCGAGAAGATAGGGTCGGGCGCGGCCGGGGAGTCGTTGTTGTGGATGGAATGAGAGTAAGTGACGACTGGTCTAAGCGGGTTCAAGGAAACGAGTGATGATTTACTTCCAATGTGTCGACGTGGTTGTCTGGGAAATGAGATATGATATACAAACTGAACTTCTTTCTTCAATGCAATTGATTCCATTGAGCAAGAAAGGGGTTTGTTGAGGCTGGCTAAGTATCCAAGGAGGATATATAGTGTAGGCAGTCTGGTACGGAGACAACGACCATTTTATCCGTTCGATTGATCACAAGCTTATTACTGTGGGGGGCGGGGGGGACTTCAATTCTTATGGCCGTCTAATAACCATATACGTCCAATGTACGAAGTTTGCACTTGCAGAGACAATTGAAGTTGGAGTGCCAAAAGGTTGTGTCATCTATTTGCAAGAGATGCTATGTACTATCATGGGGACTAGGTATCGTCCCTCAGTGGACAAGCAAGCTGATAAGATACTAAATGGCGCGGTTCATGTGCTGACATAAGATGGGGAGCCGGGGACGAGATGGGCTGAACTGGGCCAGCCTCATGGTTGGTCCGTGCGGGGGGGGGGGGGGGTACGCGAGCAAGTAGGCAAGGGGCAACTGGGTCTGGTGGACTTTGGGGTTGAGCCTCATCGACGACACTGAGCCCCACAGTAAACCACGCGCGCAACCATCACCACCTCGAACCCCCGCGTCCTTGCCATTACCCCGTCATCCGATCGTTTCAGCATCGATTGAATCTTCATCGTTTGTGAATCTGGCGCATTCGACACTGCTTGAAGAATTTGATCTCTCGTTCCCTTTTTTCTCTCTCCCCGATGGCTGCGCAGAACAAAGGCAACCGCCTGTTTCTCTGAGCGCGCAACGATACGACCGCCCGAACCTCACCGCGCGATCCTTCCGATTCAATCGCGACTCACACACCCACACCACCACTTTCTACTGTGGTCTTTGTCCTTGCATCACGATCTCTGTTCTCGGCGCACCTCGCTGCCAGACCACCGGGACCAATGCGATCGGATCGCGACCGTCGCATCGTGCCCGAGTAAGCTGGGGGTTTCCGTCCCAATATTTGCACACTCCGCCGTGGAGCCTGACAGGCGAGACGCGCGCCGTGGTGCTCGGCCTACACAGTCGAGATGGCGCCCAGCACCACTCCGATTCCGCCCCCCATCATCCCCCCACACCCAAAGACGAAGCGGCCTGTCCCGCCTGGTATACAGACAAATGGTCTCGCCCCGTCTTCCTCTCCTTCCCCGTCCATGTCCGCCAAGAAGCCGCCCAACAGCGCCAAACAATCCACAAAAGCTGCTGTCGCCAATGGAGGGACTGTCACTGTGGCTCGGCCTCCCACCCAGATCCGTCCAGAGATCACTGCGGCGGCTGCCAATGGGACTGTTCGTCCTCCCACCACCAATGGCGCCCTGCAGCCAGTCCCAAGCAGTGCGATTGAACCGCCTGCAGTGCCGGTAGTCGTCGAGCAGCGTAAGTGTCTTTCCTCCCTCCAAGACGAGACTGGAGCGGCCGATGGCTGACAAACCTCTTGCAGCCCCATCGCGTAGGTACATATTGAACAAATATGTCGGCAACCCACCCTCGCTCGTCATCCACCTGTACCCGAACCATTTCAAATTCGATGCCCAAGACGACTACTTCCTATACACATCCCCGATGAAGACCGTCCTTGACCACATCAAGAGCCGGACAATACCGCATGATTTGATGGCCGACTTTACGAATGACGGAGTTCCTTTCTATGAAGGCTGCTTGATTGTGGAAGTCCATGATCACAAGGTTGCCGTCGCGGACAAGGATGACACCTCCCGGCCCTCATCCCGCTCCAAGCAGGACGCAACCAATTCGATACATCGGCAAAGTCTATTCGTCACCCCTTCGACAAATCGCCCGTTTCCCCTCGATGCGGCTGCTGGTGACGCCCATGTAAAGAAGGAACCCGACAGCAAGGACAAATCTGCGAGCTCAGCAGAGCAGGGGGGCTCGTCGGCTTCCAGCTCGCCTCAGGTCCAGAAGAGCAAGGGCCCTGTCAAGCCAAAAGTCGCCACACTCGTTCTCTTTCCAACGCAACAGAGCCGACAGGCGGATCTAGCCATCAAGGCATGTAATCCGCGGGCCTCTGTCGACAGCCGTCTGGAAGCAGCTGCCAACGGCGTTCCCCCCACGCCTTCGGCCGCCGTTCCTCCCACTCCAACGGGCTCGAGTCTGCCTCCACCTAATAAGAAAGTGAAGCGCGAGCGCATGGAACTCGACAGGAGTAATATTCACTCCGCTGAAGGCGCCTTCCTAATGGCCACCCTACCGCCATTGGACCTGGAGCCTACGAAGGATGCTTTGGGTACTATCGTCAAGATGCAACAACAGGCGGCAGCATACGAGGACCGGTTCCACCCACCGCCCCAGTCCAAGACGCGCAAGAGAACCGTGGCGGAAATGGCCGCAGATGAGGCACAGGCTGCCGAGAACGAGAGATACCTCCTTGCGCTGGATGAACGCAGCGGACAAGGGGTCAGCTCAGTGTCGGGTGGCGATGGCCAGCAGCAAGTGCAAGCGTTTGATCCCACCTTTGAACGTTTCAAGAAGATAGAGGAGATTAAGAGAGAGCATGCGGAGAGGGCAAGACAGGAGAAGCTCAAACAGGCCGAGAATGAGAAGAGGCTCCAGGAGCAGAAGCTGCAGGCACAGGCGCAGCAGCAGCAGCAGGCGGCAGCAGAGGAACGGACCCGCCGAGAGCAAGCAGCAGCACAGCAGGCGCAACAGGCGCAACAGCAACAGCAGCAGCAGCAGCAGCAGGAGGAGCTCCGGCGTAAGATGCAACTCGCTCAGGCGCGCCAGCAGGCGCAACAAGCGCAGGCGCAAGCGCAGGCACAGGCACAAGCACAAGCACAGGCTCAGGCACAGGCACAAGCACAGGCTCAGGCACAGGCTCAGGCTCAAGCTCAGGCACAGGCACAGGCACAGGCGCAGGCGCAGGCACAGCAGCAGCAACAGCAGCAGCAGCAGCAGCAGCAAAGCCAGGCACTCGCCAACATGAACCAGAGTGCACACGGTCATCCTGCGCAAAATGGCCAGGCCAACGGAGTCCCTGTGTCTCTGCCCGTGTCAGCGCCAAATGGTATGCCGATGGCACAGGCGCGACTTCAAGGAGGAGGCGCCGCAGCCTCGCACCCACCAGCATCCTCACCAATGGTCCAACACAGCACACCTCAGCACATGTCATCACCCATGGTTGGCGGTGTGACCATGCAGCCATCGGGTTCAGGCATGGGTGCAGGAAGTCCGGCCAGGCCATCGTCAGTGGTTAACCAACCTTCCATGTCAGCACCTATGGCTGTCAGCATGTCTGCACGCGGCAGCCAGCAGAGCCATGCCTCTGGAACGCCGCGCATGCCACATGCCACACCGAATATGGCCCAAGCAACGCCAATCAGCCGAGCACAACAGCTCGCGAATACTCCTCGCATGTCGCAGGCAAGCCCGCCCCCTAACATGATGGCGCCGCAGATGCAACAAATGATAATGAACAACCCGGCCATGGCGCACCTGGCGCAAAACCCCGCCCTGCTGCAACAGCAGGTTCATGCCATGCAGCAACAACAACGCCAAATGCAGCAACACGCGCAGATGATGCAGAACGGTATGCTGAACGGAGCCACTCAACAGCAGCAGACCCTCATGCACCAGAGGTTTATTGCTCAGCAGCAGCAAAAGATGCGTCAGACGATGGCGCAGAACCCCAACATGGCTCAGAATCCACAGATGCTACAGCAATTGCAGCAACTGAGGGCCATGCAACAGGCGGGCACCAACCAAATGCGCCTCGCTCAGGGTGGCGGTCAAAACATGGTTGGAATGGGCACATTTCCAAACCAACAGATGGCTCTGATGCAGCAGATGCAGCAGCAGCAGCAGCAGATGCAGCAACTCCAGCAGCAACAGCAGCAGCAGCAACATCAACAACAACAGCAGCAGCAACAGCAGCAACAGCAGCAGCAAGGTCACCCCCAGCAGATGCAGCCTCAGCAAGTGATGGGCCAAGCCGCCCAGCAAATGTCACAGCAGGACATTTTGACGATGCAGCAAGAAGTGGGCGCGATCGCCCAGAGGTTGTATGTGCAAAATATCGGCACTCTCCTGCAATCGCGCGGTTGGACCATGGAGAACGCACCCCCAGCGCAAATCGAACAATTCAAGAAGCAGTGTAGATCCAATGCTCAGAGTAGATGGGTGCAGGAAAAGCAGCGAAGCGCGGGGCAGGCATCGTTAACGCCGCAGCAGCAGCAGATGCTCCTGCAGAGGCAACGGCAAGCTGTAGCGATGCAGCAACAGCAACAGCAGCTTATGCAGCAGCAGGCTATGCAGCAGCAGCAACAACAACAACAAGCTATGCAGGGCATGATGCCGCAGGGCATGTAGTGCTACACTTGCGCCATCGTGGAAGGGGTTTCGGGAGGGGGGTTTTAAAAGCAGGAGACAACTAACAACAGTTGGCAGCTGGATATTCGTGGCTTGTGCTATATATTTCTATTGGCATAGACGAAGGTACAAGAGACTATGTGACACACTGCGTCTGGCTAGCTGCAACAAGATGTCAGGCTCATTGAAGGCATGCGCGTCTCGAGTTGATTTTGACCGTTGCGGATTCGATCTCATTGAACGAGCTGCCGAAGCTCGACGAGCGCCAGAAAGTCCTGCACCAGCCACGAGCGCGATATACGACATTCTTCACTTTACCATTGCAAATATTAATGCTTTGGAGCCTGGGACACGTGACAGAACGGGGCACAGGTCGGCGTTCCGAAGGAAAGGGGTGTGAGAGAGGCTTCTCAGTCAAGCATCGATTGGCAAAAAAAAAAACAAAAAAAAAACCCTTGCATCGAGTCTTGAGTTTACACTGTATTGCGGTTTTCATTCTACAAGGTCTTTATACCCCCAGAGTCTTTGCGCGGTCCGAAGTTTCTATCTTGATCGTTTGCGGATACAGCGTTACTACAACCAAAACTTGGTCACGGAGGCGCCTCTTGTGCGCAGAAATGTGAAGGTTCTTGCCTTTTGAGAGACTCGTTGCTAGGAGGCAGTAGCGATGGCGGGAAACGGTGGTTTGGGATGGATTCTGCTTGGATCCTTTGTGTGCTTTTGCAGCGTCTGTTATTGGGATCTTTTAGCATCAGGGGGTGGCTCTGCGCGCAACTTTTTGCTCCTCATGATACTGTGCGTTCCGTCGAGATTTTCCCCTAGGAAATTGAATCAACGAATGTATTGAAAGACTGACTCGTGTGCTTCTTATGACAAAGTGGGGAAAAGAAGGGTTGGTCGGGGGCGTGAAGAAGCGCAAGAAAGGGGTCTATGAGACAACATGTCGATGGGGTTACTCGGCCGCCTCTCTTGGTAATCCACTGCAGGTAGTTTTGCCCGGTGAGTGGACGCGGCGCGCACCGCAGGTCTTCTTCACACCGTCGATTAATGTTTCTTTTTCCACACGTTAAGTCTGCTAGCGTTCTGAAAACTACCTTTGCATAGTTTGGTTGAGAAAATCAAGTCGAGAAAATATAAAAATAAAGAATCTACACACTACTTATTGACCTCCTCTCCAGTTCTGGCCAGGGTCGTGGCACGTCAATCAACATCAGACACACGAATATAAAATACGATATTCAACATGGAGGAGCCGAGGGAGGCTGATACTGCAAACGACATCATTACTCGAGCACTCGAGTGTATGACCTTTCAAGGCCAGTCTGCTAAGGCCCAAGTCAACCAAGGTGAGAAAAGCACAGTTTCTCACCACCTGCAAGATCAAGAGAGAGAGAGAGAAAGAAGTTAACACTTGCAAAGCAGAACAAGACCAAGGAATCACAAGAGTCATCTCGACAGACTTATCAAGGGAGGCAAGCAGATTATCATCATCATCATCATCATCACTACTCGCCACCCGATCGTTTCCCCAGTTCGTCAACCTGCCCTACGAGATCCGGGCAGCAATCTGGGAACAATGCATCCCGCGCCGTATCATAGAACCCTGGCACGACCTGGGCCCAGGAGACAATCCATTCCCTCGCGGCTACCCGGTCATCGCGCAGGTGTGTCGCGAGGCTCACGAGGTGGTGAGTCTCCACGGCGCCTGGATCGGCGCCACTCGCTTTGACCGGCGCAAATGGTACCTCGACAGATCGTGGCGGCAGAGGTCGCCGGTGTGGCACAACAAGAAGACGGACCTGGTGCGTCTGGGCATGTGCATTACCTTTGGCCTCCTTGACTTTGACCACGACGACAGCCGGTCTTCTCTTTTCTCTGCTTCCTCTTCTTCTTTTGGGGCCGGTGGTGGGAACGAGATCATCGCCATGGCACGGGCGGATCCAGATGTGCCTCTCCTCGTCTCGGCCAACATCATCTCCAACCTCACACGCACGCGCGTGGTGTCTCCTCGTGGGCAGCGAGAACGGCCAATCGCAAGGCTCATCTATGAGGACTTTCTCAGGCGGAGGGAGCACGTCTTTATCGAGGTGGGCAGCTTTACGGTGACGGATCGTGACGCTGTCTCTCTGGACCGCCTGATGCGCTCGGGCATGTTTGGCCTCGAGCTCCAGTCGCAGCAGCAGGGAGGACGTGCGGTAGCGGTATCTTGTCAACAGCCTGCAGGGACGCAGCAGTACACAGAGAACGACGACGACGACCACCACCACCACCACCACCACCACCACCACCACCAATGTAGGCCTGCAAAAATTACGACTACTCCTCGCCCTCCTCGCCCTCAGCCCTCGCGCTACTACGAGGCTGAACCTGCGATCGTCGACATCAAGGACACAACGACCCTCTTTAGATACGCTCGAGCTGCCGTCCCAGACCAGGACTCCCTGGCGCGTCTCAGGGACATGGACGAGCGGTTCGGCAGCGGGCAGCTGGACGGCGAGGCCGCCTTTGACGCGTGCTGGCGGGTCCTGAGGAGTGTGCCCTGCGGCGGTGTCGCCTCTACAATCACGTCCCCGGTCGACTTCCTCATGGTGCTTGTGGATGTCTTGTGCAACGCGGCTGGGCACGAGGTGGACTGGGAGGAGGACTGCCCTGTGCTGGACGAGGAGGGTCGGCTGAACGAGGAGCATGATCTGGTTCGGCTGATGGGGCTGTCGCTGCCCAGGTTCACCCCGGTGGTCTCGTTTGAGGTGGATCAGCGGTGCTTTGGTTAACTGATTGGTATATGAACTCGAAGAAAGGCGCGTTTGGGGAATTTTCGGGGGGGAGTCGTGCCATACTGAAGATGCAGAGGAGCACACAAGGAAAATGTGAGACATACTCGGAATTTGATCAGGCCTTAATTGTGTTCTCTCCGCCTCGATGAAATCTCAGAACATCCAGCTAGGGGAGCATCTGCGTGGCACCTGGAGCGCACTGCCCACAAAGTACGCTTCTTTGCCATCTCCTTCTACTCTCTCCAGGACTTCTTCGCTTCGGGATATATCAAACTCGAATAAATGAACTCCCCGATGATGTAGTGCTGTTGCACAAGGTTCTGAGACCGTATCCGACTTGTTTCTGACAAGACAAGGCCGCTTACGAGAACTTATAGGCCTCGGTCTCGGCGATCTGTGCCACCACACATTATCCTACCGCCCCCTCATGCAACCCTATACTGACCCGATACCCTATTGGAACGCAATGCCCCAGAGCCTGCCTGAAAGAGTAACATGTCTCGAAGAAGGGCGAAACATGAGCAGAGTTATGCATATTAGCGCTGAGTGGCTCCTGTAACATTTCGGTATTTCCATTTATTCTTCTCACCCCATCAGCCTCTTTTCCCCTCTGTCTCACAACAACAACAATATTTAAAGACCTATCAAGGGAGAGGCTCTCAGCGGTCGAGGCCACCATGTCGACCATCACCCATCTGAACCTTTTTTTTTTTTTTTTATTATCTTGCAAGACATCAGTTCTCTTGGCCCGGGCCATTTTGCGATGCCACCTGCAGAGTATCCGAGGGTAAGCACTTTGGGGGCCAGGACGAGGTCGAAGTATAAGTATCGCATCAGTATCAGGACTGGAAAGGCATTTGTGTTTCGACAGACAAAGAGAAGAACAAGACAAGAATCACAGTAAAAGAAACACTCAGAGAATAACTACAAGGCCCAAACCAAACCACTGCAGATCATCATCCAAAATTACCCAAAACCGACTATACATCATCAAGATGTCGTTCTCCAAGACGCTCCTCGTTTCCCTCCTGCTCGCCGCGTCCAGCACCGTCCTGGCGAGCCCCGCCATGCTGGAATCTCGTGGCATCCAGGTTGGCTACGGCCAGCAGATCCAGACCTCGGACCAGGCGAACCACTGGGTCGTCTGGATCGAGGGCCAGTCGGCGTGCCCAGCGACGCAGACCCTCAGCGGGCTGAATACCAGTCCCTGCAACCAGGTCTTCACCCTCGCCGGCGGGACCTACCAACTCACCAACTGTAACGGGTACGTTTGAACTGATGTAATTTTTTGACTCCTTTTTTTTCTTCTCTTCCTTTTGTTGGTTGGAGCGGTTGGCTGACTTGAAGGGTTTCCCTTTCACCATCTGCAGAAACAATGAGCCCCAGGCGGTTGCGGATCAGGATGGGAATTATATTCATACCTGTACTCTTAACCATGACAAGATTAACTGCCACCATGGCGAGCATGATATTGTCAAGCATGGGAAATGCACTTGAGTAGCTCGGGACTGATGACGAGGGGTCAGGGGGATCAGGCATGTGGAGTATTTACATCTTGGTGAAGTTCAGAAATTGTCGAGGGTCGCGATAGGATACACGCAGGACGTGATATCATATTCAAGCTTATTTCTCATGTCTGATACCGAATGGAGACTTATACACAGATCCAAGTGTCACAGATGCCATGCTGATAATGAGGTTCCCATCGTGAAGAGCATAAGTACTGCCCTTGATCCCAGGTCGGTGTGACGTCTCTGGCAGCTAGGCCACGGAATGAGTGAATGAGTGGCCGTCAGTGCAAGCAGTACCCATATGGATCCATTGGAAGGGCCCGTCAGCAACTTGTGCTGCTAGGAGAACAACATTTATAAAAGAATGTCAAGTTTTGGTAGGTCTGTTGGTGGTTTTTTCTTTTCTTTTTTTTCTTCTTTCTTTTTTGGTGCCCAGCGTTTGGCAGGTTTAGTTGCCGAATATCTAGTGATGACACTGATGAGGAAGGTGCATCTATCTGCACTGCGCACTTGGGTACGTATAGTAGACACGAGGTCATTGCTGTCTAGGGTCATTACATAAGCAAGGCCTTGCCTAGGAATTCCGTCGACCGGGGCCGCCTGCAGTGGTCTGGTGACGCAGCCAAACTCCGAGAGGTCCTACTAACTGACTAAACTGTAACGCGAGCTCATCAGATTATCATTGCCTCGTGAACTTGTATGCTGACCCCATACAATCGACGACGTTAAGCTGGCTGACGACCTCTTGCTCCTCCATTGACGCCGAGCTCTCTCAACCTTCTGATTCTTTTTTTTTTTTTTGGCTCGAAGCTGCAAGAATCGACCTTCGTTCATTACACCCCACCTCGATCTTCTCTTCTGCTCTTCGTCCCGGCATATTCATCCGCGCCCATTCGAGCCCGTCGACTCTTCCGATCCGCCGCCCCGAAGGGCATTGCATCCCATCGCACTCGGATTCCATCACAATCTACTCACAACAACAGCGATGAAGCTATCACCAACCAAATCGTCGGCCGCCGAGCCCGCCGCCGTGCTACTCTCCCTCGCCCTCCTCCTTACACCATCCTCGGCCATGTTTTGGTGCAATCAAGTCCAGGTGGACGGTCAGAGATGGAACTTCGAAGCTCTGGCTGGGCCCCATTCGGTCGTCACCTGGCAGGAGCAACAGCCTTTCCAATTCGTCAACACCACATATACCTTGGATCTCTGCGCACCGCTGAAAAAAGAGGGACCGGCTGACGAGAGCTGTCCCAACGGTGCAAGAGGTTAGTTCTGCTTGTTCTCCCCCCCTTCCCACCACGCCTGGCATCTCAAAACCCTATCATCTACTCTTCTCTTGAAAAAGCTCCATAAACTGACTCATATCGGGAATCTTTTTTTTTGTTTTGCAGTATGCGGAATCAAACGCGGCAAGCGCACCGACGAGACAGAGTACAAGGTGATCGACGTCATGTCCATCGCCGGCGACCTGCAGAACCGCGGCGTGTCCAAGGGCCTCGATGTCACGGCCACACGGCTCAAGACGTCCGACTCGACCTCTGACTCCAAGAAGCAGGGCGTGCGCATCCGCATGCACGGCGGCCGGCACCCGCTGCAGTCGGGCGGCCGGGAGCAGCGGGCCATCGTGGAGATGCTGTGCGACCCAGACAAGACGGGCAAGGAGGGCGAGTGGGACACTGCCAAGGACGGATACGAGCAGGTGCCTGTCGCGACCGACCCGGAAAATGCTGCACGGCTGCGGCGGCGGGATGAGGGCGACGAGGGCGACAATGATGATGATGATGATGATGATGATGTGGGCGACGGGGTCGAAACGTCAGAACGTCAACTGCTGAAGCCGGATGCAGCCCTAATCTTTGACAGCTACGGCCCGCTGGCAGACGACGGAAATGTCGACGTGCTGCGGTTGACGTGGCATACCAAACTTGCGTGTGAGGACCACGAGGAGGAAGGAGGCTCGGGCAAGAGCGGGCACTGGGGCTTTTTCACCTGGCTGGTTATCCTGTACGTCTCTCTCTCTCTCTCTCTCTCTCTCTCTCTCTCTCTCTCTCTTCCACTCTCTGGCTTCCCCCCTCTCTCATCCCTAGTCTTGCACTTCTCGGATCAACCAGCCCTTGGTTCTAACTTTGGTGCACAGCGTATTCCTGGGAACGGCATCGTACCTAATCTTTGGCTCGTGGCTCAACTACAACCGCTACGGTGCTCGGGGCTGGGACTTGTTGCCACACGGCGACACTCTCCGAGATATCCCTTATCTGCTCAAAGACTGGACTAGAAGGGTTCTGAACACTGTACAAGGAACCGGCTCTAGGGGAGGCTACTCGGCTGTATGAAGGAGGTAGAGGAAATGGAGGGGGGGGGGGTGATGGAAGTGTCTGTCTGATAACTGATGGTCATGATGGAGGTATGGAGATAGAATATATCTCTTTGGTCTTTTCAGGATTTGAGCTGGGCTTATTGTTGGCATGATTGGGCGAAGGTTGTCTTGTCATTCTTTTCTTCTCCTTTCCATGAGGCGTTGAGAATTCTGCCGTCTGTGATGGCACGAAATGCATCCATTGCACCGTGTATTGCTGCTGTAGTCATGAGCTTCCCATTGTAATTGGCATCATTCTTTTTTCTCTGCCATGTAATCATACTGTGAGAGCGCCAGGAGCGCTGCTTGACTGATAAAAAGAAAAAGAAAAAAGGGCGACGACTGTAATGAAGCTCGTCCACACTCAAGTATTTATTCACAACTTGACTGGCTGATACCAGGAAGAAGGGCAAGTGCGAGAAAGATATACTATGGACTTACATGCGAATCCTCACTTATAAATTCAATGAATAAATGACGGACATTTATTTCCATAGTAAAAATAATTGAATTTCCAGGGCTGGTTGTTACACTTCTGTGGCTGTTTGGCTGTCTTTTTGCTCCTGACCGAGTAATCAACTAAATGCCGAGGTACGTCTGCACCGGAGTCACCGACCTAAGCAGCATCACCATCATCACCATCCTCAATGACCGACCTTTTGATTTCCTATCCAGCAACATCTCAACCTTTGAAAATCGAATTAATATAACAAAATAAAAGAGACTCATCTCTTCTCACAATTACTGTCTACTTTATTCCCCTCAAAAGCATATCCTCACTGCAATGGCAACACCACCCCAACCCCCCGGCGAGAAGACGACGCTCTTCACCGTGCCCGTCCCAGCATGTGACAGCCACCCAGGCGGCACCGTGACCGTCACCGAGCCTTTACCACAGCACTACCTCGTCACCATCACCTCACCCCCAGACAACCGTCTCACCACAGCCCTGTGCACCGCCCTCCTCCGCGCCCTCGACCTGGTCGAGCTGTCGGGCCTGCCGCCGGGCGTCGTGATCACGACTTCGGGCCTCCCCAAGTTCTACTCCAACGGCCTCGACCTCCCGCACGCCGTGGCGCACGGCGACGCCTACTGGACCGGCTCGCTGTGGAAGCTCTACCGCCGCCTCCTGACCTACCCCATGCCGACCGTCGCCTGGGTCGGCGGACACGCCTTTGCCGGCGGCCTCATGCTCGCCATGCACCACGACTACCGCGTCATGAACCCCAACCGCGGCTTCGCCTGCCTCAACGAGCTCGAGTTCGGCGCCCCGCTCAAGCCCGCCATGAGCGCCATCTTCCGCGTCAAGGTCCCCAGCCCCCACGTCTACCGCGAGATGGTCCTCGAGGCGAGGCGCTTCGGCGGCGCCGAGGCCGCGGCCAAGGGCATCGTGGATGTCGCCGGCGGGTGGGACGAGGTCGTCGCGCTGGTTAAAGACAGGGCGCTGACCACGAGGGGCAAGACCGGCGTGTACGGCCTGTTGAAGATGGAAATGTACCGCGAGTGTGTGGATCTGCTGGAGAATCATGGCCGGGAGGAGGCCAAGGATCGGGCTTGGGTTGCGGCTGAGGAGGCGAGGGTGAAGAAGGGAAAGGAGGAGGTGGAGGCGTGGGTGAGGGCGGCGGAGAAGGCGAAGCTGTAGGAGGGGTTGTTGTAGAGTATGAATGGTTCCATCTATAAGATGAAACTGAAGAAAGAGAGATAGAGGGATGCAAATCCATGTGGCAAGGAAGATTGGGACTAGATGAAGTATCAGAAGTCTTAATTGTTGCTACCTTGTACTCAATTCTTCGTCTACAAAATTACACACTGGTAGTCATCATCGCCCTTATACCCTTCCATCAGACAGACGTCACAGATAGCATTTCCTGGCGGTCTTTGTGGTTTGATGGAATTGCTGGTATCATTGGTATCAAATGTCGGTGGCTTTTCTTTTTTTGGGAGACCTTTTTGCCTGACCTGCTCATCAACTCCTGATTCCGTTGAGCTCTAGATAAACAAGAGCTGTACCGTCAAAAACCGTCCGTTCTGATGGAACGCCGCATGCGAGCACTGGAAAGGGAAAGAAAGAAAACATAAAAACAGCCCCTCCTGTGAAGAAGAGAATGACTCCCATGAGGTCCAAATCAATGCAAATCCGGCTCTGAACACCCCTTCCGGTTGTAATCCGACAAAACCATTCTCAATACGCCATTCTAGCTGTGACCAAGGCATAAAACTGACATAATAAAACAAAAAATGAAAAACTGATGGACCATGAGCGTCTTCTTGGTGCTTTGTCAGTCGCTGTTTTCACTCGCTCACCGACTCATCGTCCGACATGTCCATCTGTGCATCATAGACGAGGTTGCGCTGCGCAGCCGGCAGTCCCAGTTCAGCGCGAGTGTCCTGCTGGATCTTCAAGAAGTATCTACGCAGGCTGCGCAGGCCTTTCAAAAAACCTCGATCGGGCTCGTCAGGGTGCTGTGGTGGACAAGGCTTGTCGTGGGCCAGGTCCTGAGGCGTGAGACTGTTGGCGAAATCTGCAATCTTGAAGTCGATCTCGCCCTTGTTCTTCCGCTTGCGGACGTGATTCGCGTCCTCTGTATCCGTCGCAAAGTCCGTCGTCGAGTCCTCAATCGCAGTATCGTAATTATCTTGACCAGACTGGTCACCGTCATATGTGACAAGGAGACTGGCTGCGTAGAAACGGTAGCCGCGCAGTCTGCGCGCGATCACCTCCAGCTTGCTGAGCTTCTGAAGAATCGTGGGGATGTGCCGTAGGATGCTGGCACGGTCATTGCCGTCAAAGAGGAAGCGCGTAAGAGCCTCCTGGAACTCCTCACCGGCTTTCAGGCTGCGGCCGTAGTATTTGTCCCTGAAGACGTACTGTTCTGTCTTGGCATCCCAGACCTGCAGTCCGCAGACCCGCACGCCGAGCTCTCGAGACGTCGTCTGGGCACACTTGCGCTGCTGTGACTTCTGCTTCTTAAGGCTCGCCTCCACACCATACTGCCTCGTGCCCATCTTGAGATCCATGATGCAGGGCTTCTTCATGCCTGCAGTCAAGTCTTCTAGTAGTAGGAAGTAGGACACGCGCGAATCGCGCTGCGTCTGCGCCTCTTTCGGGTTGACCGGCCTGAGAATTCTCTTAAACTCACTTGTCGGGCTCGTTGCCAGTGATGGCGCAGTGGACGGGTACTTGGAGGGAGCTGCAGACAGCTCCACGTCCTTTGGCTCAGGGGCCCCATTGAAGCTCTGAGCGGGTGGGGCCTGGACTGTTGTCTCCTCCATTTGTGGCGCAGGCAGCTCGCTCACGTCCTCGTGGTCGCCCTTATAACCTGCTTCGTCGGGCTCCTCCCAGTAGCGCAGGTCACCCCGGGCGTCAGATACATCCTTAGGTCTCCTTCGCAGAGCGCTGCCCGAGTGTCGACGTTTCCTGCGCTGCGGCGTCATGACTTCGCTGAGAATGTCTGGCTCGGGAGCACTAGTACCCGTCACATCGTTCGGATCACCGCCACTAGTGTCACACGGCGCAGGTGACAGGCCCAGGTCGCTCTGGGTCTTCTGGTGGGCGCGCAGTTGCAGGGTGGGACTGACGCTTGGTTGAGACAGCTGACCTGGGCCGTGGTCTGCCCTGGACAGACTCGCGTCAGAGCTTGCGGGTCGCGCGAGCCGGTCGAGCGCCTTCCTTGGTAGAGTACGCTGGTACGCCCTCTTATGTCGCTGGACGTTGATGGGTTGCTTCAAAAAAGCATCACTGAACACCTCGTGGCGGAGCTTCTTGTTAACCACCGTCGTGCCCCAGCTATTAGCATGGCGATCTTCCAGGGTTGGTCGTGCGGGTACCTCGGACGAGTCTGACCCGTTGTTGGGCTGGTGTGAAGCCGGCAGGGACACTGATGAGCTGCGAACACGATCGAGATAGTACGCTGTCTTCACGGCCGGCTGCAGAAGACTTCGAGGTAAGATGTGTTGGTTGTCTAGGAATGTAACCGTAGGAACCGGCTCTGGAGCTGACTGCATGGACTGGCTGATCAGCCTTGGTTGCGCATTGGGCTGTGACAAAGTTTCGTTCTTGTCGGGCGTGGTCACATCCTGCGCTGGTGGGACATTTGTCTCTGTCGTTGGGCCTCCTTGTTCCGGCTGCTCCATCTTCTTGCGATCCGAGGGAGTATTTGTATCCTTCTTGACTGTGGACTTCCGGCGGGGCTGCTTGGAAAATGTGACGTTGAGAACACCAATGTATCTACGTGATAAAATCAGTATCATGCCGTCGTCCACTCAGGGTACCAATTTGTTCTCGTTCATTGCGGGCGATGAAAGAGAAAAGGGAGAGAAAGGGGAGAAAAAAAAAGGATAAAAAAGAAGGGAAGGGAGGAACTTCATACCTTGGTAAAAAGGGCAAAAGATCTCTATGATGCTTCTCAATCTGTTCATAGAACTCATTTTCCCGATTATTGAGCTGCTTGCATACAGCTCGTTTCGAGAATCTCCAGAGCGTCGTGTGGCCACCAACCTGATGTCGATAAGGAACAAGCTCTATGGCATCCAGTGGTTCATTCGTGCCCAGCTGATGGTCATGAACATGTCCTCCGTGACCCGGGGAGACTGTCTGTGAGAGCTGAGGTTGAGCTTCTCCTCGGGCAGTATCGTGTTCGATGGGAGCAGCAGGGGATGGTGCAGGTATCGGTTGGTGCTGTGACTCCACACTCATAAGGGGATGATGCCCGTGGGCCAGAGTCTGATCGTCGCCCTTGGTTGCTTGCTCTTCCCTCTGAGGCCCAGGAGGAGTCATCGGCCCATCAGCCTCGGGTTCATCAGCTTTGACGAGCCAAGACGACGGGTGATCACTCCTGGGCGGTTGTTTGGCAGGAGTATGAAAGTCTGCTTCCGACTCATCTGATTCCTCAGAGACGCCTTGCGGCCCTTTGTGGGGTACGAAGACGGCAGACGAGATCTTCTCCTCCCCTGACAATTCTCCATCTTCGACAGCCGCATCACTCATGCCCTCATGTCTACCCTCGTCCTGCTTGAGCCGGGTGGGGCTCTCGGTTCCTGGTGATCTTGGCGTCCGGGACTGCCTCTCGAAGGGAGCGGCAGCAGAAAGAAGAGGTGGAGGAGCAGGAGGAGGAGGAGAGGGAGGTGATTCATCACGTTTTCCATGTTCAACGCGTATTTGAAAGTAGTCCAGCGGTTCCTTACCCGCGTGTTGTTGTTGTTGCTGCTGCTGCTGCTGCTGCTGTTGTTGGGCCTCAATGGTTGCTGGAGAAAGTGGAAGAGTTCTCGTGCGCTTCAGACGTCCGGGGACCTCGCCCGCAGGGTGAGGCGAGGGCTGCAGGCTCTTGGTTTGATCATCACCGTGAGTAGGTTCATCATAAAAGACATCGCCTGTTGTCGAAAGCTTGTCTCTGGGTCCAAGCCGCGAATCTCTCCTCTTCAATTTCTCCTCTGGCAACCCTTCCTTGAAGAAACGTAGACTATGGCTTGCTTTACGACTGCGCGCGTTCGGCTCCACTCCTGCCAGGACCTCTGCAATCGCTTTCTCAACCTGGCCGTCCTGGGCATTGTTGAGATCCTCCGAACCAATAGACCACGCCTTCTCGGGTCCCATAGACAACCGGTGATCAGGCTTACGAGGCCGTGTCGGGGATCGTAAATCTGTCGCAGCAGCGGCGGCAACAGCAGTGCCTGGGTCGACTTTCCCATTGGTCTGGGTGACATCTCGTTCCAAAGCCATCGTCCCAACTGGAGGTTGTGCCGTCGACGGCGTATCAGAATATGTGCGATTGGCGAATGCGAGGGTCCTGAACTGCTGGACGTCCCTATCGATGCGTTCTAGAGAGACGCCCCGGTCGCCTGCAGCTGGTCGGAGACGTTGTTCCCTGTGGTTTCCAAGCCGTGGTGCGCCATCTCTGATATCTGATGTATCAATTGTACGAGACAATACAGTGTCGACGGTTCGGGAGGGGAGGGAGATGGTTGAGACGGCTGCGGTGGTAGCCATGGCGGTCGCTCGTGGAGAGGCTCTTGGTGTTAGAGAATCTCCATCTTCTTCGTCGTCTCCAAGTTGTTGGGCCGGGGGCTCGTCGGTGGTTTTCTGAGTCCTTGTTTCGCTGCTAGGGTCGGCCAAGTCTTGGTTCAAGCGGCTACCGGCCGAAGGGTCGGACGAGAGGTGTTGCTGTAGGCGATGGCTGGAATGAGGCAGATCGAGGGGCTGGCCAGTGACAGCAGCAGGAGGAGCAGGAGGAGGAGCGGGGATGCCACGAGCTTCTGCGAGTTGCTGGGTCAGCAGGGAGGGCCCATTGGGCCTTCTTGGAACGGCGGAGGCAGATGATGCAGAGGCAGAAGCAGTGATGGAAGCAGCAGGAGGAGAAGGTCCCCTGGGCCATTTATCATTGAGATCTGGTGTCACATAATTTTCGGTGCTAGGTACAGCAGGGGGGGTAGTAGTAACCAGGGTCGACTGTACTCCCGCCGCCCTGTCCTGCTGCTGTTCTCCAGACGCGGGCAGCTTCCCTCCGCCAGGGGCATCTTGAGGATCAGCCACGGGGACTGGTGCGCTGGCGGGCAGAGGCCCTTGTTCCTGACCAAGCACATGGTTATCCCCTTGCCCTGACACTGGAGCTGGTACCGGTGCAGGCTCCTCTGTGTTCTGAGGCGGGCTCACCGATACCGATAGTGCGGCATCTCCAAGCGTAGAGGGCGACATGTGGTGAACATTGGTTGCCGAGCGGGAGGAAGCTCGAGGTGGTGTGTGGGTGGGATGACTGGCATCCGCCGACGCGCCAGAGAGAGTCACTGCCCCAGTATGTTCTCGTCCTTGTCTTGTCCTGGCCTGAGCCGAGCCTTGGGGCTATTACGACGCCAGCCAAGGAGGATGGTTCGGAGGAGGGGGGGGGGGGGGGAGGAAGAGAAGGACGATACACGGCACCCAAAAACCTTTCGTGGTGTGTATTAGGTACGACACGACTAGCACTACGCTGGTGAGTAGATCATGTTCCTCAATCGCTCTTGTACCTTGTTCGACGATTGGAAGGGAAGACGGGGGGTGGGTGACAAAACGGAGAAGTTTGCGTATGTCGTTGTTGCGAGAGTCGGTGTGTGCGGGACAGGGTGCATGCAGTCAGAAGAAATGGTAGAGGGGGTGGCAGTGGAAAATCGATGTTTCGTCTAGCCCCGTGCCCGGACTGGCAGGCTAGGAGGCAAAGTGTACTACCGTGCTACGGTAATGATGAGATAAGAAAGAAACCACGATTGACCTGTTCTTTGATATTTGTGCAGGGATGTCTGTCCCACCTCCACTACGGATATCCATCGGGCGCCAAAAGTGGAGGGGGCTGCTGGAAGGGCCGCTGAGAGCCGCTACCCGAGGGCCAATGTAGGGCACCTGGATGGTACCTGTGCCACTGTGGGCAGCGAGCTGACAGTGCCCGTCACTGCCAAGTTCCTTTCCCCGTCTCCCCGGCAGTGGCGTCTGGGCTGCCCTTTGAACAGGGCCCAACCAGAATGGTCCAGCCCCCTAATTCCTATTGTAAACACCCTAAACTCTACTCGCCTGCTACCGGAAACAGCAGCATATTGATCACAACGATCACTCACTGGGGCCCACGTGGGCATGGTGGGTGGTGGGTTCTAGAGTGTCCATCTGTGAAGGTTCGTCAGCCCTACTCTTCTCGTCATCCTTGCCTTTTCAACCAATTCCACTTCACCCTGCAGGTTGAGAAGTTCAACTTCTCCCATCTCATTGCCTCAAAGAAGAGGGAGGTTTTCATATGATCGTTCTATTGATGATGATGATGATCCTCCTGCTCCTCCACACTCTTCTCTTGAGCTTCGAGCAGCCTCCAGTGATCAGTCGGCTCTGGTGTACTGTGTACTGAATGAAGCACCCGCGCAGCCCTCGCACAAGCCTTTGCGCATGGCCATACTGCGACGAAATGATGACGATCTTCGACGCCATCACGGCACTACGCCCAGACGGCCAAAACGCTATTGTGTCGCACAGAGACCCAATTTTCTGTCTCTGGTCTTGGCTAGGTTTCTGTATGGGTCACCATGTCAAGAAGCTTTGGCCAACGCTCATCTGCGAGAGACGTCGTCGGCCCATGACCACCACGTTCTGCCAGCTTCGTCTCTGACAGGCTCAGGATATCTCAACACTGTCTCGCGGACCCCATTCAACCCTGGCTGTTGGCTGAGTCTCGGCTCCCTGGCGGATGTGTTGTTTCTTCTGTACAACAACAACAACAACATCAACAACAATAACCACAAGAAAACGCATGCGTCAGACTCTGGCCAGGGGTCTTGCCTCGTCGTGTTAATGTACTGCCAGTTGGAGGATGGCGGGCCACTCACGGACCGTCTCATTTCTGATCTGTCACTTCTCTTCTCTCGTCAAACATGATCTTCCGGGTCCAACGACCAAAGGCGTGGCATGTACGCCCGAGTTTTCGCCAGGGGTCTGTCTCCCTATCTAATCGATGAGACCCATGCATTCCTAGAAGCCGAGAAGTATTCTCCAATCATTCAACAACGTGCTTCTCACGCCTGCACATATTTCATTGTATAGCCATTGACGCTCTGCAGTACGTGGGCGTCGCATCAACCTTCGATCGGTCCTCAAATTTCGGTCAGACCTTACTACGTTCCTCACTGTCGCCAAGTTGTCACGAAAAACACCGGAACCCCTCCGACCTTCATTCTAGATGAACAGAACCCGTGGAAAGGCTCTCCCTACTCACAGTGATAGTGTCATTAGCATGTGACTCTGGGACACTCATGAGAGAATTGGGAAGATTGACTGTTCACCTTCAGTGCTGCCGTGGAAACCTGCTTACATGGCCATGGTCCCCACGCAAGGGGCTTTTGGACAACGGCGTAACGGGCTCCTGCAGGCCTCTTTTCTCCGAACGCGAGGATAGAGACAACTTGACTCTGTTTCTGCCTCCTTCTGGAAGCTGCGTAAGCCGAGCCGTTGGTCTGTGATTACTTGCAAGTTGCAGCCCTGCTTCTGGTATGGGCAAGATTGCCCAGCGCACTTGGCCCAATCCGAGTCGGCTGTCCTGCACACCATTCAATTATCCTCATACTGGTATTTCGAGGCCACCACGCAATCTCGCCCCCACACACAAGATGTCACAAACCGCGCGGGATGATAGACATGATTGCAAGTCGATTCTGTCATGCCACAGATGCAAGGCGTTATTTGAACTGGCAACTTCATTGGTGCCGCGCTCCTGCGGATGGAAGGATGACAGCATAAGTGTCCCATAAGCCTCGTAGAGAAACTCCCCCCCCCCCCCGCGGGTGATCAGTACACCTGGCACTACAAGAATCCCCAGCTTAGGAGCAAATTGTAACGCAGCTCTTGATGCCATTCTGAGCGGTGTCATATAGCACGTGGGGAATTGAGTTGACCACGACTTCTTCACGGCGCTTTTTGGCTCACTTGAAGACGCCCTACTATTCGATGGCTGACTTGGCAATAGAGACGTACAACACGCACAAGTCCATAAGTTTTGGGAGAGATACCAAGACCTTGACTTGAACCTCTCGGACCGAAACCCGAACCAGCAGCGCTCTTGATGCCGCTAAGAGAGAGACTTTTCCCCCAGCAACTTCCTCGTCCCATGGCCCGCCATTTTCCCAACGGTCCCTATCCTGTCCTGCCAGAAACATCGACACAGATCTCACGAAAGGACCATGTGTTGTGAGAATTGCCATCCACGAAACTCAAGCCTCTTCCCACACAAGAAAGCCACCTATCATACTAGATGGCTGGTGCATGGGGAAGCCTCACCGCCTCATGCTCAGCAGGCTTTATTTTCTCGGTGCCGAGAGGTCCCTGCATAGCGACAAGCTGTGAATAATTCGTGTTACTTGCTGTGTCACTTGTGGTACCTGCTGGGGCTGCTTGCCTAATAGGTGATGATGCAATGTCACCCGTGAAAGGCTTTTGTGAACAGATTTCCGAGAGAGCGGCAGGCCTGGCTGGCCGGCCTCTCGGGGAAGGACGGTTCTATGGGAATTTCCTCTCTGAGCCGTGCTCAGCTGTGGTGCATAAGCTACTCTGTAACTTGTTTTCTCTGTCTCTCTCTCTCTCGCGCGCGCGCGCTCAACAGAATATAGTATACCAGGACATTTACTGGCTAGAGGGCCCTTGCCACCTTTTCCGAGCCCACCCCCGCAGGACATCTGTGGCCTGTTCCTGCATGCCATCAGCTTATTCTAGTGATCATAAATCATAGGTTTAGGCTGCACCCTGTGCCCGCCCCTCTTGGCGTAGGGTGGACGTCGGTGTCTGACCGCCATGTATTCCTACCCAAACAAGAGAGGTTCAAAGACAAAACTATTTCCTTGTTCTGTCTCGCCACGGCCGACTTTTAGTCAGGGGTAAGTGTGGGGGGTAATTAAGAAAATGCAACTCTGCCACAAGTTGGTGTTGCCCATATTCCTTTTGCCATGTATTGTAAGCTGGATGTGTGAGCAAAGTTACAAAACCCAAAGGGATGACGGGAAAAGTCGCTGTGTATGGCTCTTTCATTGACCCCGTGCGCCTCTACTAAAGCCTAGGGGACACGTGCTGATGCTATTGGATCTCATGTTGGGGGAAGAAAAGAGTGACAGACAAGAAAGAAGAGAAAAGAAGGAAAGAAATTTTCGGGGCGAAGAAAGGAAACAAAAAAGGGGGGGGGGGGTGTTCGGACCGTGAGTGTCTCACTTCGCTAGGGTTTTGGTCCTCACATTACATGTTGTGTGGTACAGCTGTTTGCGTCGTCTGCGCATCATGTCAGAATACGACGCGAGGAATTTGGAAGGAGAGAGGCGATGATCGGCGTTCGTTCCTAGTCGCGTTGCCCTGCCATCGCTTTGAGCTCGATGCTGAAACAGATCACAGACTACTTTGAGACAGCACGCACAAAGCTCAATATCGAAGTGAAGAATCTGTCGCATCTGTGTGTATTTCGCCTTCAAACGGAGCTCTCAGTCAGGTAGACGGTGGGAATTTGTACTAGTTCGATATAAAGATCTCCTCTCTAGACGGGATTTCAGCCATACAGCCCCCCGACTTCATACGCGAGGCGCCTGCCGGGACTATACATGACAACCCTCAAGAAAGTCCGACTGGCACCCGTTCATCATCACAATACTTCAATTTGAATCCGCCCAAACGTTGATGTTCATGGCTAACATAGGGTCTCCAATATTATCAACCCGGCCTTTGGCAGTCTGAGAATGTGACGGAACCTGGTCCTTCTGATCTGTGTCAATGTCCATGCTCGTATTGACGCCCCAGGTATTGTCCAGAAAATCATCAATGTTGTCGAGAACAGCGCTCACGTCGTCTGTAGGCTCGATATTCTCCAGCCTCTCGCACAGACTTTGACCCATGGGGTAGCAGCGGTTCTTATCCGCTGGTGAACCAATCTGCTGGACAATGTTGCGGTCGGGAACCTCTGCCAACTCCGGAACATCCTTTCTTGTCTGCGAAGCCTCGATAAAGGCCTCCGCCATGGCAGCTGCCTCTTGACTGTCGCTTGTCTGTTGAGAATCAGAAGGCAGAAGTCTCAGTGATCTCCGTGGAGGCTGCTTCTTCCGTTTCGACATGACTGCAAAGTGCTTGGAGAACTTGTGGTCATGATCTGGAAAGTCATCGGCCTCAGTGATGTTGAGGTTGGACGGGGGCGGAGAGGCAGCTCTACTTGTCGGTTTGGTCACGCGAATAGAAGCTGTCTTCTTGCCCCTTGCATCAAAGTAGGAGACATCTTCCACGCAAATCTCGCTGTCCTCTTTCGAAGTAACCTCCTTGGGGCTGCTCTCGCCAGGCAATGGAGCAAATGTTACGCGGCGTTTTGCCTTTGGCGCTGTTGGTGCTTCGAAAAGCAAGCGAGAGCAGGAAGCCGGGCCCCGGAGGATGCTTGCTTTTGCTGACGTCCGCGTTTTGACTGGGGAAAGCTCCATAAAATCCGAGAATTTCTTTACAGACAATGAAAAGTCAGGGCTGGGGAGTTTGTCGCCTAACCACGGCGTCTGAGGTGCGGCGGAAATTGCAAGCACTTTCCCGGCGAGCACGCTCAACCTTGACGTACCCTCGTTAAGGGTCGACTCATTGTCCAGCGTGTCTGGCATGGGCATGTCTTCCTTGGCCTGAGCCCAGAAATTCGGGGGTTTTCGAGACTCCATATCGAGCGCATTTCCGTCAAAGGTGGCCAGATTATCCGGAGGAGCAGTCGTAGTCCCTAGGATAAGATTCCCATCCATTTGCCATGGACTTTGAAGCTGTTGCGGCTCGATGCTGGCCGAGGTCATATCGACAACGCGAGGAAGCGCTGCGCCCACACCATTCTCTGGGTACATTGCAACCTTCAAGATGTTGCTCGTCTCTTTTGACCAGGGACTTTGGCCCTTCATCGGGTCAAGACTGGCTGTCGTACCATCCAGGTTCATCAGCGAGCTGTCACCTGCTCCTTGTGGCTGTGACGTGGCTTGACTGGGATACTCGATTTGAGGAACGGAGGCGGGAGAACTTGGTGGATCGTCTGTCAAGTGCTCGGCCAACACAACGTTTTGTTGCTCTCGGCTTTCTGCAACTGGCTGTGCTGTTTCCTCATCGCATGATATGGCCATCGTGTCAGTGATTCGACCTTCGACCAGGTCGTGACGTGCTTGCTCTTCAACGATTTCTTCGACAGGAGGCTCTTGGTCCGTACACACGACGATAGTGTCTCCCACATTAGCTTCTGAAGGCTTTGTGTCCAGCATGGTAGCAGGATTTTCCAACACAGGGCCCACAGTAACATCTCCCATCTCGTCGGCATTGGTCTGTAAGGAAGCGCTCATATATGTTGACCACTCCGAAATAGACTCGACTTCTTGTGCCTGCTCCTGACTCATATTCTCGCGCCCCGCGGCAGATGTGATTGTCAAATCCTGTGTGTTGATGAATGTAGTCCAATCAGGATCCTTCGTATCGTCCGGGCCTTGCAAGACCACAACGACCTTATCATTAGTTGAGCGGTTTGAGAGCGGCTGTTCGGGGAGAGCGGACAGGTCTTGCGTGTTGATGTAGGTTGACCACTCTCTATTGGACGCCTCGTCGGCATCACTGCTTGTGGACAGCGTCCTTATGGATTTAGCAGATAAGTTCTGGGGATTGTCAGAGGTCGACCACTCCGAATCCGAGCCATCGGAGATCCTGCGCGGGTTGGAATGAGGAGCAGTGCCTTCGACAGGAGCGTTGGGCCAGACGCTACTAGCATGGGCATTCTTCCCACAAATCGATATCGGGGAAAGCTCCTGAGTGCACACAAAGGCCGGTTCTTCGACTTTAGACTTAATGCAACTCTCATCGGTTCCCACAGCTTCCTGTCGCATAGCCTCAGAGTCCTCGTTCTCTCGATCTTGCACTACTGGGTCTTTTTCACCAAGGACTGGTGGCATCCTTTCTGCTGCTGCTTCTTTTTCGATGGACATGTCGGCGACAGCCACTGCTCCAGCTTGGTCAACCATTTTGGAATTCTCCACCGTCTCGGATGTTGTGGCTTGTTGACTACACGTGTCGAGGAGCGGCTGGTTGTCCAGATGGGATGGAACAGAGTCGAGGTCTTCCTTGGCGTGATCGTTTCGACGATCTGTACTCGGCGGACACTTCGTCTGTGCTACAGTAGTTTGAACACGCAGTGGTCGTTGATTCAGGCCGGCCGCGCCCGTCTCGCTCACTCGTGGGTGCTGTTTGTCCGATTGCTGCACCGGACTTGTTGGCCTCGCATGGTGAAAGTGGAAGCTATCATCTTGCTGGCTCGAGACCGTGAGCTTCCTTGCTGCGTCCTTCGCAAGCCTCCTTGCCCGCTGCAGGCCTAGTCGTTGACCTGGTGATGAAGGTTGTGAGTTCTGGACATGCTCTGCTCGTGTCTTGCCTCCAGTGATATCCTTGTGGATGGAGCTGGACAGGACCCGACCGAACGGTTTCTGCTTGCTGCTTGGGGATCGGCAAGTTGACCCCCGGCCCCTCTCAGCAGAGTGCTGTGAAGTCTTTCGAGATGGCGTAGTAGATGGCATGGACAATTCGTCCTCGGACATGTCAGGATCAAGACAGTGGAGTCGCCACCTCGAGGATGGAGAACCTCGCGCTGGCCGTGAAAAGACCGGAGTTCCAGTGGTTCCATATGCTAGTCGAGGAGCGTCAAAGCTGGACACCTGGGTAACCCTAGGGGCGGCAAGCTCGTCAAGCTCGTTCTCACATGTCAATGGGCCTGGCGCAGATTGTGTCGTTAACCCGGAGTTTTGGTTGGTCAATATTCTCCTCGCCCTTGCTGTTGTTTGACTGGGTGACTCCTCAGGCGACCTTGTCGGGAGTTCAGGCCTGCACCTCTTATAAGATCGCTTCTGGAGCAAGTCCTTGTCCGCCATCCGCTTCCTCGTCTTAGAAGGCCCGTGCCCTCTTTCACGGCTGCTAGGTGCCCAGAACGGATCGCTGGGGAGGGGTACGCTCTTGACAGACTCCCTCCAACTCTTGATGCGACTGTAATCATCCTCATCTATGAATGAGCTCTTCCTCGCTGACGGCGGGTTGGTGGCCTCTGGACTAGGCAGCGGGTACAGACTCGTTCCCTGTGTGTCGGGTAGGTCATCGCTGCTGAGCTGGCCTGAGCCGCGAGTTCTCGCTGCCTCTACTCTTGTCTGTGAGCGGCCATTTCGACTTGCTCGACGGGGAGCAGCCTGACGCTGGGCGCGAGAAGATTTCCACGGGTTCTGCCATGACTTGGCGTCGAAGGGGCCTCGTAGTCTGGCAGATAGCAAGTACGGGACCTCGCCGTTCAGAAACTGGAGAGCCTTGGCCTCGATGCGTATACGGCGATGCTCAGAAGCCTCATAATAGTCGTCGTCGGAACCTGAAAGTACGGTGCCATCGTCGTGCTGAGCCTCGCAGTAAAGAGGCTCGTCGCCGAGCTGGTGGAGGTTGTGTGGTCGCATCTTGCTTGACCTCAGGCTGCGATCATGTGCTGTTGCGTGGGTCCCGGGGGGGCACCGCAACAGATGAAGTTGTTGACGGTACCCAGATGGCCTGAGATCGGGCGACTGCTGTGAATGAAGGCTTTGTTTAGTGTGATTAGGGGTTGGTGGACGTTTGGAAGGAGAAGCTCGAAATGAAAGAAGCTGTATCCACTTAAAACGCGGTTGGCACAGAGACGCGCTTACCACTTTACGCCAAATTGACGCGAGGGAGCAGCAGGGATGTCCCCGCTCTCTGCGCAGAGTGCCTTTCCCCGCCTCGCAACCTTTTCCTTTCTGTCAGGTCACTTCATCCGGGGAGGCTTTACTTGGCCTCATCCATGCAAAGATCTGATTGATGATTAGCAACAGGGAAAGCCAATTTTACTTGCTCTTTCACAGTAGCCACGCCTTTATTGATTCATAATTGTACACCTCGATACTATGCTTACATAGTACAATGATGGCAGTACATCGTACACTGTATACTGTACAGTGTTTTGTACAGTAGGGTTTGAAGGAAAGCTCTAGCGTCTGTGTGAAGTTGTTTCCCTGCCAACCATTTCCTTCCCAGAGAACCATGATCCAATCACAGGCTATAGCAAGGGTTCGACTTGCCGCCATGTTGTGTTATGCCACCCAACCTGCTTGTCTGACCGCAGTACAGTACAGCCACTCACCCAGGCTGAGGTGCCCAACCCCCCCCGGTCCCCTCGTCCAACGATTCCCTGCTGCAAAACCTCGAAAGCCAGCACTTCGTCTCAAAGTATGAGGAGTCGAGACTTCTTTTTGACTTCAAAGGCCTAGACCACTTACACTCGATTGTTTCGTTCTATCTATTCGTTTAGTCATTTTTCCTCCTTCGCTTCTCGGCATTTGAAGAGGATCACCCTCTGTATCTTTCTCGTCTCGACTTGACAGCTGCAAGACGACGCCGACTTTTCACCTCAATCCTGTCGATTTACCTCGTTTCATCGCTGGGATCGCGCAAGGCGAGCCCACAAATATCCTATCACCCCAGCCCTGCCCTGCCCAGCCCTGTCTCAACCAGCCCACCTCAAATCTGCAGGGAGCTGGACGGATCGCACCGACCTTGTACTGTATTTGTACATATTGAGTGTCCGGCATTGGCGCGCTCCATCTCCCTGTCCAGTCCACTCCGTACTGCAGAGACCGGCCATCGCATTGCATCATTTTGCGACTTGCGCCTCAGAGGGCGCCCTCTCCCTCCGACTTGCGCATTGTCAACAGCACTTTAACATCATCGACAGCAGCCTCAACTTTCATGGATACGAGCTGAATCACCGTGCTGCGTCAGCCGCGTCAACTGCGTCCTGGCCATGTCTCACGCCTGGCTCGACGACCTCTCTGAGGACTGGCCTTCGCAGCCAGCATCACCAGAGAGATCCAAAACTTCGACGAGAAACGGCACAGCGACATCCAGCTTCAGGTCTCCTGGGACTAAGATTCCTCAACCGCTCAGCAGCCAGGCCGCCGAGAGAAAGTTCGCCCACACGTCCGCACAGAACAGTAGTGTGGTTCTCAACGAGCGAACCCCCAGCGACATCAACATCCCCGTCTCCTCCGTCAACAGGAACACGCCCTCGAAACTCTCTCGTGAGATCAGGCAGCCTTCCTGGCGCGGCCACCGCGCAACCAAGTCCGATTTCGAATCGCCCGCCGGCTCCGTCGTACACAACACCGTGCAGCACAGGTCCAGCAGCTCATCGCCGGGCAAGGACAAAGGCAATACACCAGAATGGAGGCGCAGACTAATTCATGGCGATTTCGCCTATGGCGAGCAGCGGGACCTGTTTACATCTGCAGCCAACGGCCTGGAGGGAATGTTCAAGCCACCCGTGCCGAGCGCACCAAGCCGAGCTTCTTTTGCGCAGCCAGCAGCTGGCGCCGACGAAGACGATGACGACGGCCGGCCGCCTCGAAGTGGAATAACCATTCCTTCCAGCCCGCCTGCGCCCGCCCAAAAGTATACCGGTGACGAGAGCTACAGCGATCAATCCACCGATGAGGAACTACCCGTGCAAGAGCAGCCTAGTCAGCCCCGAAGTCAACAAATTAGATACAGGTTAAACGACGAAGCCTCGGTGGACTTTAGCCAGAACAGTGTCATGTCCAGCCCCCCGCGATATTCCCCCGGCCGATCAAGCCAGCTGTCGCCCTTCTCCAGGCCCCTGCAGGTGCCGGACAATGGGTCACGGAGGGTTAGCAATCAGAGTGCAGCCCAGCACGAGGACTTCAGCCCTATCCTGATCGCCAAAAAAAGCAGTGACGACGGGAAAATTGACTTTGAACCGGTGGGCTTCTCTCCATCAGAACTACAGCAGCGTCTGGAGAAATTACGAGTCAGGCCTTCGGTCAGCGATTCAGAAGAGGACAGCTCGCAGGTTGTGAGAAGATCCCGCAACTCAGATGCCGCAGAGGACTCCAAAGAGCTCAACAGCTTCGTCAATGCTCGTGGAGGAGGTCCCTCTGACGAGTACTCTTTCCTGCATCACCCAGTCCCGTCAGGGTTTCGAAACGTATCAGACATGTTTCCAGAATCCTCTCTGCAGGCGAGCACGCCGAAACAATTTCCGAGCATACGCATACATGAGCCAGACAGCTTTCATTTGCAGGCTCAGACCCCATCTGTTCCCGCGGCTCCGTTTCCGAGCCCGGAGAAGAAGGCGCTTCAGGCTGCCGTCGCGAGTAGCAGTCCGCTGAAATTATTTGGGCCGTACGATACGTTTACCAATAAGACGTTTCAGGCACGAATCGAACAAATTGAGAAACGAAACGCTTCGCCTGGCTCGGAGCATGATAACCTGGACGACGAGCGAAAAGTATCGGTGGATATGTTGAGGCACATGGTCCAGCCAGCCTCTCGTCCATCTACGGCGACGTCTAGGGCAGCCCTGCGAGCCAAAGAGCCTCTTAAACAACCTACTCGGTCCTTCAGTCAATTTGGTGCGGGAGAGTTGGATGGTTATGCGTTCAAGGAGGATTTCACCCGGCTCTCGAACGACTCGGGAGACGGATCAATTGTACACCATTCAGTCTCGTTCGAACCTCCGACCAACTTCTCACCGCCGCCCGCCAATAATATTGTGATTGGCAAGCGCCGTCAGAAGTCAGAGTCTACGCCTTCGACACAGGGCACGACTACCTCGCGGGAGTTCGGTGGACGGCCAATGCAAACACTCCCCACACCTAGCCCAGGAGATCTGGCTGCGGAAATCAAGAGACACCGGACTTCGCCCACGAAGAACCCAACACCGAAACGCAGAAGAACCCTTCACCAGTCCGACATAGCGTTTGGCGTTGAAAACGACCTGTTGTTGGAGCCACCGTATGACACCATGCCCACGCAGCTTCTGGTTGGCAAGCGACGCAAGGATGCAGGCGCCGGCGACAAGCAACGAAAAGCCAATGGCAATCTTCTAGCATCTCGACAGCTACCACGTCCACGGACGCCAACTCCGAGTCAGCCATCATCTCTCCGACGAGAAGTCCACCGCAGCCCGGATAGCTTCCTAGAGCAAGAAATCGCCAAATTGCCGCGCAAACCTCAGACCCAAGTGGCGTCTACTGACGAGAGGAAGCCTTCCATTAGAACCGAAGACTATCTCAATGCAGCACATCGAATCATGGCAGCCCTCAGGCGCAAAACCGGTCTACCGAGTGGTTCCGCAAGCTTGGAAGAATCTGAAGAGGAATTTCACAGGAACTTTAGCAACTACACTGTCGATAATGCTTCGATTCAAGATTCGACCCGAGAGAAATTGTCGCGGCCGCCTAGTCGAGAGGGACAGCCAATTCCAAGGGCAGCTAAGAGACAAGAAGACCCCATCTTGGTGAATCATCTCAAGCAATATGAGGAGCATAGCGATATGGACGATATTATCGCCGCCTCCTTGCGCTCGCTCGGTGTTTCCAAGGAGGACATCAAGGCCGTCAAGGCCTTGGAGGAGGAATCTCGTGGCTCCAGGTCCGAGAATTCAGACCTCGGAATGCTGGAAGACAGCGTGGTCGTCAGCCACCCGCCATTCCTCCCGTTCTCGAGGAACACCAACCGATATGAGAACTCGACAGCCGCAGAACAAGTGGAACGCTTCCGCGGCCGGTTTCCCTCCAACACGTCTGGATCGGAGTCTGGATACTCGACAGTCCGGACGGGCTCGTCGCGGAACTCGGATACCAGAAGGACGATTGCTCCCGAGAGTGTGTCCCATCTTATCCCTGACCAGGTCGGCAGCATGGTCCTTGATAAGGAGCGCAATGTATGGGTCAAGGCCAGAGTTCCACAGGCAACACGCCACAGGCGCAGCAGCACATTGTTGTCGGAAAACAGTGACGACGACCCATTTGCCGACATTCCTGACCTGACTGTGGATGTATCCAAAGAGCTGCAAAATTTGAGGGACAGAATGGCGCAGGGCGCAGCAAACGCGCGAGCCACCGAAGCTGAAATGGCCGCCAAAGGTCAAGGCAGGCTCGATCAGAGTGGCATTTTGAAGCCGATACTGGTGAGAGATTCTGGAGATAGACTGGGCAAGAACAGCACGTCAAGAACGCCCAGCAGGCTGATTGACCAGTTCGTTGAGACTGATGACGAGGACGTGGAGAAAGAAATCACCATACACAACGATCGTCTTGATGAGGCCTCGCCAAAGCGGCGACCACAGGTCAATTTCTCGTCACCCGTGTCCATCGTCATACAGGATGCACACGCCAGCGGCGGGATGTCTGACGACCAGGACGCCAGCGTTGTTGAACCCATCATGTTGAATTTGTCCCAACCTAAGGCGCGAAATGGTGGGCGGAACGTCTCGTTCCAGTCGATCAATAACAGCAGCAACAGCAATGAGAACATTGCACGGCCACGAAGCTCCTCCAGCGCACCATCGCGACACATGCCGGTCCAAGGAGAGAATTTTGTGCCCCAACCGGTCTCTGTTATTGAAGAACAGGATGAAGATAGCCAGGGCGGAAAGGCTGGCGGCAGCAGGGAGCTCAGCATTGTCCTTGAACAAAGTCTTGCGGACCCGAAGTTGCCAAACCCTAAGCCTCGTCAGACCAGTCTGAGCATCTTGGTGACAACTCCAGCTCGGCCACAAGCACAGCCTCGACCAGAGAACGCAGAGATCATCGGCCATTATGTCGGGGATCTTTCGCTGACTCCTTTACCCGACTTCACAGCCCATCAAGACCAATCGTATGCCTTGGAAGTAAGCTACGTACTTGGTGACCACAACCTCGTCACCGGTGATGGGTCGAAACAGCACATGTCTCAAGCCGTTCGCCATCTGGTTGATAAGATTGCAGAGGTCGAAGCCTTCGAGCCTTTCTGGGAAGACATGAAGGAGATCGAACTCCGAGACAAGAACCTAGACAGCCTGCACATGCTCGATCGGTTCTGTGGGCGACTTGTGAGAGTGGATGCTTCTCAGAATTCGATCCGGGCTCTGGATGGCATCCCGTCAAGTGTCCGTGAGCTGAAGGTCTCTCACAACATGCTGAGCGACCTGTCTGCGTGGGACCGTCTCGCAAACCTGCAATACGTCGACATTTCAGGCAACAAAATCAGAAGCCTCTCTTCCTTCCGAAATCTGGTGCACCTGCGGGATCTAATTGCAGACAATACTGGCTTGGCCAACTTGGACGGCATCAAGTACCACGAGGCCCTGCTGACCATCCGAGCCAGAGGCAACGACATTGAAGAAGTTGACTTTGACGGCACATGCTTACAGAGACTCGCGAGTCTTGACCTCGAGGGCAACAAGATTCGGCAAGTTGAGAACTTGCACGAGCTCTCGTCACTGTCCTATCTCAACTTGAGGGGCAACCAGATGGTCGAATTTGCTCCCAAGGAGAACACGCCTCTGAAGCATCTCGTGATCAGTGACAACAAGCTGCGCAGCCTCGACGTGACTGCGATGGCAAGCCTTCATACGGTCTATGCGGATCGCAACAAGCTGACAACCGTGCATGGTCTACGCCACACACGGCATTTGGACACCCTGTCACTTCGAGAGCAGGGCGGATCCAGACCATTTGACATGGCCACGCTCGCTCGGGCGTATGAAGTGCGGAAACTGTTCCTCTCTGGTAATCGCCTCGGACTGTTCAGTCCACCTCGCAATTTCTTGAACCTTCAGCTTCTGGATCTGGCGAACTGCGGCCTCCAGCGACTACCCGATGATCTGGGCCAAATGATGCCCAACCTGCGGGTATTGAACCTCAACTTCAATGGCTTCTCGGACATCAGCGGCATCCTGGGGATCCCGAGGTTGAAGCGTCTCTTCCTCGCAGGGAATCGATTTGCAGACCTGAAATCCCTCCTCAAGATACTTGCCGAGTTCCCCTCGCTGGCGGAGGTCGATCTTCGGGACACCTTCCTCACACAGGGCTTCTACCCAACGGTGCAAATGGTAATTCACAGGAATGGGAATACCTGTCAGCCAGCCATCGATCCGTTCAGACTGCCCGACGCAGATGCGGGGCGTGATGCCAAATTCTGTTGCCTTCTTGATATGGACACGAGGATTCAACGCCGCACCTATGAGCGGAAGATGGTCAAGGCTTGTGCACAACTCCAAAAATTGGACGGTCTGTCGGTAGACAAGAGGGTCAGGCATGTCAAGGACATCGTATGGAGGACGATGGTTGAGAGGGGCCTGCTGTTGAGGCCGGATGGTTCACCATTTGACCTGTCGATGTTCGCATTGGACGAAGGACCGTCGTCATCATACATTGCTGACGTGGACTCGGAGAAAAGCAGCAACACCCTTAAGGGGAGGCGAGAAGGGTGACCTCACGAGAGTTCCCGCTGGAAAGCCGAAGACAGCTTCGCATGAGAAGTCGGCAACGAGAGGCGAGTGTGTACGAGAATCTATTACGTTACGGGCGTTTTGGGCATTGGAAAACAGGCGCAAAAGGAGAAACATCATGTCAGCAAGGACCTTTTATCTTTTCTTTCTTTCTTTCTGCATTAGTGTTTTCAACGGCAACGATAGGTCTACTTGGTTTTAATCTGTATAATAGCTGGACCCCTGCGCAGAGACGGGGAGGGCGGAACGGAATCAAGATACCAGGTGTGGAAAGGGTTGATGATAATGAAGATGGAGCGACTTATCAGAGTCGTAGTTTTTCTATCGACAGCGTTTCCATCCAGCCTTACATTGTAAGCATGTTTCAACATAATCTACCCAGCGCAAAGCTGATCGATACGAGGTCTCTTGTCTTGCTGCATCTTTTGCTACCCACCTAGGAACGCGCGCAATACATGAGGACTATCCACATCCCAGCCTTTCTATTTTCTGAATCTGTTGTCTGAGAGCGCTTCACAACACGAGGATGCACAATGATGACTCGAACACAAGCAGGGTACTCCGACTCCGTCCGGGCTTCGCCGCAGCTTAACTTTAGCACTTTTGTAACTAAGCCACAAAAGATACATACATACGAAAGCAACGTGCCAACAATAACAACGACGACGCGCTCCGGGCGCGCGGGAAAAGCGGAGGAGGGAAAGAAAAGAAAAAGGGAAAGCTAAACAAGCCAACAACAACAAAGAACGCCTTCGGGAGCCTGGTTCAAAACATTGAAAGGTACGCGATGTATCCCCATCGCACACCCTTTGCGTGACCACATGAACCAACACCCCGCCCTTTTCCCCCGGTGTGTATCATCTGTGCAGCTGGTCTGGCTGGCCTGTATGCCGCCACTTCCCTCCAATGGTGGAGGAGGAGGAGCAAGAGGGAGGAGGAGGCCTGCCAGACAGGGAGTAGAGCAAATACGAAAGCACGCTCCTCCGCCCCGGCGAGAAGACCACTCGCCTTTCTTGGTTGTGTTCAAGGATGTTGATCCGGCGGACGGGGAGCGGCTGCGTGTCTCAGACCTTTTTTATTTATTTAACCTATTTCCTTCTTCGATCTTCGTGAGCGTGGGGGTAGGTGTTGTTGGAGAAGAAAGAAGCAGGAAGAGGAGGAAGAGAGGAGAAGAGGGGGGCAAACTTGTCGTGTTCTTTTTTTCTTTTGGTGAAAAAGGAGACCTTTCGGGTATCATGCAGACACTCAAGCACACCAACACACCCACACGACAAGTGCCGATAACGACACTCGGCTGTAGATCATCAAGCCTCGAAGGAGCTGCAGATCTGCTACATACACAAGATAGACGAAGGGAGATAGACCCATAGAGGGACACAGAGAGAGAGAGAAGCCCACCGGATCGTGTTTTCCCGACAGTGCCGGGCGTGGGCGCAGCCACGAGGACCCTGAGCATTCGTATCGCCCTGCTACTGCAGCTGCAGCAACTTTTGACGCGCACGAAAGATCGTCGTGTGGGCGTGATCGTCTTGGTGGTGTAGGGGACGCGACGAGCCGTGTGTGTGTATGTGTGTGTGTGTGTGTGTGCGCGCGCGTGTGTGTGTTACCAGCCACATACCACTAAAGCACCACCACTATCATCAATGCCATCATCATCATCGCCGCCGCCTTTGCCGCCACAACGACCCAGAGAGAGGACGAGACAAGTGTGAGATATCTTACAAATCAACTGATAAGTAGCTCGTGCGAGGCAAGATCACAGAATGTAGTCAAAAGTCGAAAAGGAAAGGCAACTTCAGTACTGCTGATGATGCTGCTGCTGACCAGTCAACGGGTGGTCAGGGAAACAAGTATCAATACTACCGCCACTCGAGGTACGTATTCGTCATGAACAAAACACACACACACACACTCACACACACACTCACACTCACACCCGAGAGAAATAGACAGAGACAAGAGTAGAGAGAGGGCCGCGTAAGGCGCCTTTCGGTAGTGCTCGAGAGCTGGTGGTGTGTGGCAAGTGGGCGTGGGTGGGCCCCCTTTTCCCCTACTCTTCCTACTCTCTTCCCTGACTTGAAAAGTGGCAGCCTATTACAAACTATGTAAATGGGCAAAAAGGAAAGAGAGAAGGAAACAAGGTAGAAAATCAAAGGAATAATAATGATGGTGTCTATGCACAACAGGAAGAAGCACAAAAAAACCACCGATGGGGGGTGGGGGGGGGGGGGGCAGGCAAAGATGATCGCCTGAGTATGCGAACGCCTGGTGCATATCCGTTATGCAGACATGCACATCACACATCCACATTCTCTCCCCCCTTCCCCGCCTTGTCGGAGAAGAAGGGGGGGGGGACCAGTGGAAGGGTGGAGGAAGGAGGCGCCTGGCTGGCGATCTTTGCTTGTGACCCTGCCTGACAAGACAAGCCCGGATGACGTCGTGCGCGGAGACGTGTGTGATGGAGCAGAAAGGCAGGAGCAGTGGACTTTCTCAAAATTTGTTTTTAGTCCTTCCTGGTCGCTGAGTTTAGTCTATGGTCACGAGAATGTGTGATCTCGGGCAAGAGGGGCTGAAGGGGAAAAGAAGAGCAAAAACTCCAAATAGAAGGACAAATAGAAGGACAAGGAGAGAAACAAAGAATTGGAGGCAAGGAGCATTCTCTAAAGTCCAGTCCCTCTCTTTCTTTACTTATTCTCAAGTCTCACCGAAGAGAAACAAGTTCGTGTGAAAAGGCTACTACGAGTAGGAGAGACAAAACACGGCGTCAAAAAGAGAGTGGTGCTAAAGTGTTCAAAGAGAGTGGTGCTAAAGTGTTCACAGAGAGTGGAAGGGAAAAAGAGACATGTCATTCACAGGTGAGTAATTATTGTAAAATAGTAAAACATCCTTAGGAGGGGAGTGCGCCGATGAAAGCCCGCGTGCGCCACATGCGCCCCGCTGCTGAACAATCGTGGAAACCTTAAACCAAGGAAAGAAAAGAGCCACCCCCCCCCCTCTCCTTCCAACAAAAGGGCAAGTCGCGCGACGTTCTCGTGGCGTTCTCAAGACATCAGGATCAAGGGATGAGAGGGTAATGGTCGGAACTGTTTCGTTGCAACACACTCTTAGCTCTCCTCCTCCCCTTCCATGTCCGCCCACCATCTCCAAAATCTTGGATGGTGACGACGGTGCGTGGTCACAGTCGCAAGACAAGGGTCGTGGCTGCAGGACAAGAAAATCATCTGCTGTGCCGCACTTCCATCTTTTTTTTGTTTTGCTTTGTGGGGGGGGGGGGGTCTCGAGGATGGAGAGTATTGCAATATACGGTATGTAAATGATTACATACCGTGACCTGTCTAATCTTCGTTTTGCCCAGTTCTGGTCCCAAGAAAACACCTCCATGGAGACTGTCAGCAGTTTTGTTAAAAATCGGGTGTGACCACAGCTAGGATGCGTGTCTGAGGAGGGTCGACACCCACCATCGCCACCATAGGTTGTGTAGTATCGAGACCCTCTTTTACCTTGTTTTTTTTCGAAAGCAGTGTCTGTACTGCAGTATGTACTATAGTACTATATTAGTCACCCGCCCCCCCCCCCCTCTCCAGTCCTTGCTGGCATGCACTGCACAAGAACGAAGAAGAAAAACGCTGGCGGCTTTTCCTTTCCCCTCTCTCTTGCGTTTAACTCCTTTACTTGTTCTTCTTTTTTCTGCCGTGCCATCCTTATCTAAGACATACATGCCGTGCAGTAATGTACAGTACATTCGCACACACATCTCCGCAAGCTACGCGCTCAGAAAATAGGTTGGAGGCCCACCCACCCACCCACACAAGAGAGAGAGAGAGAGAGAGAGAGAGAGAGAAACAGTGGCTTGCAAGCTATGGTTTCCTGGCGCAGCAGCCAACCAACCTTCTGGCGTTGTCTCTCCTCCTAGCACCAGATTCGATCGCGAGGCTGCGAGGCTGTCTAGTAGGCCGGGCGCCCGCGCCCTTGTCCTCACGAACCCATCTCTCTCCCTCTCTGTGCGGGATTTGGACCATAGATGGTTCTCTCTCTTTCTCTCTCGCCCGCTCTCTCGTTCTCTTACGTTCCTCCTTGCGGAAAAGGATTGTCGATAGGTCAGTGACTTTCAAAGTGCTGACGAAGGATGGAGGCTTTTTATCCCTTCTTTTTTATCTCTTCCTCTTTAGCAGTTGTCACCTCCAAGTAAAAAGTTGGGAACCGTCTACACTCTGGGTTGCGCCCGTGACAAACATGACATGCATATGATCGATAGCCCAAAAAGGAAAGAAAGAAGAAGGAGAAAAAAAAACAGGGGGGGGAAGTGATCTGCTTGTGATCCCTCTCCTACATACAACAAGTGCAGCAGTGATGAGAAACAGGGAGAGTGAAGGGAGGAGGGGGTGGAGTGGTTGGTTGAGGTCCAGACCTAAACAGCCATACAAGTAAGTGCTGACGGAATGGCACGACACTGGCTCACTGGCTGGTTCCATCTGGTAGCAAAAGTCGAAAGCGCCACACCCAGCGCAATGAACAGGTGGTGAGTGAGAAAAGTTTCTACAGCGCCTCTAGCAGCCCTTGGCGTGGAACGAGGGAGGTGCTTGGTGGTTGGTTCGTTCAGGCCCTCAGGGTAGGCGGATGGCGCCGAAATAAGCGGAAGTTTATCATCACTTGTGTTGTTGTACATATCTCTGTAACATTCATCCAAATTTTTTTTTTTTTTTCTCACAGGAGAAACTTATACTATGGTACGCGCCAGAGGGAGCAAGGACGGTGAATCATGATGCTCGTCGACCCATCGTGGCGTGTGCTCCTTTTGGCACAAGCACTACACCAAATTACTGGTGTGAGTGGGCCATGTAAAAGCAATCATGATCCTCGCCCATGGTTATTATTGTTTTCATTTACTTTATGACATATCACGTCCGTGGTGCGGAGGAGGAAAAAGAGGGGAAAAAAATAGAGCAATCATAATGATGACCGAACTCCATCCATTCTGCCGCGGGCCTATTTCCCATTCCACTCCTCCTGGCCCTGCCCCCCCTTCAGGGCCTTTGGGGTTATGCAAGTTTTTACAATCCGGGTATGGCCCCGTCCCGGAGAGTGAGAGAAAGAGAAAAGGAAAAGAAAAAAAAGGTGGGAGGGAGGGGGAGGGCATGGAGGGGTTGTCTTTTGGGGTCTTGGATTAGGTCAAGGAGGATGCGAAATGTATTACTTGTACCAGATTTCTGCGTGAAGATCAAAGCGAGGACGTCGGCCTGGCACCAGAACGAAGCTGATAACCCCCATCGCATTGTACACGCGAAGGGGTTGCCTGTTTGCCGAAGCTTGATAGAGAAGATCAGGAAATAAGAAAACACCACAAAAAGTAGGATGATGGACAGAACCTCGTCGGACTTTTTCCCTCTAC